GAGTCCAGCTTCAAATTTATGCATGCAATAACCCCATTCTACCCCATCTTCATTGTGTGTGTACACCATGCACTGTCCGGTTCGACAAAAGGCTGAAAAACGTCTACGCACTTTATGAAACGACAAGTAGTAGTTAGAGTCAGCTGATAAAGCCGTTGGAGTGATCTTGGCGACGTGCAAAAAATCAAGGTGCAGGCGTGGGCCGAAAAAAGTCTATGGCACTGTGAAAAAAACAAAAGATTGAACAGTCCAACGAAGAGCACTACCAGAAGCCATTGAAGAGACTACTAATGAAGAATTAATCTATATTTTTTCGAATTTAAAAAAATATAGCGCCGCATTTGGAGCACTTCCCCTTTCAGCCCTCAGAATTGCCAATTTCACCGTCAATATTTAATTCGACAACTTCGACAACAACGAGAACATTCTTTTCCGACATTTCCCAACAAAACATTTCCCTAACATAATATATTCGATTATTTCTCCTCCAAAGTTGTCCACCTGCGTGAGCAGGTGGCTCCGGTTACCTTGAAACTAGACGCCAAAACAAACAGAACACAATATTTTTATCATTTTTTATGCAGTAAAGATGTTTGTCATCATAAGGGGTCTCTTCGAAAAAAAACTTTATTTATAGTACATATACACGACTAATATGTGCATGATGCGGTCGAGTATTTAAATATTAAATTTAAGGGGAGTTTGTGGAAGAGGTTGAGAGGATTTGGACGGGACGATCAAATGGGCGCCCTCTTATTTGCTGAACTCTACCCTCTAATCGTCCACCTTTCCCCTCTAATTTGTGAATGGCGCCCTCTAATATAGATGCCCTCTAATGGAAACTGAACTGTGCCCTCCGAAAAATTGAATCGACGCCCTCTGATTTTATTTTCCCAAAATGGTATTGTTTCCTTACATAGTAGTGTAAGAATGCAGAGTAGTAGTGTTAAGTAGTAATTTTTGAAAATTTTGGGTGAGGTATCGATTCATGGGTAATTTGGGGTGCTGAATTCGAAAATGACATTCATTTTTTATGATTGTAACTTTTTTCTTAAATAGTAGTGTTAAGTAGTAATTTTTGAAAATTTTGGTTGAGCTATCGATTTATAGGTAATTTGGGGTGCTGAATTCGAAAATGACATTCATTTTTTATGATTGTAACTTTTTTCTTAAATAGTAGTGTTAAGTAGTAATTTTTGAAAATTTTGGTTGAGGTATCGATTCATAGGTAATTTGGGGTGCTGAATTCGAAAATGACATTCATTTTTCATGATTGTAACTTTTTTCTAAAATAGTAGTGTTAAGTAGTGATTTTTGAAAATTTTGGTTGAGCTATCGATTTATAGGTAATTTGGGGTGCTGATTTCGAAAATGACATTCATTTTTTATGATTGTTACTTTTTTCTTAAATAGTAGTGTTAAGTAGTAATTTTTGAAAACTTTGGTTGAGCTATCGGTTTATGGGTAATTTGGGGTGCTGAATTCGAAAATGACATTCATTTTTTATGATTGTAACTTTTTTCTTAAATAGTAGTGTTAGATAGTAATTTTTGAAAAATTTGGGTGAGGTATCGATTTATAGGTAATTTGGGGTCCAGAATTGAGTTGTGCTGTAAAGTTGTGATTTCTTTGTTTTTATTTTATTTTTTGATGAATAGTTAGTTAAGTGCAAGGTTACAAACAAAAATGGTACGATGGGTTTTTTCTTTTTATGACAAAAAATTGAAAAAATATAACTATGTTGTCTAAAGAGAAGTATTTTTATAATAAATTTCGTAAAGTTTTTCTGCTAATTTAAGTCTTTGAGCAACTTCGTTTTATTATCCAACAAGATTTTTCCTCATGCAATTATTACTTCTGGTCATCATCGGTATTGCTTCTGTCCTTCATCGAGCGCGCCAAAATGGGCGGGGTTTGACAGAAATTTTTCTGCGATCAAATTGTTTGGCTTGGGATAGCCTGCCGCTATGCCAGGTTTGACAGAAATTTTTGAGCGGAAATTCTTCTGCCATCAGATTGGAGGTAAATAAAAACTACAGAAGCTGAACACAGTTTTTGAATCAACAATAACACATGCAGCACCCCAAATTACCTATGAATCGATACCTCACCCAAATTTTTCAAAAATTACTACTTAACACTACTATTTAAGAAAAAAGTTACAATCATGAAAAATGAATGTCATTTTCGAATTCAGCACCCCAAATTACCTATGAATCGATACCTCACCCAAATTTTTCAAAAATTACTACTTAACACTACTATTTAAGAAAAAAGTTACAATCATGAAAAATGAATGTCATTTTCGAATTCAGCACCCCAAATTACCTATGAATCGATACCTCACCCAAATTTTTCAAAAATTACTACTTAACACTACTATTTAAGAAAAAAGTTACAATCATGAAAAATGAATGTCATTTTCGAATTCAGCACCCCAAATTACCTATGAATCGATACCTCACCCAAATTTTTCAAAAATTACTACTTAACACTACTATTTAAGAAAAAAGTTACAATCATGAAAAATGAATGTCATTTTCGAATTCAGCACCCCAAATTACCTATGAATCGATACCTCACCCAAATTTTTCAAAAATTACTACTTAACACTACTATTTAAGAAAAAAGTAACAATCGTGAAAAATGAATGTCATTTTCGAATTCAGCACCTCAAATTACCTATGAATCGATAGCTCAACCAAAATTTTCAAAAATTACTACTTAACACTACTATTTAAGAAAAAAGTTACAATCATGAAAAATGAATGTCATTTTCGAATTCAGCACCCCAAATTACCTATGAATCGATACCTCACCCAAATTTTTCAAAAATTACTACTTAACACTACTATTTAAGAAAAAAGTAACAATCGTGAAAAATGAATGTCATTTTCGAATTCAGCACCTCAAATTACCTATGAATCGATAGCTCAACCAAAATTTTCAAAAATTACTACTTAACACTACTATTTAAGAAAAAAGTTACAATCATAAAAAATGAATGTCATTTTCGAATTCAGCACCTCAAATTACCTATGAATCGATAGCTCAACCAAAATTTTCAAAAATTACTACTTAACACTACTATTTAAGAAAAAAGTTACAATCATGAAAAATGAATGTCATTTTCGAATTCAGCACCCCAAATTACCTATGAATCGATACCTCACCCAAATTTTTCAAAAATTACTACTTAACACTACTATTTAAGAAAAAAGTAACAATCGTGAAAAATGAATGTCATTTTCGAATTCAGCACCTCAAATTACCTATGAATCGATAGCTCAACCAAAATTTTCAAAAATTACTACTTAACACTACTATTTAAGAAAAAAGTTACAATCATAAAAAATGAATGTCATTTTCGAATTCAGCACCTCAAATTACCTATGAATCGATAGCTCAACCAAAATTTTCAAAAATTACTACTTAACACTACTATTTAAGAAAAAAGTTACAATCATGAAAAATGAATGTCATTTTCGAATTCAGCACCCCAAATTACCCATGAATCGATACCTCACCCAAAATTTTCAAAAATTACTACTTAACACTACTACTCTGCATTCTTACACTGCTATGTAAGGAAACAATACCATTTTGGGAAAATAAAATCAGAGGGCGTCGATTCAATTTTTCGGAGGGCACAGTTCAGTTTCCATTAGAGGGCATCTATATTAGAGGGCGCCATTCACAAATTAGAGGGGAAAGGTGGACGATTAGAGGGTAGAGTTCAGCAAATAAGAGGGCACAAAGTGTATTGCCCATTTGGACGGCTCAAGGATCATCCTACTTGCGCCATCAAACATGTGAATATGTTGTGTTTAGGTTGATGGGGAATTTTGTAGTTTTAAAGAAGGTATGTAAATAGCGCTGACAACAGGGAAAATGAGAGAAATTGAGAAAAGAAAAATAAAAAATAATACATAAGAACCTCTGTACAACGAATCGCAAGAGACCAAAAAATTATTTGCTATTTCAGTCTGTCGGGAAAATAATGTGCACTCTGTTGCATAAAAAATCGGTAGCGCCGCCGAGAAAATGAATTGTGTCACGGCAGAATTAAATTTAAGGCACGAAAAGTATCATACCTATTCATACTGTAGAGTGGTCTGTCCTACAAAGAAAAGCCCTTTTTTAGGGATTAAAATATAGGCATATATGCTATTCATATTTATAATTTTATAATACATACATCATTTTGTCGAGAAAATAGTGATCGCAATTTCGCAGCGCCAATCGAAGTAAAAAGCAATTTGAATTTGCCGCGAGACAATTCATTTTCTCGGCGACGATTTTCGATGCCCCGATCCTCATTATTTTCCCGACAGACTGACAAGATAAAATACGGTATGAAATTTACGTATGAATTGAAACTACCGTTTTTTCAGCACCCAAAAAACTGAAGTTTCTTTTGCCACCCCTCCATTCAAATTCGCAGACAAACCCATGGAAATTGTGGCCCACAATTAGGCGTCTATTATATGCAAACCCAAAGATAGAAAAGTCTCATGCCCTGAGGAAAGTCTTCGTTAAAAGTCACGTAATAATTTGAAAAAATATTTTTATTTTATTTTATAAAATTTTGCCCATTTTAATGACATTTTTGCAAAAAAACAACTAATAAAAATGTCGTTATAAATAATATAAGATAAATATGTAAAAAAAGACATTTAGTGGAAAAATCTCGGTATGACAAATTGCCATATCGTAAAAGCTCTCTACATTTCTATAACGAACAATTTGTGATCTTCATTTGTTGAAAAAATTAGGAATTTGTAAAAATTTTGTAAAATGCGTAACACTAAGCGGCTGCTATCAAAAGTGCGACGCTCAGATTTTACAGGGTGTGACAAGAAGTTCGAGCTTGTGCTCAAAATCTACCGGAAATCTGAGTGTTGCATTTGGGTAATTTCACTTGTTAGACATGGCCCGGACCGGGCTCCGGAAATTTCGAAAAAGGCCGGAAATAGCAAATATCTGTCTGTCGGGAAATAATGAGCACTCTGTCGCATCAAAAATTGCATCCTGCCGAGAAAACGAACCGTGTCGAGGCAAAAACATCGCTCATTATTTTATCAGTCTGTCGGGAAAATAACGGCGGATCGTCGCGCCTCGGAATCGCCCATCATCGCTTTGCGACGGCTGCCGAAGCTGGGGATTTATCGCACGATAGCGGTGAGGCGAGACATTTTGATGCGACGATCCGCCGTTATTTTCCCGACAGACTGATATGATAAAAAATTATGTGTAAAAATACCTCCATGCATCTTAAGCATAGAATTCTAGCGGCCATCTCAACGAATTTACTGCACTCTTATCGCTCAGATTTGAGAAAAATTAATTCGGCGATGCTGCAGATGACAAGTTCACACATTTTTTGCGCCGTTTTTCCATTGTTTATATTTACACATAGCACGGATCTTTGCAAATTTCTGAAGACATCTGTTTTATATTGAATTCATATTGGCTTAGCCAATAAAAATTATATTTTTTTTTTTTGAAAAAATTATTTTTCATTTCTTTCGAAAAAATATATGTATTCCTAAAACATTGGGTAAGTTCCCCGCAAAAATCAATTATTTCCAAGCAAAACTGGCAAAGATAAGGCCAAAAAGTGTTTTCTCTATGACCGCTCTCCTCATTTCGCATACTCTCTCGTCAGCTAGTAAAAAAATGTGGTTATGATACTCCGAAATTCTTGTAAAATACGTGTTCGCATGAATCCAATCGTACTTGTTTTCTAATTGCTTATATCAGTTTGTCGGGAAAATAATGAGCACTCTGTCGGATCGAAAATCGCATCGCCGCCGGGAAAATGAATCGCGGCAAAATCAAATTTCTTTTCACGTCAGCGAAGAGGATCGATGTTGCAAAATTGTGCTCATTATTTTTCCGACCGACTGATATTATTTGAATTAGATGTCTGTCGGGAAAATAATGTGGATTCGTTTTTCTTTCTGATCTATCAAATCCAATAAAAGTGCACGAGGTCAATTCTGTATCCACTGTTTGCCCAACGGCCTCTTTTCTTGTTTATTTTACCGGTCAAAGGTTGCGCGACCGCGAGAGCGCACAAAACCAAGAGAGTGGCAGAGAAAAATGAGAGGAAATCGGCCATTTCTCAAGTTCTCGAAGTGAGTTTCGTCTCGGAAATCTTACGAGACCTTACGTGAGCGTTGAACTACGAGATTTTTAAAAATTATTGGGGTAGTTGGTGTGGAAAAAATTAAGAAAATTTTTTTGGAATAAAAAAAAAATATTTTTTTTAAATTTTTTGATCTCGATTTTCTATTTTTAAATTACGGATTTACTTGAAAAATTTAGGCAAAATAGGATTTTTCAATTTATTTTTTAAATTTTTTATGCGAAATCTTGATTAAAATTACATTTTTTTCGTCCGAAAAATCCATTTTTACGGTATTAGAAATTCAACTTTTCTGCAAAAACCGGTTAAAATTTTATTTTTTTATCAAAATTTGGAATTAAAAAATCCCATTTTCAATTAAAAATCGGTTTAAAAATCAAATTTTCTCTTAAAAAATCGGTTAAAAATCCAATTTTTGATCAAAAAAAAATTTTTTCTCTTTTAAAAATATGAGTTAAAATTTTTTATTTTCCTCCAAAAATTAAATTTCCCATCAAAGAATCGGTTAAAAATCCTATTTTCCATCAAAAAAATAGGTCAAAAATTTTTATTTTCCTCCAAAAATCGCCCCAAAAATCCAATTTTCGCTCAAAAAATCGCTCTAAAACCTCATTTTTCAGGCCTCAAATTTCCTCTTCTACCCCATAACTTCACTCTCTCCATGTTCAAAACTCCCACCTTGCTATTACTTCTACTCCAAATCCACTGCGCCTTCTCCGCCAACGTTCTGTTCTTCCTCCACGGGACCAACCAATTCGACCGGCACGTTTTCGAATTCCTGGCGCAACAAATCGCCCTCAGGCATCACAATGTCATCACAGTGAAGCCGATTTTGATTCCCGAAGAGCCGAGGCTGGTGAAGCCGCGGCTTCACCTGGTCAAAGAGAAGATTGTCAAGAATTTACTGCCACAGTAAGATTTTTGTTTTTGTAAAAGTTTACCCTCGATTTTCAGGGAACTTTACGGGCCAATTGAACGGGTGGGAAGCTCGGTACCTTGGGAGAGAAATTATCAGCTGGACGCCTATAATCATCCATATTGGGCCGGTTATAATGCCTCCTGTTACAAGGTAAGAAGGCGAATTTTGGAGGCCCCAATTTGCACCGTGCACTTTTAGTTTTTGCACCGTGCACAAAACCCTTTTTTTGCGGCGTGCATTTTTGACCTTTTGCACCGTGCAAGTCCAATATCGCAGCGACTCCAGCTTTTCTCAACGAATTTTGGGCCTGCGAAAAGAAATTGCACAGTGCAAAATGTTCCGAAAAGGATTGTGTCGCACAACTTGCACTGTGCGGTGCGAAAAAGGCCAAAAAAGTCGCTGCGGTTTAGCCCAATAATTCGCACAGTTCAAACCGCTTTTTCAAGTTTGCGCAGTGTGAAAAACAAAATGCACTGTGCGTGAGCGAAAATAGGGGAACACTGAGAAAATGCAAGCTGCGTTCATGATAAAATTCAAATTTTTCGCTTTTTTGGTCTACGCACTTTATGAAAATATCAGTGTCTGTCGGGAAAATAATGAGTACTGTCGCTGGGTAGATTCTTGTCGCTAAAGTGAAAAGATGATTTTGCCACGACACAATTCATTATTTTCCCGACAGACTGAGGCTCTCCATAAAGTGCGTAGACCTTTTTTTCGCGGCGCACGGCTTGTATACGCAGTTTATAAATTTAGAATTCATAGAAGGACCTCAACCAAAATTTGGCAAAAATTTTCTTTCAGCTGATCAACAGCAACCTCATGGACACCCTGAAAAAGGAGCAAATCGAAGTGGCTCTCGTCTACAGCGGGAATCCCTGTCAACTGGCGATGGTTCATGCTCTGTCCATCCCATTTATTTATTACGACCTCGACGGCCTTACGGATGAGACAATTATTGCCTCAGGCATGCCATGGAACCTAAAAACGTTGAGCTCACGAAGTGTGCCGGAAACAAAATTTAGCGAACTCTCAACAGGCCTAGCGTTGATTTACGAGACAGTTTGCCAACTGGGATTGCCAGTTGTTGGTGGAGCGTTGTGTGAGAGGGTCAGGTTGTTGGAGGATCCGATCACAAGGATCTTCAGAGAGGATTACGAAATTAAAAAGCGATTCAAGCCATTCCCGCACGTGAATTGGGTAAGTGTACAGTGACGGACTGATCTAGTGGTAAAAACCTACCATTTTGCATCAGGGAAGTATCAAAAAATGTAGCGGAACGCCTCCATCTCCAAGTAAAGAACTCCATTTTTAAGGGCGCGATTTTGAAATCGGAGTTTCTTCACTTGGAGAGGGAGGTATTTTGCTACATTTTTTTGATGTTTCCCGGATGCAAAATGGAACTTTTTCTGTCACTGGATCAGGTCCGTAACTGTAACACATATTGCTGCATGTAAATAATATCAGCCTGTCGGAAAAATAATATGGATTTGTCGCTGCACCGATCGTGTCGATAAAATGAAAAGCGATTTGATTTTGACAGTTCATTTTCTCGGCGACGATGCATTTTTTTAGCGACAGGTGCTCATTATTTTCCCGACAGAATGATACAACTATAAGTTACTCCGAGTGATATCAGACTGTCGGGAAAATAATGTGGATAGAAAATAATGTAGAAATTTGTCATCGTCTTCGCTGTCGCGACCACCGCGAAAAGCCTAAAGACGCCTGCTGTAAAGTGCGTCAAAAATTTCTTTTCCCAAAAAATTTCTTTCCAATAGATTTAAAAATTAGATAGGCCAAATTTCGGGATAGGGCCGTCTCGATTTCTTTATATAAATTTTTGATCTTTATTTTTATATATTCTATATATTTAATTGTCGATTTCATTATATATCGGGAATATTTTTTGTTTTGGTTTATTAACCCAAGTTTGAGGTTTTGAATAAAGTTTGGTCAACAATCGAGTTACCAACATCTTAAATTATTGTACAACGGAGTACAATAATTATCATTGTCGAGCGCACGGAGTCGCGGCGACAAACTGGGGGCTCAGCCGGTGATTTGGCTGCTATTGGTGGAAAAGAAGAACGCTGGTGCCATTCGTTGACGTCATCAGTTGGTGAAATTGATGAAGAAGATCTGATCGCTGGAGATCAAGCAATTTTTCAAGTCTACTCAAGATCGCTGGAGATCAAGCAATTTTCAAGTCAACTCAAGATCGCTGGAGATCAAGAAAGTTTCAAGTGGATTCAAGATCGCTGGTAATCAAGACCGCTGGTACAGGAAGTGGTACAGGTAGACAACCAGAACAGTTTTATCTTTAGTTAATCTATAATTTCGGAAATTTTCTTTGTAAAATTTTTATTTTTGCCTTCTCACTCCGACTTAATAAGTTGCAAAATTTCGAAATTTATTTTTATTTTTGTTTTCTCCACCCTTACTTAGTTTGAATTGTTCATCCACATTACATTTATAAGTTACAAAATTTCCAATTTATTTTTATTTTTGTTTTCTCCACCATTACTTAGTTTGAATTTTTCATCTACATTACAGTTACAAGCTACAAAATTTCCAATTTATTTTATTATTTGTTTTTCTCCACTATTTTGCCTTTTTCAACACTGATTTATATATTTTACACTTCGCCATTTCACAGTTTATTTTGTTTTTGGACTAGTTACATATTTTTCCTTCTCACTTATTCCAATTTTATTGTATTAACGGGCCTTATAGCAAATTTTCGAACTTATAATTCACACTATAGATTGTGAAACTTAAAAAATTCTTACTATAAAACCCCGAGAATAAAAAACCATTCTCTCCAAAAAATTACATCAAAACTTTTCGATTCCCCTTACAACATAACATAATTTTCGTCGTGGGATTACTACTACGTTTCGTTTAAGCTTTTTACTACTTCACTCTTTATACTCATCTCTATTTCTTTAAACCACAAACAACTACAATGGAGACGAAACCATCTAAAAAAGGTTACATATCCCGTAGCATGCATTTACGACCAATCCTCACACAATTATCAGAAAAAGTTACAAAAATCTTCACGGAGAGCGCAACGTTGACATGTTACACAGAATATACCGAAAAGGAGCCAGAAGAAAATCTCCTTTTAGCCCAAAATACTGCATCTAAACTTCGAGAAGCGATTGAGACCGGAGAAAGCCTTCGGGCATCACTCGACAAATACTACAATCAGTACGTCGAGCTCATGAACTCTTTGGGTCCAGAAGAATATGGACAAGAAGAAGTCCACTACCAAAGTTTACTCAACACACATTACATCCCTACTACCCTCGTCAACACACAAGAAGAGTTAAGCCGTCTAAAGAGCGAATACGACCTCAACATAGGCCTAATTGAGATGCTAAAGAGAAAAATGAGTGTAAACGTCGCGATAGAGTCATCGAACGTCTCAAGATCACACAGCCCAGCGTCATTTACAAACCAGACGAGACGGCCGCAACCTCTTAAATTAGGACCCGTCGAAAAGATCACCTTTTCCGGCAACGTTCTCGACTATCCCGCCTTCCGAGAAGCAATGAAAGTCATCGATGCGTCGGATAACAGTACATATGCCAAGTTCCTCTACTTAAAACAGAGTACCAAAGGCATAGCCTTCGATGCCATCAAATCACTTACTCTCACAGAATCAAACTACCAACTAGCCAAGGATCTACTGGAGAAGCACTTCGGTTCAGACGACCTGCTAGTTGATAGCCTTTTGAAATCACTTCAAAATTTACCAGCACCGACCAGAACAGCAGGGAGTTTGCAGAGATACTACTTTGAGTTAGAAAGCATACTGCAACAACTTCAAAACCAAGAAGTTCATACAGACGATGGCATCCTGCGCAACATGATCACCCAAAAACTTCCTGATCAAATTTTAGAACGAATAATCCGCCGAAGACACAAAATCAAAGAGGAGAACAAAGTCTGGAACACAGACGCCTTAATGAAAGAATTAAAAAGGATCATCGAAGAGATGTTAGACCTAGAGCGACTACAAGGCAAAAGCAAACAAGTACCATCGAAGGTTATGGTGGCGATAAACCCCTCAAAATCAAAAGAACAAGGTGAAAAAATCGCCCGGCCATGTGTATTTTGTCAACATCTCGATCACTACAGTAAAGACTGCCCAATGGCAGATACAGTAGCGAAACGAAAAGACTCCCTGAGAAAATCCAGACGTTGTTTTAAATGCTTACAAAAGTGGGAGTCCGGGCACAAATGTTCCAAAACCTGTTATTACTGCAAAAAAGAACACAATACCTTACTTTGTTCACAACCTAAACCCAGGGCTGTATTTGTAACCATGGATGAAGACGCACAATCCGAAGTCGAAGATGATTACCCATTTTACGACAGCGACCCAGAGACCGACGCAGATCCCAACGAAACAGAAGAACACGGAGAACCGACTTGGGACGACTCAATGGTTTGTGTCCTTCGAAGCTCTGGAGAAAAGGCCTTGCTATCAACCGTAGAGCTAGTATTGAGAAACCCAGACAACGGCCGACAGTTCCGAACACTAGCCATCCTCGACAGTGCTTCTGAAACAACGTACATTACAGAGACCGCCGCCGCATCTTTGAACCTTAAGAAAAACGCGGAAACAGAACACAAATCTCGGACCGAAACCTTCGGTGGAACACAACACGTCACCAGATCGTCAAAAGTATCCGCTGAGTTTTTACTGTTAAATGGAGACTCTATTCCTTTCGTTGCCAGAACCACCCCCTCCATTGTGAACTTAGTCCGCACTGTCTCCGTTAAAGGAAAGCAAAAATTAACCGACAAAAAAAGGCCCCATTTATTAATTGGAGGCGACTTGATCTGGGCTCTACTTCCAGTAAAAAGAGAAAAAACAAATAATCCAGAGGTCATGAAAATCGAGACGAAAGTCGGGCCGATTCACCTATTCTCCGATGCCTTCCACTTGGGCAATAGGCAATTTGAAGACGACGAAATCGCTCCGTTAGTTCTGCAGGACCTCACCCCTAAAGAGCTAGACAAACAAATACAGAAACTTTGGACATTAGAAGGAATTGGAATCACAGAACGTGCCGACTCCCGACAAGAAGATATCGAAGACGTGACAAAACGTTTTTGTACCCAAATCGAAGAAAAAGAAGGCCAGCTCCATGTCAACTGGTTGTGGAAAAAGGACAAACCTCAAGTTCCAGAAAACAAGAAAATCGCATTTAGCCGTTTATTACAAATGCAGAAACGCGTGTTAGCAGATGAAAGTCTTCAAAAACTCTTACGGGACTTCATCAACGAACAGCAACACAGAGGATTCATTGAAGAAGTAGACATGAGGTGCCCCCAGACGGCCCAGTCTCCTACCTCCCCTTCCAACTAGTCTACACTCCGGGAAAAACCACACCCGTGCGATGTGTTTTTGACGCATCAAGTCATACGAAAAATCAACCTTCACTCAACGATTGTTTTGAGAAAGGACCTCTCCTACTTCCCGATCTTACAAGTTTATTGATCAACTTTCGATTCGCGGAATTCGCGTGTGTCAGCGACTTGGAAAAAGCTTTTAACAGTCTAGCACTCAAACCGGATCAACGTGATGTCACACGTTTTATCATTCCTACAGATTGGACAAGCATCAAAGATTCTACCGTCAAAGTGTTTCGGTTTAAAGTAGTTAACTTTGGAACCATCTGCGCACCTACCATGCTGGCATTAAGCCTTCGATGGTTTCTAGAACATCACAGACTCAAATCAGACCCGGACATATTAAAGCGAACCTATGTCGATAACATTCTATCTCAAGCCGCCACTGAAGAGGAATTAGTCGCGAAAGCCAAAGAAGCGAAACAACTCCTCAGCACGGTCAGATTTCACCTCCGCGAATTTTACTCAAATTCGGCTGAATTGATGAAGGAGCTAAACCCCACAGAAACTAGAGACTCAACAAAGTTTCTGGGAAAAAACTGGAACTTTCAACAAGACTTAATCTTGATGACGACGCCAACACTTCAACCCATATCTACAAAACGAAGTCTTTTACAGTTCAGAGGGAAACACTTTGATCCAGAAGGACTAACATGCCCCTTGACTCTTCCTTTAAACCTCATCTTACAAGCCACATGGTCTATTCCGAACTTAACATGGGATGACCCATTACCACCCCACATCATGGAAGAGCTAAACAACGTCGTCCCCTTCTGGGAAACTCCCACAACGTTTCGAATTCCACGCAAAATAATTAACTGGAATCAACCATATTATCTTCACGCGTTCACCGATGGCTCGAAAGTTGGTATTGGCATCTTGATTTACTTAGCCGCTCTAGCAGAAGACCGCACGTTCGAATTACCTCAATTGATCATGGGCAAATCTCGAGTAGCACCGAAAAAAGCAAATTTGGATTCCGAACTAACCATTCCAACCACGGAAATTGTGTCCATTTCCAGCGGTGTCCTCCTGCTACAATTTGTCGAACAACACCTTCCCTTCCCTCCAGAAAAGATCATCCTTTGGAACGATAGTCGTTCTTCTTTGGAATCACTTATCAGAAACATGGATCACAAATCAGTTTTCGTAAAAAATCGATTACGTTTGATCCGCGATAAAGGACGAAATTACGAAATTCGGCATGTACCGGGTAAAGAAAACAGCGCAGACATTCCGTCCCGAGGAATAGTCAACCCCGCCGACTTAGTAGAAAATAAATTCTACTGGCACGGACCCAAATTCTTGCAAAACCCAGAAGATTGGCCTTCCGAACTCGTTATACCAGCTGGATCTTTCGAGGAGGACCAAACAACAGTGGCCGTCGTCACCCCACCAGAACCTCTGATTGACCCCGAACGGTTCGGTTCTTGGAGTAAACTTCATTTAACCGCCAGAATAGTCATCAATTTTACACGGAAACTGCAGAAAAAGCCTGCCGCAAACAATGCTGAGGTGGATCGTCTACTCTTCCTCCTGGATCAACAACGGAACCCTCCCTCGGAGAAAGAGATCACCGACTTCAGGCTCTTCCAAGACCAACATAACCTCTGGCGTTGCGACATCCGCCTACAGGAAAGCGACCTACCTCCAGCCGCAAAAACCCCTATATGGCTACCGAATTCGCATCAGACACGTCTAATCATCAGACACTACCATAATCAAAAGCTTCATGCCGGAGTTGATCTTACCTTATGCCAACTACGGACCAAATATTGGGTAAAAAGAAGCTTTGTGAGGAAAACCATCAAAACTTGTAGTTTTTGTAAGCGTCAAAAGTCAAAACCCTTCGAATTTCCCCCTTTCGCACCACTCCCCCAAACACGGTGTACACAAGGGATCCCGTTCGATGCCGTCGGAGTTGACACCTGTGGACCCTTCAAGGTGAAAGACCACGAAGATGTTCATGTCCTGATTTTTTCGTGTCTCAAATATCGAGTCCTCCATACAGAAGTTATAGCCAGCTTGCAAACCACTGATATTATCCACGGTTTTACAAGATTCATTTCACGAAGAGGACCCCCTTCACAAATCTTGAGTGACAATCACCCCTCACTGTGCGCCGCCAAAGACTTCCTTCAGAAAACCCACCAGACTAATCAAAATTTTTGTTGGAGTTTTATCACACCAAGGTGTCCTTGGGAGGGCGCTTCGTACGAAAGGATTATCGCAGAGTTAAAAAGAGCAATGAAAAACTCCGGAACAAAATCCAAATTGGACATTGAAGAGTTCCGAACGTTGATATCCCGATCGGAAGAAGTGGTAAATTCCAGACCTCTCACCGCACAATCTGACGACGTTAACGATCTTCGAGCGATAAAACCTTTCGACTTTATCGGTGTCCGATCAGACTACGAAGGAGACAGTGAAGGAGATGAACCAGAAGAAGAAGAAAGAGACCCAACTTACGTAGAACGAGAAAATCTACAAGAAACTCTACGAAAGAAGAAAAATAGAATAGAGGCAAGATTAGAAAAGTTCAAGACGTTCTGGATAAAACATTATCTTCAATATCTAGCCGAGAAGAATTCGAAAAAACGGAACAATGGGATAAGAAGAACCCCAATTGTAGGAGAATTGACATTAGTCGCGGACCCCACCTTACCAAGACAGCAATGGAAATTAGGAAGGATCCAACACCTAAACGAAGGCCGTGACGGTATCGTGAGAACTGCCGATGTCTTAGTGGCGGATAACTTGAAGAATTATCCAGCCGAAACCTCCAGAAAAATCATAAAAAGGAACATCACTCAACTCTACAGCCTGGAAATCACACCAAGCGAAGACACAGATTGGCTGAAAGAGTTACTACCACAACCGGATGTCGAAATACCGGCACCTCGAAGATCACCGAGAACAAAGAAATTGAATCTGGCCTCAGAACAATTCAACCTCCTGTCAATAAACACCGTGTTAATGGTGTTGTCAATTGTTTTCATGCTAATCTACCCAAGCGAGGGCTACAATTTCTGCCCCATGGATACAAGGCCAGTTTACTGGCGACCGACACCAATGCGCGCATGTTCGGTTCCTTATATGGAAAATCTTACCCCAACAACCGTGGTGGTGTATCAAGCGAATCACGTAGAATACAAGACAAAGGCATATATTTGCTCAGCTGAACTCCACAAAATAACTTCGTGGACTGACATCTATGGGTTTGAAAGAAGTGAAGAAGAGATAATTGAGAAATCGGAATTAAGTGCCGAAGAATGCTGGAGAATGAAGGAAACCCGAAAATGTATATACGGTTCACTATCTATGCATGGAGAAGATCTGAAGACCAACACAAGACCAGAGCTCTCTGATATCCCAAATAGGTTTATGAGTCTCCTCAACAGGAGAGACGAAGAATTTGGAGTTTGTAAAGTACTGTCGACACTAGTTCTCGCTCATTTCGGATCGACAGAAGCAGTATGCCCAAGAATAGACCTAACCAACTGTAAATATGAAGACAACCAATGCCGAACCAAAGACGATCGGATGGTGGTATGGATTCACAACACAACACAAAACTGTCCATACATAAAAGCATCAACTGTTAAGGGAGTTAAAAACAACCAGACGTTCATATCTGAAGAAGAGGAACTGATGCTGACCTTTTCAAATAAGAGAACAGTGTCGTGCCAAGATAAGCTCTGGATATCGGATCAAGGAGTCCCGTTCCAATTTGAGAAGAATACGTCACCCAAGAAAAGAGATTTGACAACAGCAGAAAAACAGTTCGCGAGTCACGTCAACCTAGTAGATCTCCAGAACACAACAAGGATCCTATGTGACGAAATCAACCAACAAGGCCAGATATTGAATCAATTAATAGCGAGCAAACCAGCCGAATTCGCCCAAAGACTTCTCAACCGAACAGACGTAAAAGTACAATCAGTAGGGCACGGCATCGTGAGTATTACCTTTTGCACCACAGTGCCGGATGAAAAAGTACACTTCCAACAAGAAGAGACCAGAGAATTTAGAATAAAAGTCAACGTAGATGGAAAAGGGATAATGTTCTTGGACCCAGTTACGGAGGAATTACATTTGAATCCGTCAGGCCTTTTCACAGATACGGAACGAGTTGTCCGACATAACGGCAAATACTTCAGATCAACACAAGGATATCTCCAACCGATTAACGTTGTAACAGACGAACGAGAAGAAGTGCAAGTTCTCACCAAAGAATTCGTCTTCAAGAAGGGCCATTCCCTCACCACCCCGTGGCTGGACGAAATGTTGGTAAAAGAATACTTGAAATCACACAACGACCTCATCGAGTCCTTTTCTAAGCCAATCGTCAGGAGATCATCAAAGACGTGGAGAGAAGAAATCACAGAAATCATCGTCTCTCCAATTCTGCCTTACTTACGGTTGTGGTGGTCAATCTGTGCGGGACTAGTCTCGCTATACACAGTTACGTCGATCCTAAACAACTTCACCGCAGAAAAGAAGATCCAACTCAAGATGCCAAGGAGGAATGCCAGGAAGAAAAATCCTCTCCGACGAAAGAGGAAAAACAACCGGAGGTCATCCCAAAGGCCCAATGAAGAAACCCCGCTTGGAATAGTCTTCCAAAGGGCAGAACTGCCGAGGAGATCTGTCAAAATAAGGCAACTTCTCGCGCGCGGAGTGTCGCGACCACCGCGAAAAGCCTAAAGACGCCTGCTGTAAAGTGCGTCAAAAATTTCTTTTCCCAAAAAATTTCTTTCCAATAGATTTAAAAATTAGATAGGCCAAATTTCGGGATAGGGCCGTCTCGATTTCTTTATATAAATTTTTGATCTTTATTTTTATATATTCTATATATTTAATTGTCGATTTCATTATATATCGGGAATATTTTTTGTTTTGGTTTATTAACCCAAGTTTGAGGTTTTGAATAAAGTTTGGTCAACAATCGAGTTACCAACATCTTAAATTATTGTACAACGGAGTACAATAATTATCATTGTCGAGCGCACGGAGTCGCGGCGACATCGCCGCGGTAAGCCGTCGCAAAGCGATTGGTCGATTTCAAGGCGCGACAAATACACATTATTTTCCCGACAGCCTGAAAAACCCAAATTTCGAGACTTGAATCATACCGAAACATATTCCGTGTATCAAAATCCTTTCAAATTTCAGATTAAACAGAACGCCGAGTTATATTTGGTAAACAGCGATCCATTCCTGGAATCGGGACATTCCTGGCCAAGCCATGTGATCCCAGTTGGCGGAGCTCACATTGACTTTCCAAAGCCGTTGTTTTATGTGAGTAAAGCAATTTTTTCTCCTTTTAAAATCAACGAATTAACGGTCGGAACCACGCCAAGTTCTTCCATTCAATTTCTCATCAAAAAATCCTTGTTTTCAGCCCTGGAACACCTCCATTTCCTCAGCGCCCGCCGGCTTAATCATCGTCCAACTCGGTGCCAATGTTGACGGCTCTGCAATGCCTCCAGCCCTTGTCAAAGCGTTCGTTGGAGCCCTATCCAAGCTCACAAAATTCCGGATTTACTGGCGGATCGGGACGAACCTGTCCTTGAAGGGCGTTGATCTCGAAAACATGCCGTCTCACATAAATGTGACAACGTTTATCCCACAAAACGACCTGCTCGCTCATCGTCGTTGCAAATTGCTTGTAACGAATGGCGGAAGTTCCAGTATTTTGGAGGCGCTGACCTATGGAGTTCCGATTCTGGGGGTACCCTTGTATGGAGTGAATTATAAAAATTTGTGGAATGTGGAGCAAAGAGGAGCGGGATTGATGCTGAATAAGGACAAATTGGATGAGAAGACGCTGCTGGGTGCGATGAAAAAACTGCTGGACACTCCGATTTACAAGAAAAAAGCGGAAAATGTAAGTTGAACGTCGTCAATTGGGGAACATTGGAGAGAAAATAAAACAATTTTTTCGCTTTTTTGTCTGGCTAAATCCCATACAGTGGCGATCCAGTTTTTTTCAGTTGAAAATGATTGAGAAATTTCGAATTTTTTCGATTGAAAATCAGGGTCTGATCTAAGGATCTGGTCTAGTGGCAAAAGACGTACCATTTTGCATCCGGGAAGTATCAAAAACACAGCAAAATTCCTCCCTCTCCAAGTTAAACGACTCCGCTTTCAAAAGCGCGCCCGCTCCGAAACTGAGATTTTTTGGTTGGAGAAGGAAGTATTTTACTGCATTTTTCATACTTCCCGGAGGCAAGATGGTACGTTTTTTGCACTATTATAGATCAGATCCTTAGATCAAAGGCTGATTTTCAACCGAAAAAAATCGAAATTTCTCAATCATTTTCAACTGAAAAACACGGGGTAAAAGGGCCCTACTTCAAAAGGTCGTAGCGACATCCGTTTGCACTTTAAAATCTTCTTAATTCATGGACAAAAATTAATGAACAACCTTTGTGGTTTTGAACTTGAACAAGTTTTTATCATCATCTAATTTTTTAGTTCGCCAAAGAGTTGAAAAGTCGTCCCGGCTCCGCTTTTGAACGCGTCCTCAACGCCATTGAATTAGTCGCCCGCCATGGCTCGGCTTCACTGATCAGGCCTTCGAAACGCCCTCAGGGCTTGTTATTGTTCTTGGAAGTCAGTCATCTGGACTTCTTTTTGATCGTTGTAACGGGTCTTTTCTTTGCGATATTTATTTCTTACATCATCCTCCGGACATTCCTCCGAACAATGTGTTGGCGGAAAAAAGTGGAGAAAAAGGAGAAGCAGAAGAAACATTAGGTAATGTCCATTATGAACAGGACGGACTGAGTTTCTGCAAAAATTCTTTGTTGTTTTTGTACGCCAAATATGAATAAATATTTCTTACGATTCAAGGAATGTGAGGTGGTAATAAAAACTATCATAATAAGACAATACTTTGGTATTACAATGCCCAAAAATAATATTAGCTTCTACAAATGTTACCAACCCTCATATGTCATCGCTTGCTTCGAAAAAAACCACCGTCAAAAATCAAAGGAGCTGTATAAAATTGATATTCTCTGTTAATATCAATCGAAACAGGGCCGCAATACCTGTTTAAAAGTCCTCTGTCAGAGTGGCTTTCACTATAGGGGAAGCACTCCAAGTGCGACGCTCAGGTTTAGATGAAAGTTGACACCAATTTAGAATTGTTTTTAGGAGTTTCATGGTTATTTCTACTGTAGCGAGTAATCTTCCCACAAAAAGTCAATTTTTTGCGAAACCGGCAAAGATGCGGCCAAAAAGGTTTTTATCACTGATCGCACTCCGCGTTTCGCGCCCTCTCTCGGCCAAAAATATCAGCGAATATACCTCGGCTGCGCCTGTAAAGGGCGAGCCAAAACTTTCAGGAATTGATATGTGGCATTTATCTGGCGTGTGTACAAAATTGAAAGAAAATCTGAGCGTCGCACTTGTACTTCCCTTTTAAGTTTCACTTTCAAAGCTGAGGTTTGTTGGTAAATAAAAACAATGAAGAGCTCGATTAATCTCTGCGTGTTGCTCTCCATGCTGTCTATGGTCCTCGTCGTACACTCCGAGCCAATCCCTTTTGCTCAACAGTCTTTGAAAGCCCCTTCAACCACCGATGGTCTGCAGCCGCCGAAAATCGAATATGCCGTAAGTTTGGGTTGGTGTAACGCGGCGGACGTGATCCAGTGGCAAAAAACGCACCATTTTGCATGCGGGAAGTATCAAAAATGTAGCAAAATAAGTCACTCTCCAACTGAAAAGACTCCGGTTTCAAAAGCAAGCCCTTTCCCTCACAAAAAGAGACGCGCTTTTGAAATCGGGGTTTCTACATTTGTAGAGGGAGGTATTTTGCTGCATTTTTTATGCTTCCCGGGTGCACAATGGTACGTTCTTTGCAACTGGTTCAGATCCGCCATTGTAACATCGATAATGCTATGATTATGTCCGTTCTCAGGGTCATTACACCTCAGTTTTTACTCATCATAAACCGTAACAACCCGTTTTTAGTATGACAAATTCAAACGTGGGGTCGACTTAACACAGACTGACAATTTCTGCAAAGGATTCAAGTTCGGATACATCCCGGATATTTTAAATTATTTGCAGCTATACGGTAAGAAAGATGCTTTTTATTGATTTTTTTTAATCGGGCATCCTATATATCACAAAGGGTGCCGTTGACCGTCCAGCCATTGTATAACACGTCACATCCTACTTTTCGTTTTTCAAAACGGGCGGTTTAAAACCGCTCATCTTCTTCTCTCTCCCGCCAGCACACCTTATAGTTTTTAAACGTTTTTGTTATGTACATCCATACATGTCATTGCAGAGCTTCTGCAAACGTCCAAAAACCACTTGACAAATGGCCGTATTGCCATTGGACTCAAAGTGACTGTTCCAGCAACTGCATCTCCACAGAAGCCGCCCACAATTGAGTGGGTGGGCACCGCAGACTTCAAGCATGTAGTCTCCTACGCCCCCTTTGATGGCGACGCTTTGCCAACCGCCGTCCCCACTGACAAAACTTATTTCTACGAGATGGACGCGGGTGATGGGAAATGGTATGCAAAGGACATTGCACAACATGGTACTGCATACACAGGAGTAAGTCTGAGACAACCCAAGACTCATCACATGGCGTACAGTGGCGGACTTGATCCAGTGGTAAAAACGTACCATTTTGCTTCTGGGAAGTATCAAAAACGCAGCAAAATACCCCCTTTTCCAAGTGAGAAGGCTCCGGTTTCAAGCGCCACGTCAAAGAAAAAGTGAAAAAACAAGGAACCTCGGATCATTGATTTTTGACGAAATGTCGCTGAATTATCGGGTCACAAAAGAAAACTTTCCCAGAGAATTTCGAGAAAAATATTTTTTCGAAGAGGAAAATAATTTTTCAAGCTCGATAATTCTGTGGCACTTCGCAAAAAATCAATGATCCGAGGTTCCTTGTTTTTTCAATTTTCTGAAAGAATTGTTTTGACGTGAGCGCCCTTTCCCTCGAAAAAAGAGACGCGCTTTTGAAATCGGTCTTTTCATTTGGAAAGGGGGTATTTTGCTGCGTTTTTGATACTTCCCGGATGCAAAATGGTACGTTTTTCCCGCTGGATCAAGTCCGCCAATGTACACTTACAATAAGTTTCTGTTTCAGACGATACTCTGCAGCAAACTGCTGACCAGCAAAAGCGACGAGTTATAAACGTAGCCAACCCCACTAATCATACCAGACAGTATCACCGCTAATTTTTGATTTTTTGATGAGGTTTTGTAATCGCCTTTTTAGAATTTGAATAAAACTGTGATTGTAAAAACCCCGTTTTGCACAGTGCATTTCACTTTTTTTTGTTTTTGCACTGTACGGTGAAAAATCGCTGGAAAGTTTCAACCATGCCGCTGCGTCGGCGTCAGGAATTTGCACAGTGCAAATGGCTTTTTTGAGGTTTGCACTGTGCGAAAAGCTCAAAACGCACTGTGCGTTTGCGACAAGCGTGGGAAAAAGTTCAAAATGCACCGTGCGAAAGAGAAATTGCACCGTGCATTCATCATTCATTTTTTGGTTTTTGCACAGTGCATTTGAAACATCGCTGCGGCGTAAGTTTTTCGCACAGTGCAAACCGCAAAAAAGCATTTGCAATATCGCTGCGACGTAAATAAATTCTCTCAACCGCGTCGCTGAAGAATTTGCACAGTGCAAATGGCTTTTTTGAGGTTTGCACTGTGCGAAAATGAGAAAATGCACTGTGCGTTGGCGACAAGCGTCGGGAAAGGTTCAAAATGCACCGTGCCAAAGCAGAAAATTCCAAACGTCCATGCACTTCATGGAAACACTAATATTCTCAACGAGCTTGAACTCAATGATCACTTTTCATCTGATACCGAACCTTTCCAGTGTTCAAAGAAAACATACGTACTTTCGAAGAACAACAATAAAAGTCCAACAATGTGGATGGATCAAAAATAAAAAATATTTTTCCGCCGCTTTCGTTTGGAAAGCGCACTTTGCCCGACCTGTCGAAATGACCTCTCGCAGCTGGCCAGCCTCATAATCAATATTGTTTTCTCTCTTTTACAAAATGACCCGTTATAAAAGGTCTTTCCGATGGATTTTTTAATTTCTTCACTAAAATCCATCAATTTTTTAGGTAATTTCAAGTCGTTAGACCAAATTTTCAAATGCTTTTTGTGTGTTTCATAAATCAAAACGAAGGTCTTTGGGACATTTGGCCTTTAAAATGGCTTTTTGAAGCGTTTTGGCCAGATAATCTTCAAAAATATCCTAAAAATCCCGGATTTTGGTAAATCTTGCCATGGATAATATAATTTTAGGTAATGTTTGGAGCTTTTTAAAATAATTCTGCAAGAATACAGGTTCTAAATTATTTTCCAGCTCTATTAAGGTCTTTTATACCTCATATTACATCAATTTTGTCATGGACAATATAATTTTAGAAAAATTTTTTTTGACCTTGTCCAATTTTTGTTAAAATTTTGTGATTTCGACCTTTATCACACCAAATTTGATCTCTACAATATTTCAGAACACATTTTAAGCACATTTTTCCGGGTTTTATATCAAATTTTCCATGGATAATATAATTTTAGGTCATTTTTCCATTTTTTTCTAATTATTCTTTCTGAATCCGCAAAAAGCCTATCTCAAAATGACCTCAGAGTAATGAAAAACAAAGTTCGGACCCAACTGAAAAAGTTTGTTGTCTAAAAAAACATTTTTTTCACATGATCTTTCCCCCTGCTTTTTCTCCAAACGAAAGCGATTTTTCCCGCTTTTTGCAGTTGATAAGAATGAAATATTCGATAACCCAGAGTTTTATAAGATTTTTCACGTATCAAAAAATTCTTGTAGGACTAATTTGAGTTTTTTTTTTGTCAAGTGTAATATAATTTTTGTTGCGATTCAGAAAAATTTTGATCAAAACAGGTGTGAAATGGATGAAAAGTGGTACATGATGTTTTAAAAAATATCTTTAACCTATATTTTACAACTTTTACTCACTATTTTTTCAGCACAGTGCAAAACGGGCAAAAAATCACCGCACTGTGCCAAAAATTAAAATCGCTGCACAGTGCGCTCTCATTTTTGCACTATTTTCGCTCATTGCACTGTGCAAACTGAAATTTTTCTCGCACAGTGCAATTTTCTTTCATTTTTCAGTTTCTGTCTAGAAAATCCGTCATCTGATGCTGAAAACTGTTGGCATACACAAGTTTCAGCTTTGAAAATGAGCGTGAAACACCAACTTTAGATATCTACTAGGTATTTAAAAAAATTTCATTCGTATAATGGAAGATAAATGTGTCATGATGACGTATTTTCTGGATTTTTGGAAAATGACGAATTTCTCCGAAATTTTTGTCATTTCGAGGGCGAAAGATGTCTAAAATACGGTTTTAGAACCGCGAAATCATTGTTACATCGATTTTTTTGATCATTTTCAAGGTTTTAATACCTAATTCGCCATGGGTAATATAACTTTTCTCTATTTTTGACAATTTTAGGTAATATTTATGAATTTTCTGATTTCTCCTGCTAAAATACGAGTTCCAAATCCTCCTTCGCCCCCTTTTCAAGCCGGTTTGACCCAATTTCAGTCCGATTTTGTTATGGATAATATAGTTTTTCTCGATTTTAGTATGTTTCGGTCGATAAATCGACTAATCCTCCCACAGACCCGTTCCAGATGGTGCCGATTCTACCAAGGACGTCCGATGACGGTGACACCCGGCATCGACGATCATGTCTCGAACGTGGTTTTGATCAAGTCCGCGGATCCCAAATTCCTGTCCATCGAGCTTCAGATGGGTAAGAAAAAAAAATTTTTTTGAAAAATTTTGAGTTTTAGAGGACACAGAGTCTCTGAGGATCCCATTGGTATGGCTTCGGGATCATTGTCGGAGCGAGAAATTCTATGATTACAAGACGAACCAGAGAAAGTCAAATGTGACGTCATTGTTTGACCAAGCTCGATTGAGCATGCATAAGTAAGTGTTTGTATTGTTCTTTTGAGTATTTAGGAACTTCTGAAGATACGTACGACCCTTTAAATCCAACAAATTGCTGTTTCTGAAAAAAAATTTTCTTGTTTTAGGTATCCGGACCTTAATTTAGATCGCACAAGACTTAAATACAACATTTCTTTGATATTTTGGGTTGTAGAATTACAAGAACGTTATGTTTTTGCTGTTTTGAAGGCAGAAAGTTGAATTTTGTGAAAAATTTTATATTATTTTAGGTAACCAGACCTTGTTTTAGCTGATTTGATGGGGAAATGAAGGTTTCTGCGGTATTTTTTGTTGCGGATTTTAAAGAGGGACTACTCTTATCTATTTAAAAAGAGAAATATTGTATTTCGATTAAAATTTATGTTACTTTAGGTATCCGGATCTTATTTTAGATAAATTTTTGTCTCGGAAATTCAAGTTTTATACATTAATTTGTCGTGTTTACCTCTAAATTGTATATAAAAAAATATTTTTAGATGTAATAAAAGGGTTTTAATAAATTTTCACCTTATTTTAGGTAACATTTGCCTTGTTTTACCCTAAAAACCGTATTTACCCAAATTTTTTCAGAGTTCCTTTCGAATTCGACAAGAAGCATCAATTGTTAACTGTTCGATGGGAGGATGGGCATGAAAGCACGTTCAATTCAAAGGAATTACTGGATTGGGCCGTGTTTACCCGAAAAGATTATGACGAATGTGCCTCGAGGACTTTGTGGAATGCCTCAACATTACGGGAAATACCATCAGTGTCAAGGTAGAGCATTTTGAACGATTTGATAGTCTTTTTTGGCGTAAAAAAGAGATTTTTTGAGCGTTTTATATTATTTTCGGTATAAAATGGCCGAAACTCTTTGAAACGTCCGAATTTTTGGATTTTAATTTCTTGTAAAATACGTCAGCTTTCATTAGATAGTCATTTTTGTTGATTTTTTTGTCGAAGGAGTAAATTGCGTTTTTCCAATTTTTCGAAATTTTTAGGTAACAAAATTCAAAAAATCTCAAATTTCACGCGATTTATCGAATTTTTGCGGTGTAAAATACGAATTAAAATTAATGTCAGCCCTCTTTGTAAATTTTTATCACCGAATGAACTGAAAAATCTGCTAAAATACGATGAAAATTTCGATTGTTTCAGTCAAAACTTTGATTTCGCCGTTTTTGCCCGATTATTCGTCCGATTTGGAGTGGCCGCGGTGCTCGGCGTGGAATCACGGAATGAGAAAGCCACAAAGAAGCTGTGCGAGTCCATCGCACCTTATCATGGCACCTTTTTTGGCGATTTTTGGGTGTTTGGCACTAATGAGAAGGTAAAATTTTTTGGTAAAATACGTTCCGTAATTTTGAGATTGTATGTGAGAGTGGGTTAAGGTTTGTTTTTAGTGATTTTTAAGAGGAAAAAATTGAATTTGAACCTTATTTTACCCAATGTTTTGATGTTTTTGACCAAACCGTTGATTTTTCCCCATATTTAGCCGAATGAAGCCGCCTACGACAAGCATGAGGACTCTGCTTATGGAAACGCTGAGATTGGCCCACATAACGATGGGACTTATATGGATCAGACCCCCGGAATTCAAGTTCTCCATTGTTTGAGACAGGCCAACGAAGGCGGAGAAAACATCTTCGTGGACGGATTTGCGGCCGCCGAACAGCTGAAAAAAGAACGCCCTGACCTTTTCGACGTCCTAGCGACAACTCCCGTGGAGCATCACTACTTGGAAGGCCTTGGTAAGGGAATTTGTAAACTGCAGACTGCAGGTGACATTTTATACGAACGAGGATATGATCTCTGATTTTGATGAAACTTGACGGAAATTAAGAGTACCGGTTTATAAGAGATTTTAAAGACTTTTTTAGCTTCCGAATTATGTTATTTTTTGAGATTTTTAGATTGCAAAATTGAAAAATTTGGATTTTTTTTTTGTTTTTTTGGGGTGGGATTTTCAAATTCAAAGAAAAAGAGAGGGCTATATTGCTTTTACAAAAAATCTATTTTTTTGCGACAAATTTTTTTTATTTAAAAATTTTTGCCTTGGTCCCCCCTGACCATTTTTTGTCAAAACATTTTTTTTGAAACGTTTTTAGTATCTTTTGAAATTGCATTTTCTTGACAATCTATGTTCTAAAACCTCTGATTTATTATATTTTTTGATTTTAGATAGCCCAAACTTTGGGTCCGACGACTATTTCGATGAAGATCCAAGCACTGTAAATGAAAAAAGAAAGGAGAAATTACACGCCAGAAGTGTGGGAAAACCCGTACTGCACTGCTTCAAACACAAAGTGAATCAGATCACGTAAGTCTAGAACGATTAGAGTGGTAAAAGTTGGTTTCGCACAGTGCATAGGCATTTTTTGAAATTTGCACTGTGCGGTGAAAATAAAATTGAATTTATACTGTGCAAAATGGATTTTTTTAAATTGACGTTTTGTATGGGGAAATTGTAAAGCATTAGCATAATTTTTAAACCAAAAAATTTTTTGATTGTAGCTTTTACACGGTGCAATAGATATTTTTTTTCAAATCTGCACTGTGCGGCGAAAAAAATTTTGAATTTGCACTGTGCAGAATGGATTTGATAATTTGACGTTTTGTATGGTAAATTTTTAAAGGACTAGTTTGATTTTTAACAAAAATTTTTTTGAATTCCGCTTTTGCTCGGTACAAATGATTTTTTTGAAATGTGCACTGTGTGGTGAAAGTAAAATTGGAATTTCACAGGGCAAAATGGATTTTATAAATTGACATTTGGTATGTTGAATTTTTAAAGCATTAGTGTAATTTTTAAACCAAAAAACTTTTTTATTGTAGCTTTTGCACGGTGCAATAGACATTTTTTCAAATCTGCACTGTGCGACGAAAATAAAATTGAAATTGCACAGTGCAAGATGGATTTTATAAATTGACGTTTTGTATGGTAAAATTGGAAAGCACTAGCGTAGTTTTTAAATAAAAAATTTTTGAATTCCGCTTTTGCACGGTGCAATAGGCATTTTTTGAAATCTGCACTGTGCGACGAAAATAATTTTGAATCTGCACAGTGCACTGGAATTTTTTTTTTGATTTTTATTATTTTTTCATTTTCAGGTTCAATCCCTATGACCGAGCGCCCCTCCGGACCCTCCGAGTAGTCGAACTCGACGCCAGTGCGGCCGAACGCAACGTGGAACTCACTGTTTTGTGGTACGAAGCCTATGAAAAGCTCTCCCAAATAATTCACAACGAGAACAATGCACTCAAAGTGAAGCTACAACCAGGAACAGTTGTGTTTTTCGATAACACACGGATTTTGCATGCTCGGAGCGGATTTGAAGTGAGTTTTCTGGGGAAAATTAAAAAAATTTTTTTCCTTTAAATTTTTTTTGTTTCAAACATTATGAAAATTAAATTTTTAGCCTAAATTTTTTTTATTGCCTTCAATTTTATCAAAATTTTTTCGAATTTTCCGCAATTTTATTTTGACCGCACCATGCAATTTTTGGAAAAATTTTTGATTGCACAGTGCGCGCCTGATATTTTTGGGTATTGATCAAAATATTTGAAACTGAATATTTTATTCACCTACGGTTGTGTTTTGCCGATGGCGATATTTTGCGCGGTGCAATCTTTAATTTTTTTCCAACTGCACAGTGCGATTTTTTAAAAAGTTCTAATTGCACCGTGCGAAATGTGGAATTTGTCGCTGTTTTTGATTAAAATAATTTATAATCGACTGAAAATTATTGTTCATGTTAGATTTTGCCATTTACAGTATTCTTGACCATGCAATTTTAAATTTATTTTTCGTCGCACTGTGCAATCCCCGAAATTTTAGATTTTTTTTTGCAAAAAGGAAATAAGATGGCAGTTTGTTGTAAAATAGTTTATCAACAATGTCTGTGGGAGTGTTTTCGACCCCCAACTAATTAGATATTCGATTTCAGGGCCATCGAAAAATGTGCGGCTGCTATTTGAGCAGGGACGGTTTCCTGGCCAAAGCACGGCCATTATTGACCTCCGACTACTATAAACACATTTAGGAATGTTTATTTCCACCTTCTAGCCATATATTTGTATTTCTTTGCGGGTATTCAAATAAATATCAAATATTTTTGAATATTTCTGATTTTTTGGTTTTTGTTACTAATTGTTTTTGCAGACAGCATTTAATACCTTTTGTTTCTGCAGTATTATTTTTATTCACTATTTCTTCAAAAAACTGATTTTTTTAACCGCACAGTGCGATTTTTCCCAAAAATTTTCTTTTGCACTGTGCAGATTTAAAAAATGTCGATTGCACTGTGCAGTTGAGACATTTTGGGAAATTTTTTTATGAGAGAGTTGAATTTGGTCTGTTTATGAATTTTATATCACCAAAGTAGATTTTGGTTATTTTGCAAAGTGCAATTTTACCGTATTTCTCCGTTGCACTGTGCAGATTTGAAAAATGTCGATGGCACTGTGCATTTGAGAACTTTTGGGAATTTTTTTTTATGAGAGAGTTGAATGTGGTCTGTTTATCAATTTTATATCACCAAAGTAGATTTTGGTTTTTTTGCAAAGTCCATTTTTACCGTGCTTTCAAATTGCACTGTGCAGTTTTGGAAAAAGGTCGATTGCACAGTGCGGAATAGGGGTTTTAAAAATATTTTTAGATAGAAATGCGTGAAATAACCTACTCCATGAAATTCATCACTGTTTTGCAAAAATTTTCATTTTCGACATGCCAATTTTGACCCAATTTCCCGCCGCACTGTGCGAATTCCAAAAAATTCGAATGCACAGTGCAGTGCCGATAGTAAAGCAGAAATGGAAATGGCTGAAAATTCCAAAAGCGGAAACGATTTCCCCACCGACCTCCCGCTGTCATAATGTGACATTCCGTTTAATTTCATGCATATGCAGCTGTTTTTTCGGCGGGTCTTTTTTTCGAATTTCCCATTATTTTAATCGAAAATTTTTAGTCAACTCGGAATAATTAGTTGTCTGAGAGGTCTCTCAGCCAGTTTCTAGCTCAAAAATTTTTTGAAAGTCGGACTTTGAAAAGGATTTTTTATGTTTTCTAAAGTTATTATAACTTTGATAAAAGTTACAATGTTGCGTCATGCGTATTTTAAATTTTTTACTGCCAAAAAACACTGTTTTTGTCATTACTTTTATTATTTTTATTTGATTTTTACCGCACAGTGCGGTTTTTATAAAAATGTCGATTGCACTGTGCGGAATGGGAATTTTGGTTTTCAATTTGAATAAAAATATTTGAAATCAGCTAAAAATTATTTATAATAGTTCGCTTTGCCCATTGCTGTTTTCTGCACTGTGCAATTTGAACTTTAATTTCCGCTGCACAGTGCGGTTTTTATAAAAATGACGATTGCACTGTGCGGAATGAAAATTTTTATTTTTTATTTGAATAAAAATATTTGAATTCGGTTAAAAATTACCTACATAGTCCCTTTTGTCGACTGCTGCTTTCTGCACTGTGCAATTTGAACTTTAGTTTGCACTGCACAGTGCAGTTTTAGAAAAATCACGATTGCACTGTGCAAAATGAAAATTTTTGGAAATTATTTTGATCGGATGTATTGGAAATCGACTGAAAATTGTTCTTATTGACAAGAAAACTATCTAACTTTCTTCCTGACAACATAAATTACCAGCCATATCATTCTGCACTGTGCAATTTCCACTTTGATTTTGACTGCACTGTGCAGTTTTAGAAAAAAGTCAATTGCACCGTGCAAAATGAAAAATTGCGGCTCGATTCGTTGTACGGAGGCTTCACGGTGGGATTCTTTTTACGTAACACACCAAAATTTCCATTCAAAAATTCGAGATTACTTCCGCTCGCGTAACAATAGAGACTGCACTGTGCAAGCCGGCCGTTTCCCCCGCGAACAATGCCAATTCCCAAAACAAAAGTGAAATTGCGCATTTGCGGGGGTCTTCTGGGAACAGTTGGTGGCTCTCCGCGATTCGAACGTTTTTCTTTTATCCGAATTTAAATCCGTTTTGGAGGCGCAGAAACGAAATCGTTTTTTAAAACGCGCAAAGTCTCAATACCCTCCGAATTAAAGCCCGTTAAAAACAGAGTGGAGTGTTGGGGAGGCTGCCAAGAGTGTGGCAATTTCGAGATTTTGGGTTTAAACCGAAATTTTTCATCGAAATTTAGGGGTTTGGACTTTGCACAGTGCTTAAAGTTTCGAATGTTTTGCACTGTGCGATGCAAAATTTTTGCTATTTTGTATCTTCAATAGAAATTTTGACATGCACTGTGTAAATTTTTGATCACAAATTGCCAGAATTTTTGGTCTGCACGGTGCAAATTTGGGAAAAAACCGACTGCACAGTGCGAAATAAAGATTAATTTTTTTGCACTGTGCGATTCAAACTTTTTGGTATTTTATATCTTGAGAATGGATGATTACATGCACTGTGTAAATTGTTAATCACAATGCACCGGAATTTTTGGTCTGCACGGTGCAAATTTGGGAAAGAGGCGACTGCACAGTGCGGAATTAAGTTGGGTCATTTTTGCACTGTGCGATACAAAGTTTTTGGTATTTTATATCTTAAGAATAGATGTTGACATGTACTATGTAAATTTTTGATCTCAAATTGTCTGAATTTCCGGTCTGCACGGTGCAAATTTGGGAAAAACCCGAATGCACAGTGCGAAATAAATTTCGAGTTTTTTGCACGGTGCACGGCTAAAATTTATATTTTTCTTGATGCGACGATGGTATTTGACACTAGTTATTGACATTTCCAACAAAAAATTGGACAATTTTCCACTCTGCACAGTGCAATTTCTAATAAAATTAGACTGCACAGTGCGGTTTTAAAAAAAATAATTTTTTTGAGACAGTGCAAATACAATATTTGAAAATATTTTTGGAGAGCTATTTAGAATTGTTAGAAATGAAATTTTTTCTCCGAAATTTTTATTTTCCTCCTCACTGCACAGTGCAGTTTGTCGGAAAAAAGTTGACTGCACAGTGCAATGGAATTACATAATAGATGACGCAATATAATCCACACACTTGTTGGCTCGTAAATTCAATGACCTCATTATGTCGCCAGTTGGGATCTGGTGGGGTCTATATAATCGTGTCTGTTATATTATCCATCATAATTTTGGTTAAAAAAAATTTTTTTGTTTTTGGTCCAATTTTGATGAAACTTTCTACAAATGAAATTTTAGACTTTATGAGGCATATGTGAATTTTTTTTGCTGAGATTTTTAGGGCGGAAATTCCAAAAAAAATTTTAATTAAAAAAATTTTTTTTACAATTTACCCTTCCCTTCAAAAGTTACAATACAATTTTTTACATCAATTTTACTCTGTAGACTATTTTTTGTCTGCCTCACTCGCTCCGAATATTCTAATTAATCATTTGCAGCGCTTATCGGGTATTCAAATCGCTGGTTATTAAGTGCCCCCCTCTCTATTTTTCTCGCTTCCCTTTCCCATATTTTTTATGTTTTTCGATTTTTTTATCTTGTGTTAAAGAGGCGTCCGAATTTATGGCCGGTTAATGGCGATTTTCCGAGTGAGTTTCGGTAATTTATGGGATTTTTGACAAACTTATTTGTTTTGGAGTGAGGTAATATAGTAAAAAATACTTAAAATGTGCTATTGTATCGCATTTTGCTCCAAACTATTCTGCACAGTGCGATTTTCCATTTTGGTTTGACTGCACAGTGCGGATTTTTAAAAATTTTGGACTGCACAGTGCAGGAGTGAAATTTTTAAAATATTTTTAAATGAAAATAAACAATATATGCTAGTAATCAATTACTATGTTTTTATTTTACCACATCTTGTTTTTACTCTGTGAAATTTCGACTTGCTTTTTTACTGCACTGTGCAAAACGAATTTTTGCCTATTTTGTGCAAATTTTTCATTACTTTCGATTGCTATTAATTTTTTTGTGACGCCTAGGCTCTACTATATATCTATGATCAGTTTTGAGATCATATCCTATTTACTTTTTCAAGTACAGCAAGATTTATTTTTCTTCGGTTCGGGTTACGGTAGAATAAAAATTGCAACCAAAGTCGAATTTGGAAATGCTTTTTTCTTGATGCTAGATTAATTTCTACGAGTCTAGTGTCCTTTCTGCGCTAAGATCGCCAAGACTTGTCATCGTCTTCAAATTGAAAAATTATATTATACATGACCATTTGGCTCCAAAAAAATCTTGGCAAAAATCCCCTCCAAGGCTAATCAAATATCCCCTCGTCGCATTGCATGCCCTCCTCAACTAACCAGATTTGTCGTACGCGGAAAGGCGAGGAGTTTGGAGACCTTCGAACTCGTCTCCATTTCTCAATTCGCCCATCCCGTCCCCGCTCTCCGCGAAAGCGCCGATCTTTCGGGTCGGCGCTGCGGTCGAGGCCTGTTTGTTGTATCGAATCTTTTTCGTGCCTCTTTATTTTTTTAAAGACGGGCCATAAATTTAATTTTGTTATTTTTCGCGGCTTCCACAACATCTCGCTATGTACAAGATAATAAGTGTGTAAATTTGCGAAGTAATTGAGTGTCGAATACTCTATAGAGAATTTGCAGGTCATTTAGAGTGATTTGTGGGGTATTTGAGGTTTTTACGAGAGTTTTTGACTTATATTACACTTGATATTTGATGACTAAAATAAGGCCCTAGGATATGAGGAAGTTATTTTTGAAGAGGAAAATAATTTTTATCCAGCTTTTTATGCTATTTGTGACTAATTGGCATTTATTTTGAGTATCTGTCATCCCATTTTGAACTTATATTACACTAGACCCATCTAAAATAAGGTGGATTTTTGAGTGAGTAAAAGCACAAATATGACTCAAATATACTTTAAATAGTATTTAAATTCTATTTCTGGTATGTTCAGGCATTATCAAGCTGTATACCACCTAATTTTTATATTATATTACACTTACCCTACATTTGATTACTAAACTTTTTTTCTCCTCTAAAATCAAAGTTTTGATGTCCAATACGACTCCACAAGCCTTTTGGTTCCCAGAACTACCATTTCCGATCATTTCCCGCTTTCTCTTTTTTCAAGATTTGCATTATATTACACATGACCATCACGGTTTTGTTTTCAAATCCGTAAAACAGGCCTTTCTGGCGATTGTTTCCCCAATCAAAGAGCATTCCAGCCTCCTCCGATTGCACTGATAATCCGTCTTTGTTCGAATACCAAAATGTTTTGATTGCATGATTTGTAACCGCCGATATTTGCACGATTTTATTGCCCACCAACCTTAATGGGCTTCCGCAAATGATTTATTTTTATTTGGGCGGCCTTTTGAATGGATCGGAGGGAGAGGTGCTGATCCAGGACGAATGACGGGTTTCGGAGCCGGTTTTAGACGTTGTCCAGAAAATCTGTCATCCCGACGGGATGAAATTGGGTTTTTTGTGGGGAAATTTGACTTTTTTCAGACTTTGTATGCATTGTTTTATCGTATTTTACCAATTTTGGGTTTTTGTTGTCTCCGCTGACGTCATTATTAAGAACTTCCAGAAAATCCGTCATCATGGCTTCTTTATTTTTTAAGGTATCCAGTAAAAATTTTGTGGTTTAACAACAGTTTACTTTACGGTGCGTATTTTACAACAGTTTTCCAATTTTACTTTCCGCTTCTGTCTATATTGTTATCGCGATGACGGGTTTTCTGGAATTTCGCGAAATTATTTTCCGATTTTCAACGACTTTTCATGCCGCCCAAAAACAACATTTAGATGGCCTCGACCAAGGTCTACTCATATTTGGACGACGATAATACACCATTCCTGACCAGTGTCCCGGTTTCGGCGAGTCAAATTACACTTGGTGACTTCAAAAAGGCCCTCCCGAAGCGGAATCTCACGTATTCGCAGAAAGTTTTTGATGAAAATGTCAAGAAGTAAGTGTATTTTGATTAGCAAGTCGGAGATTTCAAGATAAAAGAGTTTTTAGTTACTGTTTTTGCATTTTTCTATCTGATCCTCATGGATAATGTAAATTTCTTCAGACACGTCAAACGAACAATCCACGACGACTCCGAGCCCCTTCAGCTGAACGAAAATGGAGTTGTCGAACTTTTTCTAACCTCAAATGGTCCTATTGGGACACTAAAGACCAACGGAAGGCACTACAAAAACCTTCCACCGCATCTGGCCAATTATGGAGTAAGTTGCTTATAACTTTTGATTTGATGTTTAGGTTGGTGATCTGGACGTGTGTGGAGGTCAACGGGTGTCGATGGTTACTGCTGAGCCATCAATTTCGGGTGCTGGAAGCTATTTGAGCAGTGAGTTTTATTATACTTGAAATTGTTGTTGTATGTAACGGAAAACTTGTTGTTTCTTGGTGAATATTGATAGGAGTTGGATGAATTTGGTATTATTAGAGAGCTTAGGGCATAATTCAGCTAACTGTTTCATGTTTGAGTTAGAATATTTTGATTACCATAGAGTTTTTATCTATTTTCGGTTAAAGGCCATGAATAATATAAATTTTTAAATTTCAGAGCGAGCAGGCGAACAATTAGCTAGTATTGACAACACCTCAGCCTCCGAAGACCCTTATGTATTCGAACAGAGCAGTATTGCGAATCAATCTTCAGATTATCTTCGAGTTATGAACACCACAGACTATTCGAGGAGGAGGAAAAAACGAGAACGATATCGGCGGCCATACGTCCCGAGTACGATCTCATCAGCTTCTGGGATGTCGTCAGTACCTCAGGTGACAGAGATTATGCTCGACCTGAGGGAACATGCACTTGGAATTGACATTGGAATGTGTGATGGAGCTGTTTTGATCACAAGTATTGCGAAAAGTAAGTCTTTTCGGATTTTTTTGTGTTATACGTTTAGGGAAGTGAGGAGAAGATTATGTCCATCATTTTGCGGCAAAATTTGGCTTGGCGATGTCAGATTTCAAAGGTTTTGTCTAAAATAATATAATTTTGATCGACATTTTGGATTTTCGATATTGTTTCATTCCTAATGAATCAAAAACAATATGAAACTAACATCTATGCTTCAAATAGGATCTATACTCCATATTTTCCAGACAGCGCGGCCGATCGTTGTGGCGCATTGGGCGTTGGAGATCAAATTGTTCAAGTCGACAATACCTCATTTGAAGAACTCTCGGATGAACAGGTTGTGAGCCTGTTGAGGAAGATCTCAAGTCAAAAGCGAGTTGTGCGAATTGTAGTGGCAAGATACAAACGAGATTCGGACCAACGATCGGATGCTTTGAGTGCACTGTGCGAAACCGCCGAAATTGATGTATCGCTGTGGGTGGAGGGAACAAAGTAAGTATTTTTGTCTTTTTGTTGGCTTTTAGGCTAAGATACGAGATGGCGGTGTCACTTTTCTGTGATTGTGACGTTTCAAACACCTTTTTGGAATTTTTGGATATTATACTAGATAAAAATTTTAAAAAAGCGATGTTTTCGGCTATTTTTTTGTCGTTTCATTAAGAATTATGAAGTGTAATCGTCCTTTATCTGCAGACAAGCAAATCCCGATGCTCCGTTTGACGACTTCCATCAAAATCCAAACACCTCGGCCCATATAAATGAAGCGGCCGAAGAGACGTCGGACGAGGAAAGAGCGGCCTATGATGATCGTAGAAATGGAATTGGTGCCCATTTTGTCCCACAGATTAAGTTAATGAGAGCAATTCATCAACGCACCGAGGCTAACGGGCATATTCCGAACGACGAGAACGGTAGGTGTTTGATTTTTTTGTTTTCGATTTTTAGGTATGAAGCATGAGGATTAATACGAATTTACCGAGGTGTTATGGAGTAAAAGTAATACTCTTGCTATTGCAGATCGCCATTCCCGCCTATCGGCAACGGACGCCATGGAAATTGTGGTCCGACAAATGGCCCGTCTCGACTCGGGCCTCAAAATTAAGGACCGAAAATGGCTCAAGATCCCCATCCCCATGTCCTTTATCGGTCATGAACTCGTGAACTGGCTTCTGGAGAATGTGGATGGCCTAGATAATCGGAAACAAGCAAGGAATTATGCGAAACAATTGCTGGAGAAGGGATTCATCAAACACGCTGTGAATATGAACTCGTTCAGCGAGAAATGCTACTATAAATTTCAAGGTGAGTAGTTAAAAAGTGGTAGAAAGATGGGAAATTTTGGATAGTAGGGGTTTAAAGGCGATCTAGACGGTTGATTTGAGAATTTTGAAGGTTTTGGGATATTATCCATGAGGTTAATGGAGAAATTTTTGAATTTTGATTTTGGAGGTGAAAATTGATGGAAAATTACTGTTAAAGGCGGTGTCTGGTATAAAAAGGGCTCTAGTTTTCTATGGAGTAGTTTTTGAGACACCTAAGGCCGGGGATTTCCCACACAGAGCAATTTTTGATATTGTCCATGGGATCTAATACCTTTTTTTGATTTTATTTTTTCACCTAATGAAATGGATGAAAAGTCTTGATACTGCTGTTCAATTTGCGCTATATAGGTTATATTTAAACGTGGTATGTTTAAAATACGGGTTATTGAAGAAACTGTTGGTAAAATATGACTTTTTATATTACACATGAGGTTAACAATTTTTTTCAGAGAAAATATGCGAAGAACGTCTTCTCATGGAACAGCAAGCCAAGCTGAACACCGTAGACAGTCCCACAGAGATTACGTACATGAGCGGACCTTCGTCTCCCCACCAGCCTCATCGACAAATACCTAATAATTATCATACCGGACCCTTGGATGGTAAGTCTATTTTTTGGTGATTTTTGAGAGAATTAAGATAATTTCGAGGTTAAAAAGGATGTTTAAAGGCGTCTAGTTTAACTTAGAGTAGTTTGAGATACAATTGAAGGAAATATTGATATGGTTTTGATACAAATTTGACCTTATTTTAGTCCTCCAACAACGTCAAATCAACTATTCCGGAACACAACCACCACCCCCTCGAATCAACCCCCAAATGACCTCCAAGTCCCAACCAGCCCTCCCCAACACATTACCCATGAATTCAACACAAGTGCAACGACCTATGAACTCAACGGCCGTCGACCTCTCCAAGTGGGAATTCAGCCCAATCCCCGCGCGAAATTACCGCGATTGCGAGTCTACCTCGGGTATTTATGATGTAGTTAAACAGTAGATAGCTTTTTAGTAGTATACGCAGCAGTTTTTCGATGTAACGAGACCTTTTTTACCTTATTTTAGATTAAAATAAGGTAAAATTTGGCGAAAATTGATGATTTTTTGATGTTTTTGTATAGAGAATTAATAGATTTGGGGTTTATATGATAGGATACGCCAAGTTTTACCGAGAAATGGTCAATTTTTCCAGATTCGTTACATTGGATTACTGTGTCATAGATAATATTGTTATTAACCTAATATTCTACATGCTTCCAAAGCTCAACCCCTAACGTTCCTAGGTGAATAGACGAGTGTAAAAAGTTCATTCTCGACCAAATTTTCGCGATAGCTTTCATTACGACGAACCAAAATCTCCCACTCAACGACAAGTGCAATATTTATTTTTTCTTCCAGAAAATTGTTATGAAATTAAAATTTATTACGAGTAGTGGCGGAATTACTCTTGCATAGTTGTTATATACAAACTTGGAATATAATTTTGTGAGGTTTTTATATTGATTTAGGTCCTAATTGAAGGTCTTGATGGCATTGGATACAGCTCGGCGCTTTTGATCCATACACAGCCAAATGCCCCTAGAAAAGAAAGGGTTAATAATTGGGGAGGTTCAAAAAAAGGGCACTTGATTTTCACGTATTTTACCATGGAATTATTCGACATTTTTGAAGAACTTCCGAAAAAATAGCAAAAATCGAAAAGAGACCAAGGCTTGCACAAAAAGCTTTATAAGCAAGTGAAATACCCAAACAACGTTTTTACGATCCAAACAGACTCTTAAAAAACGCACATCCTTTACAGACTCGATGAAAATTCCAAAAAATTCAAAACAAAAATTTTGGGCTCAGCCGGTGATCGAAACCGGGGCCTCTCGCACCCAAAGCGAGAATCATACCACTAGACCACTGAGCCGCGCTTCGGTTGCTCGAGAAAATCGCAGAACATCCAGCAGTGATTAGCTTTCCCGAGTGGTCAGCGATTCAGAAACCGGATTTTTTGTTTCTTCTTTCGCCGAATCCATTGCGATTTCTTCGGCTCGGAGCAGCGCGGCTCAGTGGTCTAGTGGTATGATTCTCGCTTTGGGTGCGAGAGGCCCCGGTTTCGATCACCGGCTGAGCCCAAAATTTTTGTTTTGAATTTTTTGGAATTTTCATCGAGTAAAGGATGTGCGTTTTTTAAGAGTCTGCTTGGATTGTAAAAACGTTGTTTGGGGTATTTCACTTGCTTATAAAGTTTTTTGTGCAAGCCTTTTAGGGTAATTTTTCGAGTTTCTGGGTGTTTTTATTAGATCTAAGCCCCGCCCTCCTTACACTTATAACTCCTGAGTTTTCCATCGCAAAACTCGGCAGTGAATCCATCTGGGTTTGTGTTCCAATGAATACTCCTCACAGCACTCGATTCTCGGAACACCGCGATCCTGGGGAACTCCCATCTCAACAATTTATACATGTCGGTGTCAGTTTCTTTTTCCTCGTCAGTCGTTTCTTCGTAACCTTCGTCAAAATGACCGCGCAGTTCTTCGATGGGCCCGTTATTCTGCTCAATTTCGTCTTCATTCTCTTGATGTCTCGATTCGTCGTTGCTGGAAAAAAATTTATTTATTTTTGCACGGTGCAAAAAAAGGAACCCTCTTTTTTCCCACTGCAAACGGCAAAACTTTTTTCCGCACTGTGCAATAAACCAAAAAATATTTTTCTGCACTGTGCAGTAAACGAAAATCTTTGTCGCCGCTGCACCGTGCAAAAACGTCGAAAAAACTTCGCCGCACAGGGCGGAAACCCAAAAAAAATTTTTTTGCACCGTGCAACAAACAAAAGAGTCTTTGTCGCCGTTGCACCGTGCAAAAAAGTCGAGAAAGCTTTTCGCCGCACTGTGCAAAAAACATTTTTTTTGCACCGTGCAATAAAAAAAGAGTCTTTGTCGCCGCTGCACCGTGCAAAATAAGTCAAAAAAGCTTTTTTTGCACTGTGCAAAAAAAAAATTTTTTTCCGCACAGTGCAAAAAAAGCAAAACAATTTTTTTGCACCGTGCAATAAGACTTCCAAATTTTCGCACAGTGCAAACTCCCGCTTACCATACAAACCGCTCATCCTTATGGCTTCCATCGAAGAACTGGGAGGGTAAAATCGGGGATGAGTCCGAATCCACCGAGCCCACGATCAAATTCTTTCCCATATGGCCACCGGTGACTGGGCGTGGACTGGCCGACGAATGCGGGGGATGATTTTGGCGGATTCGTTGGATCGGCAGGGGTAAATTCGAATGTGATTGGGGGAGGGAGCTGGACGGTGGGGGGATTTGAGTCCTCTTTTCTGGTTCCTTCTTGTCCGAGAAGTCTTCCGGGAACACCAACTCGCCGTCCTTCTCTCCCACGGCCGTTTCAGCAATGACAAAAGTGTGCAAAAATATGCGACGGCCAACGCCAATGGCCAAAATACTCTCGTTCAGGCCGTTTGATGGGGCAAACGAGACGCAACTGACGTGGTTGTCCATGTCAAAGTGCATGTTCTGTTCGGGGGTGCTGAAAAATGCGATTTTTTAAAAATTTTACAAGAGTGGTATATCATGAAGATACGAAAGCGCGTATTTTACCATAAAGAACACCTCTAAAAATTTCAGAAATTTCGTCAAAATCGCCTAAAATCATCCAAATCACAAAAAAAAATCCCAAAAATCTAGCTAAAATACGACTTTTCTCAAATTAAAAAGGCCTTTATTATAATCCAACTGCCTTATCTTTCCTCTACATATCATTTTCCATCCGAAAAAGATCCAAAAAATATTAAAAATTCCCTAAAACCCATCAAAATCGTCTAAAATAATATCAATTTCAAAAATCTTGGTAAAATGCCACTTTTATCCCAACAAAAAAGCCTTTACCACACTTTTAGAGACTTAGTCCTTCTCCACCACCTTTTTTAAACACCAAAACTTTCAAAAAAACCCAAAATTTGCCTAAAACACGATCAAAACCCACACTGGATCGTTTTTTCTCGGGAAGATCGCGATTCTCTGGTCCGATCTCGAATCCAGGGCATTCGTGGACGCTACCAGGATTGCCAGTTCGTGGACGGGGTTCCTATTCCACGTTAAACTATTAATTGTTTGGTTTGGGAACACTTGAATCGCCATAATCGGGCGCCAAGAAGTGATGTCGCGTTGATTTTCGAGGGTATGGATGACGACTACGCCGGTTTGTGTGGCTGTCGCCAGCTCCATGTCCATGTGTGGGGGGCAGAACTGCATTTCGGTGACGTTGGCGGCCGACGCCATCGAATGTTTTCGGTGCCAGCGGATCAGCGGGACAATTCGGCGCATATTTATGTGGGCCGCCTGTTCGATTCGGTCCTTTTCTGGAATTTGGGCAACAAATTACTTCAGGATCACACTGATTTTTCAATTTTCAGTCAATTCTTGAGTTTTTGAATATTAAAATTTTTCGAAAAAAAATTAATTTTTGGCCAGAAAAATGGTGAGATTTTGATGAAACTTGGCACAAATTTAAAACAGAACTTCCTACGACAAATATGAGAATTTTGCCTTTCAATTTGAGAAATCAGCGAGATTTTTAGACCTGAAAATGAGCAAAAGTTCAGTTTTTTTGATTTTCAAATTGAAAATTTCAGGCTTTATTAGCGAAGGTACAGACAAAAAATTTTTTTTTTTGCAATAATTTTTCGTATCAAGCTGAGAAATATTTTTTTTTTGAAAAATTGGGAACCTCACTTGTAATAAGGCCTAAAATTTTCAAATTGAAAGTCAAAAAAATCTGAACTTTTGCCCATTTTCAGACCTAAAAATCTCGCTGATTTCTTCAAATGAAAGCTAAAACTCTCACATTTGTCTTAGAAGAAATTTTGTTCTCAATTTGTGCCAAGTTTCATCAACACCCAAAAAAAATTTTTTCAAAAATTTTCAAAATTTTTACCATTTTCCGCGAAAATATGGACTCGTCTTTTATTGGACGCCGCCACCGCCAAATATCTCCCATGCCTCGAATGGGCCCACCTCAACACAATTTTTGGCCGCAAAGTGGCGCTGAATGGGTCGTGATACGGTGGGGTTTTGATCGGATTATCCGGGAGCTCAACGATTCTCGGTTGATGATGGTCGAATCGATATCGCCAAGAGGATTGCCGCTCCCATGAGTGCTCGGTGTGCTCCCAGATGCTGATCACACCTTCCACGTCGGCCACGGCCATCAACCGACCACTGTCGTTCATTTCGATCTGGCTTAATTCGACTTTGGAGCCGGAATTTAGGGAATGCCTCTCGTATAAGGCGTAATTCTGGATCAAAGTGTCGTGTTTAGGAGTTCTAAAAGATTGAAAATTATGCATCACACTCTATTCTTCACTTTTAAACTGAAGAAAGTAACTTTCACATTGAAAATTTTACAAAAACACCGAGCTTTTGCGAAACCTTGACCAAGGCTTCCAAAAACCTAAAATTCAAACAAAAAATCAGAAAATACTCACCTCTGCCTCATCCTAATTCGTCCACCGGCCCCTGGAAGCGTCTCTATTAGCGCCATTTTAGATGTCTTCTTCACTCTCCATTCAAAAGTCTGAAACAGACTTCACGTATAACATAACTAAAAAAACCTGTTAGATATTCGAAATAAGGATTGTTAACACCTTCAAGCCACACTTTAACGCTAATACAATAATTAATTTATTGAAACAAATGAACATTCAAGGAAGTTTATCAAAACTTCGGATATTGTAGTAGATCATTGGAAAGTCTTCTTAGTTGTGAGGGATTTGAGAAGATCTTCAAGCTCGTCGTCTTCCATCTTGTTCTCCAAACTGAAACCAAGTTCTTAGACATCTTTTACCAAAATTTAAAAGAAAAAATAATATTATACTTGCCTGGGGATCAACGCCTTCGCTTCTTCCGCAGTTTCAGGGCATAAATTGGCTAGCTGGGCAACCTCAAACTTGTGCAGTTGATTTCGACCAGTGAAGATACTAAAAATGGAATAAAACAAAGAAAAATTATCTTACACTCGAACGGCTCGAATGGTCTCACGACTCTTGAATTTTGAGAACCTTCTGGCATAGTTTAGGGTCTGGAGAAACGCCTCGCTCATGTCCTCGATCTCTTCTTTCTCCTCACTTTGTTTTCTACGATGGTCAAGGAGTAGGAACACCTCAGAGATCATTAACGCATCACAACCAACAACTTCAAACTCTAAAGACAAAAAAAAGATAAATTAGAGTTAACAACCATACCTTTAGGGAATTTGAGTTCAGCGGCATCTTCCTCAACCTTCTCTTCGTGTCCTACCATCTTGGTTATAACTGAAAAAAGGAAGTGGTGGAATAAAAAACATATTTTATGTTATAGTGGATGAGTAGTATAAACGACGCTGAAAAGAGTGACCAAAACGTGTTTTAAAAGCAAAGACAATTTTCATTAACATGACTGAGACATCATTCAACAATCAAAAAAATTTCAAGAGCAAAGAATTCGGTTTAGCAACCAAAATTGGATAAACCATATTACACATGGCATACAAACAAAAATTAATATATAAATGTAGTTTAACACGAAAAAGAAAAGTGCAATCAGAAAAACAATTTTAGTTTAATGAACACACATCAAAACGCCTAATTTCTCCAGCTATCTTGCAGTACAACATCAAAAAACAATTTTTTCCATCTAATCTCATAGATAACAAAATTTCAGTCTGAAAAATCTAAAATAACTCTAATACTCTTCGAATATACCTGAAATATGAAGTAAAATACGTCCCCCAACCTTCATCAAGAAAAACAAGAAAAAGTTTACGCGAAAATCCCTAAAAAGCCAGCTTGAAACGGAATGCCAGAGATAATGCATAAAATTTGACGTTTTTGCGGCTGGAACGAAAAGAAGTGGAAAAAGACTCGTGAGAGAGCTAAAGTAATATCGATCTCGCTTTTCGTCGTGCATTAGTCAATTTTCCCACATTTCGATTGGGGTTTTTCATTTGAATTGGACGCATTTTGCATTAGAACTCATAGATAATATCGGAAATTTGTAAAAGCTGATTTTTTCATGAAAAGATTGTGTGGACTAGATTGCAGATGAGTTTATTATTCTGATTAGAGGTGATTGCAGATCGTCTCAAGCTTGTTGCGATCTCAGGGAAACACTTACTGCCAGCGGCTGAACTTTTTCGTAATCTTTTGTATAAAATGGTGGTCTTGAAGCGAAAACATTCCGATTCGAACGGTCCTCGCCTAAGAGCGGAGCGCAGTACCTCCGAGGAGGAGGAGATCCAAGGAGAAGAGAGGTTGAAGATGGACGAAATGAAAATGTGTCTAAAACGAACGATCGAATTTTATGATCGGCCGAAGCGAGCGAAACGAGTGGGAGTGCTCAGTTTCGCGGATCTCAAACCCTTCTGCATGGAGATGCTGATTGGGTTCATGAAAGAAAAGAATCTGCTTAAAGTTGCGGTAAGTTGAAATTTTTTGGAATTCTGATGGCTAAAGTAATATCGAAAAAAAATTGCAGAAAACAAGAAATTTTTGAGCGTTGTGGAATGATTGCAATCTAAATTTAGTTTCTTATAAATTTGCATTGAACTGAGATCACAAAAACAAATTTTATGCACAGTGCAAAAGAAATGTTTTTCGCACAGTGCAAAAAAATTTGATTCCACGGTGCAAAAAAAATTTCTACGCACAGTGCAAACAAAAAATTTCTATGCACAGTGCAAAAAAAATTTGTGCAAAGCGCAAAAAAAATCTCAAGACTGTTTATCAAATAAATATATTTACCAATTTCTTCTAAGAATACTCTTCAGCTAGTAAACAACCGTCATTTCAACGCGGTAAAATTCTGTTTCCGCTCCAAGCCTTGCCTCAATTTCTACCCCAACTCTTGCAAACAGTGTCTTTCCCGTGAGCCTTGCGCCAACATCACCTCCTTTCGTTGTGGCCATAAAATCATCCACAAAATGGACAAGTGGATGTCGATTTTGAAGTTGGGGATTGTTCGGCCGAGCACGATCTACGTGTGCTCGCTGATTGTACCGAGAAGTGTGAGGATGGCGATGCATGGGTTTCGGAAAATCATCGGCGAGGTTAGATCTCGTAAGTTTTAGGGGGATTTATAGGGAAACCTCTGCAAAGCAAAGTGCGACGCTCAGATTTTGATGAAACTTGGCACAAATTTAGAATGGTTTTTTATAAAACATATGCGAGATTTCTAGCATGCGTTTTGCAGAAACGACTGAGATTTTAGGTCAAAAGCTGGAAAAATGTAAAAATTTTTTTTGCGAATTTTGGCAGGTAAAGCTTCATACCCATTTGTACTTCATAGAGTAATGTTTCCACAAAAAATCAATTTTTTCTGCGCAAAACTGGCAAAGATATGACCAAAAATCTCTGTCATTTCTGCAAAACGCGAGCTTCTTTTGCCAAAGTCATCCAAACCTAAGCATCGTACTTTGTCCACTTTTCCTGTCAGTTCATAAATTCCGTCTGCCTTTCTGTCCTTCAAAACATCTTTATTAATTTTTAAAAACAAATACATTGTATTATTTTTTCCAGCAATAACTCGAATCTTCATAAACGTCTCCAACGAGGAGCACTACCAGAAGCCATTGCGGGAATTGCTCTTGCGCAATCGGGACTCCATTCAACTTATTCACATTCGCAACTCCACCAAAGAGGAGTCGAGGCTGTACTTCGAGGACTTTGCCGAGTTCTACAAGTTCGGCGCCGAAGACTGGTTCCAAACTCGGTCGCCCCGCGTCTTTCAAGAACTGAATCCGAGTAGATAACGATGTATATAAGCGAATGCGGCAAAACCTCGGCATAACAAATTTTAAGGGATCAAAAACATTGTTTTTTATAGGAGGGTTTTGCTCTACAAAGGCCAATTTTTTGACAGAAAATTTTTTGCTCCCAAAAAATTTGTTATACCGAGTTTTGCTCATAGCATATGTAGCTGTAAATAATTTGTAAATAATAGCTAAGAATGCCTTAAAATAGATGTATTGCAGTATGTAATAGATTTTAAAACTTACCAAGAAATTGCTAGATTTAGAATACAGCAATAGCCAAGAACATAGTAGTAAATATATAGCTTTGTAATCAGTAGAATGTAATATACTTGTAGAATTCTGTAATAGCTTGTAAAGCGTAGAGAATACATTTAATTCCCAGGGAGAAAACGTTGGCTGGAATCTGAAATTAAACAAGATTTTATTGAATAAACAATTGAACCTCATCGTTGATATTTTGAAAATTTTTAATATTATGTCGTGTGTGTAGGGCTGTTCGACGAGATGTCCTCAAAAACAACACTGGTAATACCAGGCGGGCAAAAAGTCTTGACATGTTTTCGCGCTGTGCAGGCGCATTCCTTCGGCGTTGCGACGAGTTGTCCCGCGATAACATGATAAAAATTCGACGGGCGCCAAAAGAGAGCGAATTGTCTTTGATTGATCTTTTCAAAGCAATTTTCTCTGGGCTGTGCGGTATCGCAATGCACCGGGAATCTTACTTCTCTCGTCTTAAAAAGTTGATCATGTTCTGCTTCTTGCATATTGTTTGTGATTTCCATACCATAGGTACCAATAAGGTATAGTGATCCATTGAGGTTAATTTCCTAAAAGAATCTAAAAGAAGTAACAAAATTTTTTTACGTCGTTTGGTACCACCCTTACGTTAGGATATTATGCAAATCTAAATATAAGTGGCTGCAATTTACGCGGGAAGTTTGGTCCGTAGATCGAAACGCAAATCTCTGCGATTCGCGGTCAATGAAATACTCTCTAATGCTGGAAAGCTGACAAGATCTATACCATTCGAAAGTGTTAAATTTTCTGGTATACGCCGATGTGGTGAAGCCAGCTAGCCGGGTCTCACATAAAACAATTGTCAAGTTGGTGCATGCAACCGCGCGGAAAGCATGTGGTACAAAAAGCTCCGCCTTGATTTTTTTGATGGCCGTGGCTGGTGGTTGTTTGCAATCTTCCGCCTGTGGTGGTTCAATAAGCGCGCTTCCGGTGCCCCGTGGGCAGATTTGGAATGCTCCCACACAGTGCACGTTGAGGATCGCGAGAACGATTGTGAGAAATGGGGTCCAGTTTACGGTGTTGATCCCCCTACCCCTTTGGTTTCTGTTTCCCATAGGTTGTTGTCTTCGATCCCTTGTCGGTCTCGGCGGCTCTTGTGTGCGTGCTTGCGCTTGCCTATCGCGGAAGTTCTGGCGATTTTGAGGATTCATTGGGCGACGATTATTTTGAAATCCGAATTGCCGGTTTCTGTTCGGTTCAAACGGGCGTTGTGGCCAGAAATTTGGATTTCTTCTGGGTTGGGTGTTTTGACTCCACCTTGGGTTATACGGTGGACGCGCTTGGTCGTTGGGTAGCCAATTTGATCCTTCCGCTCTTTCAATGCGGATGGAGTTTATCCCTTCGGCCAGGTCTTCAATTCTCTCACCCAGTCGTTCGATTGCGGCCACATTTGGCTCCTCTTCTATCTGTGTTAGGTGTTCGGCGGTGTCTTAAGCGATCTCGAGGAGCTCTGTTATGTCCGTAATTTGGTCACAGTCCCTAAAGAAGAGTGCCTGTTTTAGTTTGGGCTGTAGTCCTTTGACAAACTGCTGTCGCAACAGCTTTTGTCTGGTCACTTCCGATGTCGTCGCAGTGGGGTATGCGAGTTCGAGTAAATTTCGCAAGTCCGTCAGATACGCGTGTTACGACTCGCCCTGCTTAATTGTTCGGGTTTGGAATTTGTCCCGGCAAGGTAACTCCTTTGCTCCCGCTGCAAATTGTTTCGAGAGTTCATGTGTCAACGACCCACATATTGTGCGAAATCGCAAGGCGGGAGATGGAATTCCGGCCGGCTTGACATGACCATCCCCGGTGTCGGTTGTTGTGTTGACCGCGCGGTGAATATTAAAAGCGCAAAATTACGCCTAAATTTGCGTAATAATGCTGATGGACGAATAAGGCGGATGACCGATTTGTCCTCTTCCAATAAAACTGGCCTGTTTATCCTTAAAAAATTGCTTCCAATATGTTCCTGAAATACTGCCAAAGACCGTTCCTACTTGCATGGAAAACGGGAACAGGCCGATGATAAAGATTGCAAACGCAAGGCTGAAGCAACAAATTCGAAACAAAATATCCTGCAGTAGAAAGTGAAGCTCCCGCAATAGTATGTGCTCTAAAAAATAGTCTTTCGAACTGATCCAATCCCAGTTTTCGAATTTCAACTCCAGTGAGGCCTAGTTTCCTGAATGGCTCGTTATTCTGCGTGAAGAGCAGATGCATGTACAAATTGTGGATAGGAAAGAAATCCACCATTCCAGGAACCATTTTGAGGATCAATATGAACGTGTTACGTTCTTCCGTAATACAAAACCGCAGCCGAAACGTTACCGTACTCCTGCAAATTTCCATGTCAAAGGGTCAATCTTCAATTACGGTAATACGGATGAAATCTTGTAACAGTTACGTAGTTGTAACCCACCGATGATCAATTGCTCGTCTCCACTTGTTGTAAAATACTGTTAGGTTGTTCAATATGAAATGTCGGATTTTAACCTTTAACTTTAAAACACCATAACTTTTTTTATAATAAACTTTATTAATCGAAATAAAAACCATTAGAATCAACACACTTTTGCCAACGAGAAGCAAGTTTATTTATGCCGGTAGCGTAAAAATCCGGAGTTCTGGAGGCAATAAAGTCGGCGAAGGCGGTTTTGGCGTCGTCTTGGTTTTTGAAGCATTTCTCCTGCAGGAAGTTCTTATTATTAGCTCTTAATATTAGTGTTGGTAATTATTAGCTCTTATTATTAGTGTTGGTAATTTTTAAGTTGAATATAAGGGAACATCGATTACAATCCTGCCGGATAGTTTTGATTAGTTCAGTGACGAAGTTGGACCCGAATTTTTTCTTTTTTTGAAAGAAAGAGTAAAAATCGAGAAAGTTTATGGTGTAGTGACTCAGAATCAAAATGGCTTCCAAAGTTTAAAATTCCTTGCAAGAAATTAAATTGACCGGAGAATTATTGCGTCCCAGGCAATAAGTCAGTAAGTCTAGTGGCGCAGAATAAAGTTCCATACGTAGTTTTGACACAGAAGTTTATTGACCAGAATATCGAATACAATCGCAGTGTAGAGGAAAAAATTTTTTTCGTCAAAAATCGTCAAGTTCGCCTAAACCGTAATAAAGATAAAGTCGAGAAGATCTTCTTTTCTTTACCCACGTTGATGGAACGTCTTTATTAAAATATTTCCTTCCGTTGAAAGCCGTCTTCTTCATAGACGCTAAATTACGTTGGTTAAATAAAAACGATTAACGTATTGGACCTGTATGGGGGTGTCCGTATACAGTGTTGAACATTGTCGTATTCTCCGTTACTGTTGACGAAGCTGTTACGTATATCAAGTTAGCTTGTTCTTGGTAAACATCAACTGCGTGATGTGCTTCCTGTGCGTTATTTGTCTCGTTTATTGCGAATTAGGCTATAAATAGCTAAAATCGTAGTTCTGTTGTTTCAGTATTATTGAATTTGTTTTGTTCAGATACGTGATCGTAAATCAATATTGTTTACGGAACTGTAGTTTTGAGCGAAGTAGTTTTTTATTTCGATGACCCTGCTGCTAAAAAACATCCCTCGTTACGTCAAAGTATGGAAGATACTCAGCGATCAGATGAGCCCTCTCGTTTTTTCCTCTTTTCTTTATATCGTAGGTTGCTTCCATTATTCGATTTCAATTACGTCTAAATTTTTGTCGAGGAATAATGACACCTCTTATCGTCAAGTTGAAACCAAACTTAGTCAAAACTCTTGTATGTCGCCATGTTCATTGTTGTTTACCAAAACATGTTCGTCCTTTCTTCTTCGACTTCTTAATTCGCGTAGGATGGATGGCATTTATACGGTTTCAATTACGTGCTATGCTTCTTGTGCGTTGTTTGTGCAGACTAAATTTGACATTAAATTAGACCTGGTTTGCCTAGTACTGTTGCGTACTGTTTTGCTCAACTGATCAATGGTCCTAAGGCGGATTGGATATGGCCTGATTACGATCGTCGTCGCCGTTTCTACGATTTTGGTGACCATCGCATATAATTACACATTTTTAGTTAGAGTAATTTCGTTGAACTTACGCATTCAGAACAAGAAGGAAAGTAGAAGATAATAAACTCTTTCCTCATCATCGTCTCGGTTTTTACGTTGCATGTTTCTGAAAATGCGGCTGTGAGGAAACAACGTCGTATGTTTTCACTTTCAACAAAGATATGTCGAGAAGGCTTCCTTTTAGCCACGCAGACGGAACGTCCTTATTGAAATATTCCCTTCCGTCGAAAGTCGTCTTCTTCATGGACGCTTAGTTACGTTGGTTAAATAAAAACGATTAGAACCCATGCAAGATTTCTCGTTACGTATTCTCAAAGAGTGCGTTGCTTATTCTCGAAGTTCCATGTTTGCATCGGCGAAGATCTCCTTGGTTCTTTGGCATTATGTTTTTAGATCCTCTTCAGAATAGTCCACTTTCATTACGTTGTCCACGTATGCGCCTTGTAGTAGTCTTTTCCTCCCTGGTATTTTTCCAGATGGTGTCTGATTGTCAAAGCAGGAAGGCTTGAGCTGCAGGCTGGTCCGGAGTAATGAAACTCTAGTGTAGATTGCAATCCATTCCAAAGTCGATTTAATTTTTTCTTGGATCTGGTCCATTTTTGTAAACGCAGCGAGTTCGGTGCTATGTTTACAGAAAGCTCCATAATTTTAAAAATTGAATTTCACCAGGAGCAAAGTGTCCCGTTCGATTTTATATCTAGATTGGTCGTAGTAATGTTTCGATAAGCCGTCCAAAAAGGAACTATTTTTTGTTGTCCGCATTTCGTCTTTTCACTGTCCGCAATTGAGAATTTTTTTCTGTCCGCACTTCTACCGTCCGCAAATAAAATTTTTGTTGTCCGCATGCTTACAAGTCGGTGTACATTTGGCTAGCCACAATAGATGTAACTAAACTAAAAAGTGGTTGTTAGACTATAAGAGATTGTCATTCCATGTATACAAACTACATCATCATACCTTATGTTAATGTTGAGAAAATGATGATCGAAAATTGTCAAAAATTCAACCTTCAGGTAAAAAAAAGTGTGCTTTCCAGGGCTTAAGCATACACTTTTTTTTCTTCCATCATATACAGAATTTCAAGAGCTACAACATAGACAGAATCAGTCATTTTCCTGGGCCTTTAAACTTAGTTATGACTCAAAAGAGCCTAATTTTGGCCATTTTTTGCATTTTTTTTACTTATTTGCACTTTAAGAATAAAAAGTGAAGATATTCTATATAAAACGGATTGTCATGATCATTGTGGTCATCCATGCCAAATTTCAACGTTCTCTGTCGCTCCTGAGTCGTTGAATACGAACGTCAACATGGAAACTTCGTATCTTCAACTTTGTAAGAAAACAGTAATGAAATCTTTGGCTGGCATTAATTACAGCACTTCTGGTCGCAATGAATCTTAGGTCGCGATTACAAAGGCCAAACTCAGCTTTACGGGTAATTCCAGTAACTGTTTGCTAGCTCACACTTTGGCATTGGTCAGAATTGTCTGTTGAATTCAACTTTCGAAATGAAAAAGATATATCTTGGCTTGATGACAAAAAGTTGGCACAGAGTGTATGTATACAACATATTTTCGCTCAAAAAGTGATTTTGGAGCACTTAACGTGATTTTAATCAATAGAAATAGTACACATGGGTTCCATATTCAAGCTCGTATTCAACGACTCAGGCGCGTCAGAGAAAGTTGGCATGGATGACCACAATGATCATGACAATCCGTTTTATATAGAATATCTTCACTTTTTATTCTTAAAGTGCAAATAAGTAAAAAAATGCAAAAAGCGACCAAAATTAGGCTCTTTTGAGTCATAACTAAGTTTAAAGGCCCAGGAAAATGACTGATTCTGTCTATGTTGTAGCTCTTGAAATTCTGTATATGATGGAAGAAAAAAAAGTGTATGCTTAAGCCCTGGAAAGTACACTTTTTTACCTGAAGGTTGAATTTTTGACAATTTTCGATCATCATTTTCTCAACATTAACATAAGGTATCATGATGTAGTTTGTATACATGGAATGGCAATCTCTTATAGTCTAACAACCACTTTTTAGTTTAGTTACATCTATTGTGGCTAGCCAAATATACACCAACTTGTAAGCACTACTTTTCATTTTTTCCTTTTTTCGACACCGATCGGCGGCGGAAAAAATGTTCGAAACGCTGTGTGTCCGCAAATAAAAAATGTCAAAAGGCACAAAGTAATATAGGACTTCCACAGATGTTCGTTTCCTGCGTTTGTAATGTCGAAAACCGTAATGGTTTCGATTCCCATCTTCGAGCTTTGAATAATATTGATATCAGGTGTAATATGGCAGACCTGATTTTGATATATATATTAAAATCAAGTGTAATATGAAAGTAAGAAATATCGAACAAAAACCTTGCGAGATGTCTAGAACAAGTTATTGAATGCGGACAACAAAAATTTTATTTGCGGACAGTAGAAGTGCAAACAGACAAAAATTGTCAATTGCGGACAACAAAAAATATCCTAATCTCCGAATGATTTCCTAAAATTAGAATATAGGGCTCGGGGTCTTCACTTTCGTTCACAATTTAAGAAAATATTGTTCTTTTGAAAAAATCTTCCAAACTATACAGATGATATTCGTATCCGAACTAGCGGTTTTTGTCGCAGCCGTCTCCGACAAAAAAACGAATACTCTAGTCATTGAAAAATCGCCAAAAAAACCACAACCAAAAAAGCATCTACATCCCGAAAGCAACATTGTAATCTCAGTTATCACAAAAAATTTAATTTCCAAATCTAATCAAAAGATTACCGTATCTTGCCACCCAAAAAAAACGATTTTTAAAAATTATTCTCCCTTTTTATATCAAATGCATCATGAAACACCTCAATAATAGAGTGAAAAGCTCAATTATAACATCAAAAGTTATATAGAAGTTCATAAAACAGTATTATTTATGTATTATATAGAAAATAAAGCAAAATTCACAGTTATTATATGAGATAATATATAAAAATCATACAAAATATATATGAAACCGCTCAAAATACAGTAAAAACAATCACAGAAACAGTGGAATTGAATAAAAAAAATTATAAATAGCAAAAATCCCGAGGTTCCATTCAAATTTTTCGATTTTTCAGCCGAAAGCCTGATGAAACTCATAAAATCTACTCCGTTTTCCCGATTTCTCCCTCAAAAAGACGCATCCGTCCAAAACAACGGGCTTTTCGGGAGCGAGAGAGCGCGCACTTCGCGGAGGGCGCGTATTTTTTCTGCGTTCTGAAAAAGAGCGCCAAAAAAGAAAAGAAGCTCGTTCGTAAACTCGCTGGAGCGATTTTCGCGACATGCACTGTGCGAAAACAAAAGTTTCCTTTGCACGGTGCAATTTCTTGCTTTCGCACAGTGCAAGTGACTTTTTTGGGCTGTCGCTTTTTATGCACGGTGCAAACGCCAAGAATTTCTCCAGCGACTTTACGATAGACTTTTTTTTACTTTTGTCGCAAATTCACAGTGCGTTTTGCCTTTGTTCCCGTTTGTCGCGAACGCACAGTGCATTTTGCTGGCTTTGCACAGTGCAAACTTGAAAAAGCGGTGTGTCGCGGCGATATTTTGATGCACGGTGCAAAGGCTGAAAGTGCACGGCGCAAATTTGGGGTTACCTTGCATTTTGCTTCGCGGTAAAAGTCTACGCAATTTATGAAAACACTAGTACTACTCGCGCCACATATGTAGTCCCATCAAATCCAGTGCCAATCAAAAAAATGCATAGTCCGGATCGTCGCATCGCCGCCGAGAAACTGAAAAAATGAAATTTCGATCACTTCAGCGACACGCAGCGACAGAGCGCTTACTATTTTTTCGCCAGACTGATGGCACAAAAAGGAATTAATGGGGTTGAGGGCAGAAATTTTGAATAGCCATTAATTCTTTGCGTGATTGTAAAAGTTGCGTCGTTTTTATTCCCTTTATTTGCTACAAAATGAGTTTACGTGGAAAAAAGGTTACGTAGAGAAAATCATTTTTTATGGATGCACTATTAGAATTTTCATAAAGTGCATGGACATTTGTTGAAAGTGATGCAAAAACGAAATAGACATGACAGTTTTCAAAAAATCTCGAGATTTATTACATTATTATAACCGATCAAAACATGACATCACAATTCCTCTTCATCCCATCAAACTTTTCTTTCTTATCCAAATCAATGGTGATACTGTAAGGTTTTGCATTTTCGGTGTCCTCAAAAACAAACTTCTTCGGGATTTGAATCCAAAAATCCATCGGACAAACGTTGATCTTGGCCGGATCTTTGACTTCATTGCAGCGATGTAGCAGGTGCAGGACTGGTTGAAATTTACTCTGCTCCTTTATTTCGGCGGTAATTTCCGTTTTGCCATTCTTTTTTGTTATCGATGTTGGGATTAAAACTTCAGCGGCGTCCTCGGATTTGAAGAGTTGAAGGGTCTGAAAAATGGATAATTCAATTTGTGTCGACAAAACAGTTATTGTTTGAAGACAACAAAGAGGGGAAATGCGCCAAGTGCGACACTCAGATTTTGATGAAACTTGGTAAAAATTTAGAATAACTTTTTCTGGGACATATGTGAGGCTCCTAGGTTTTTCGGCCGAGATTTTTAGGTCAATAGAAAGTTAGAAAAAATGCGGATTTTTTTCAAAAATCTTGGCATGAAAAGTTTTAAAGTTTCATGCCTATTTCTGCTGTACAGGGCAATATCTCCACAAAAAATCGATTTTTTCCGCAAGAAACTGGCAAAAATATGATCCAAAATTTTTCACGTTATCGCTCTCCGCGTTCCGTGTACGCTCTCGGCTCTAAAGATCGTTGAATATCTCGGCTCTCCCTGCAACGAGCGAGCTAAAACTTTCAGGAATTTATATATGGCCTATGGCCGGAGTGTGTGCAAAATTTAAGGAAAAAGTGAACGTCGCACTTGGGGGTACTTCACTTGCAAAATACGAAAAAAATCTTTTTTATTCGTCAAAAAAGAGGGTTTTTTGCAAAGACGGCCGAGATATTGAGCGATATTTTTTAGCAGAGAGAGAGAGAGAGTACGCGAAGCCCGGAGAGCGGTGAAAGATAAAAACATGTTTTTTTTAAGTTAGTAAAATCAACGTTCCCTATACTCAATCGGAAAAATTTAAGCAAACCTCGGCAATGACTGTCGCGCATTTCCTTTGAAATAAAGAAAAAAACACTCACCACATTGTCAAACTTCTTCTCATTGCACTTGATCTTCGCCTTGATCGCCAACTTATACCATTTTCCGAAAATCCCCGCTTCACAAGTTGCAAAAAGTAGTAATAAGAAGGTAAGAAGACCCGGAAAGAACATCGTACAACATCGGAGATGAGAAATGGCGATCACGTGAGAATGAGACGAGCGTTTTTTTCGAATTCTTTTGAACGCAAATGTCAGAAGTCATCACATCTTCATAAAAGGAAACACTTTCTGGAAGAGAGTGTTTTGAAATCGATGATGAGTGGTTTTAAAAGTGCGAATGCTTCTTCAATAACGAATTCGGGAGAGCGGTGATGGATGTTCGAGCTTTTGAAAGCGAGAAAATAAAAAAAAAGCTTGAACTTGAACTTTTGCGTCGTTGACCAAAAATTCCGGCGGTGGGGAGGTCGGAATTCATTCGTTTTTATCGCAGAAATCATATAATAAAATTTTGTTCACAGTAATCACATGATAAGAGCATGGAGTGGACCAGAATATTTTCCATTGCCTAGTCACTAAGTATAAGATCCTTCCATGCGGCTAGCCGTCGAAAAGCGGTCATTGGCGATTCCAAGGCGCCGTTATTTTCCCGACAGACTGAAAGAAGAGGGTGAGAACCTGGGCTCCATTGTGATTTATGGCTACTGTCCCGGGCGAGGCCCTTGTGCCGGCGACGGAATGGGTCGACAGAAAAACCGACCGCTCCTCGAGAAAAAACCGGAATCAAGTAAGAAATAAAGAAGTCGCAATGTAAAAAAATGACCTTGTTTTTGACAAAGGGGACACAAGTTAGCGCCTTGATTTTACCGACATGTTAAAGCTGAGGCTCTCAGGAATCCAGATATGTGATCATCATATGCTCTTCAGACTTTGGTCTTTGAGCTACAGCGGTTTGAATATGATCCATCCAGTTAATAGCCACCCGCATGGCTTCCACCGAGAAAATCAATAAGCTCGTCATGAAGGAGGTTAGTTAGGGCTCTGATTTTATCATCGTGTTAAAGATGAGGCTCTCATGCATCTAGATATGTCTTTGAAACTTTGGTTTTTGATCTGCAGCGGTCCGTATCATTCATCCAGTCAATAGCGACCTTGCAAATCGGGTTTCGGGCGAGTTATTAAGCAGGCCAACAAGTCTTGAGATGTTTCTTTCAAAAATTTTTTTCATGACGGCGTACGGTGCTGACAAGTCAAGGTTTTTGGGCCAGCCTATATGGCTGCGGATTACAAGATCAATCGATTTTTTATTAGTTTGTCGGGAAAATTGTGTGGATTTGTCGTGCACCGGAATCGCCCATCATCGCTTTGCCACAACTAGCCACGGCTGGGGATTTGGTGAGCGAATACGATGAGAGATTTTTTCCTGCGAGAAATCCATATAATTTTCTTGACAGATAGATATATTCACCGCAAGGTGAATATACGTAATACAGAATACGTACATATATTCTATCCGTTATGTTTGACTTGTTGAAGCGAAATCAAACTTTTGCCTTCCTTTCATCCGTTCCCCTCATGTCTCTCCGAACTCAATTCCTCTTTCTCGGATTTTATAGGCAATCAAACGGCAGGAAGGATCATGTTCTTTTGAAGGTCAGTCTGGAAAAACAATCTCTCGTCCTTTTTGAGGTAAAGATGAATCGAGAAAAAAGTTGTTTTCATTCCTCGAATAAACCGAAATAACCTTGCTTCTCGGCGTTAATTAAAGGGATGTTTGGAGGTGTTGAAGAGGAGAATAATGGAAGTCGGGGAAAGCGGAGATTAGTCATACACGTTGTTCGAGGAACCCAAGGGCAATTCGAGAGCTGGGGAAGGTAAATTTTGTGAAGATTGGCGTTGGAGAGGGTATATTAGACCGTCAAACGGTTGTAGGAGGTGTCTAACAAAATTATCAGAATTTTGAACAACCGTGGGTTGCTTGGCGAAAGGTCGGCTGGGACTCAATTTTGAGAGAAATTTTACTACAAAAAAATAATTTTTTTTCAGCGACATACTGGCAAAGCTATCGCCAAAAAGTCTTTTTCTTCCTGATCGCTCTAGTTCCGTATGTTCTCTCAGCCACAAAGATTGTTCAATATCTGGGCTTCGCCTGCAAAGCGCGAGCTAAAACCTTCAGGAATCGAAACATGGCCTAGACCTCGTGTGTGTACAAAATTTGAGGAAAATCTGAGCATCGCACTTTCAGCACTGCCCCTTTGAGCCGAGGCAAGATCAGTTTTCTGACTGCTCTTGCCTTGCCGAAGCAAGAGCAGTCAGAACTGCCACAACAATGTCTTGACTAGCCATGACTAGCACAAAATCAGCAAGTATGACGAATATGCACGGTTTTGCTCCTAACTTTGCTTGTTTTTTTTCTAAATTTCCGTAGACTTATACAGGGTGCGCCAATAAAATCTGGACAAAACTAAATTCCATATAGCCTTTTTCGGATGGCCTAAGAATGGAAACTTTTAGCACTTTTAGAAAGAGTAACAACCGTGCTATACAGCAACGGTAATGCCCAGGCCAATGCCAATTGCAAGACTGAAAAAATAATGAAAACTTTTTGGGGGTGCAGAAATTTTTTTTCCAGATGATGACTGGGATATTAATTCTTCCATTATTTCTGCTAATGGTCACTGACGTTCTTCAAATTTATTGCATATAAAGTACGTGCTGTTGACTTTGTGACAGCCTACGGAATCATGGTTGGCGGTCGGTCTGGCGGCGCTGGTGGCGGAAACAGGAAAGGCCCAAAAATTTGGATTTTTGTGTTTTTAAGGATCTCAACGCCAGATTATAGCTCGTGATGCTCCAAAATTCCGTGATTACAGAGCGTATACATAGCCAATTGTCATAGTGTAAAAGCAAATCCGCAAATACAAGGGGACCGTTTCTGCATAAATAAAAGTTCATGGGGGGGATTTAAGGCACGGTCATTCGGAACTTGAAACGTTTTGGCAGTTTGTAACAAATTCGAAAGGCCTTGAGCGTAAAAATCAACATAGAGTTCTATATTGGATACATGCTGATGTAGCCAAAACACTTTTAGAAATATCTAGTCCAAGATCACTCGAATAGCGAGTATACAGTAAATTATGCCACTACGGTCACTATTTCATCCCCAGAGGCAGCAGATAGAAAAATCCTCTTTGAAAGGCGACTAGGCAGACTCTGGTTATCCTTACAAAAGTAGCTCTGGTGCTTAACATGTTTGGAATCACGCAGGGAAACTTCTACATAAAAATCTTTGATTTAACGGAAGTTTTCGGGAAAAAGAGCCCGTTTTTAAGCCAACTTTGGCAAGCTGTAAAAAGCCTAATTGTCATAATGAGGCAAAATCAATTTTAGTGTATAAAAACCGGCCAGAGCTCTATCAGAAAAAGTAAATTTCAGCCCATGGCATAAAACGGTATAGATAGCGTAACCATTTTTTGACCAATTTGGGCGCCGTGTTTCGGGCGCCTTAGTTGTAAGCACTTGTAATGGCAAAACAAGTGTCGTAGACAATTATTTTGTCTGAAACTTTAAAGATAGCTTCTTGGACGTATTACACGTGTCCACAATCACCCACTTTGTTCTCGTACGGTTACAGCCCGCAGGGCAAGCAAAAATATTAGTCCAGATTTTATTGGCGCACCCTGTACATGCGTATACAGCAGGATTTTTTTTGAAAAGTGAATTCCTTGATGTGATCGGAAGTTGTCCAAAAATTTTCCATGTTTGGCTTCAGGAACAATGACTAGTCCGTTCGCAAAGTTGCTGAAGTGATTTCACAGCACATGGCAAAAAAGTCAGGGCGCGGGCGACAGCCTAGAAAGCCTATTGCGCGGTGCAAAAGGGAATAAATTGCATCAATTGGGTTTTCTCGCAATGGAAGTCGCAAAAATCACTTTAGCGACGAACAAACTAGTACGCCATAAAGTCCGTTGAACTTTCGAGGTCGAAAGTTAAAAAAAATTCTACGGACTATGGCTGGACTAGTACTGGGGCCAATGCGGTAGCTGAAACTTGGCTGAAAGTTGGCTGAAAATGGTACAGAAACTTGCTCGGGCGCAACTCGAAAACAAGCTGAAACTTACCTCCGGCAAACTGCGAAAGTTTTTTTCGAGCTGCCCACGAGATGCGAGTTGCGCCCGTGCAAGTTCTCCGAGCTGCGGCCTATCATTTTCAGGCAACTTTCAGCCAAGTTTCAGTCATCGCATTAGCCCCTGCCGTCGTTGGCATAAAAAGTCATAGTGCCCGATTTCCACGCAACGCATTTCAGCTTTTCTCCCTGACTTTTATTCTTACTTTCCCAGGCGCTCGCCCAATACAACCCACTTTTATAATGATTATGCCACACATGCCTCTCTGCCGAGCCCGTGTTTTGCTCCCTTTTGTATTTATTTCCTGCAAAAATTAATCATTGCTCTTCTCCCTCAACGCAACATGTTTATTCAGTTGAGATAACCGGGAGGTTTCTTCTGATTTTGTGTTTACATAAACAAGAGGAAGATGGGCTCTTCCGGGGCCTTATCATCACATCTTTTTATTGGTTTGTGCCGAAATTCCATTAAAATATATGACATTGGAGGCGGACGGGCGACCAAAGGGGACGTCGAATTGTGGAGCGGTTCGGATTTTGGGGGAAAATGCCGTAGTCGAATTGGCTAGTGGTACAAGCTCTATGTAGTAAGTCTGTCGGGAAAATAATGAGCACAGTGTTGCTGTGTGGATTGGGTCGCTAGAGTGAAAAGCAATTTGATTTTTCCGTGATACAATGCATTTTCTCGGCTGAGATGCGATTTTTGATCCGACATAGTGCCCATTATTTTCCCGACAGACTGATGGTACTCCCGCCATAAAGCCACGGCAATTCTGTCGCGAAGGGAAAAGGAAAAAACATTGTGCAAATGTGTCAGGACTTTATGGCGGGACTAGTAGTACTACTGGTATTTTCAGTAGGTACATTTTGTCGCGGTTTTCACCCTGCACAAAAAAACGTCCGTTTCAGCACGGTGCAAACATTTCTTTGTTTTCCGCACTTAACAAAGAATGGGAAAAACACACAGTGCATATTGTCTGAACTTTATGGCGGTAGTATATTAGTATTTATTTTCATAAAGTGCATGGACATTTGTTAAGTGCAAAAAACCAAGTAAAGAAGAATCGCACCGTGCTAAAGCAGACGTTTTTGTGCACGTTGCGGATCGCATTTACTTACTGAAAGTATACTGTCGGGAAAATAATAAGCACATTTTTGCTGTGTCGATCGTGTCGCTAATGTGAGAAGCAATTTGATTTTGTCCCGACACAATTCATTTTCTCTGCGGCGATGCGATCTTCACCGCGACAGAGTGCTCATTATTTTCCCGACAGGCTGACAATATTACACTCATTTTGTACCTATTACTTTTTTCTTAATCCCCAAGCATTAGTCTCCTGATATACTTGCTCATCTTTCGTTCCTTTCAACGCGTTTAGCGAGATTAAGAAGCCGAAGGGGAAATTAGGGAGGACACTTTGTTATAACAAACAAAAAAGATGGAGGAAGAGGCGAGTGGACAAAGGCATTTAAACAAATCTAGAGGCAAGAAGAAAGAGAAGATGTATCAATTTCGTTTTTTTCTGTTTTCATTCAAAAACTTTCAACTGATTTAGAATATTTTTTCTGTTTGATGAAGTCGTGATTTTCCGGTAAAAACATTACGGTAAAATCAGCGGCTATAGGTCTTCCATTAGTCCGAAATTTTACCAAGTCTTCTAAAAATTGTCGTGTGAGAAAAATCCGCGACAACGCAGTTGAAAAAGTCTCATGTCGCTGCGCTGTTTCGAAAACAAAAATCACGCCCCGTTTGAAACATGAGCATTTTCATAACGTGGACATTTGTTCTCTTTCGCACAGTGCATTGTGAACTTTTCCCAGGCTTGTCGCTGACGCACCGTGCATTTTTCTCTTTTTGCACAGTGCAACCCACAAAAAGCCATTTGCACGGTGCAATTTCTTCAGCAAATCCGCGACAATGCAGTTGAAAAAGTCTGACGTCGCTGCGATGATTTGATTGCACCGTGCAAAATCGCTGCGACAAAAACAAGTTTCAACTGCGTCGCTGCGACATTGCCGAGAATTTGCACAGTGCAAATGCCTTTTTTGTGGTTTGCACTGTGCAAAAAAAACGCACTGTCAGCGAACGAACATTCAGCGACAAGGGTTTGAAAAAGTTCACAATGCACTGTGCGAGAGACAAATTGCACTGTGCATTCACCTTTTTTTGTTTTTGCACTGTGCGAAAAGGGAAAAATGCACTGTGCGTTGGCGACAAGCGTGGGAAAAAGTTCAAGATGCACTGTGCGAAAGACAAATTGCACCGTGCATTTGAAATGTCGCTGCGACGTAAGCTTTTTTCAACCGCGCCGTCGCGGTTTTGCTGAATAATTTGCACAGTGCAAATGGCTTTTTTGTGGGTTGCACTGTGCAAAAAAAGAAAAATGCACTGTGCATCAGCGACAAGCGTGGGAAAAAGTTGACAATGCACTGTGCGAATGCGAACAAATGTCCATGCACTTTATGAAAATGCTCATGTTTCAAACGGGCCGTGATTTTGTTTGTTGTCGGATCGATCGCTCTCGCTGAGAACGTGCGCTTTCGAGCAAGAACAGCTGTCAGCGCTCGAAGCCAATGACAGCCCAAATCATTCCAGAATGATCTGTTTTTGAAGTGCGATGACATTTTCCGTTTTTATTTATTTTTGACTCGCCGAAAAGTGATGTCATTTTTACTTTTTACGATCCGAGTTTACAGTGATTTGCGGTTGGAAATGAGGGAAATTTGAGATAGGCTTTTGATCTTAGTGAATTCTGGGAAAATTAAAAGGCAAATGTGAAATTTTTAGCTTGCAATTTGGGATTTTTAGGCCAAAATTCGAAAAAAATAAAAATAAAATTTTGGATTTTTGCTTTCAAAATTTGAGAGAATAATGCAAGTGAGGTGTATTATATTTCTAGAAAAAATCATTTTTTTTCGAGGAGCATTCAGAAAGTTATGGCCAAAAAACTTTTTTCGGCCGACTCTCCTCATCTTACGTGCTCTCTCAAGAAATTGTTTAAAAAAAAAAAAATAGAAGTGCCTAAGGCCGGATGACCAGATTTTCGTAAAATTCGGCAAGCATGCTTTAAAAGTCCCATGGATTAATTACTGCCAAAAATTAAGACCTTGCTTTGCCAAGACAGTCAAGATATCAGTCTGTCGGGAAAATAATGAGCACTCTGTCGCATCGAAAATCGCATCGCCGCTGAGAAAATGAATTGTATCGCGGCAACGCCAAATTGCTTTTGAGTTGAGCGACGCGACAGCAACATAGTGTTCATTATTTTCCCGACAAACTCATATCTCGGCTGTCTCTGCAAAGCAAAGGCTAAATTTCGCAGAAATTAATATTTGGGCTCTTTACAGTACACTTGCCAAATTTTACGAAAATCTGATCATCTGACCTTAGGCAGTTTCTATTTTTATTTTTTTTTCTCTCCGAAAACGTGCGATTCCATTTGTTTTGGCAAACAATCCAACAAAAACCCAATTTATTGGCCGATCAATCAGCGTTTTTGCCGTCCAATTGCTATTCCCGGCCCTCTGGAAACAAGATCCCGATCAATCAAGGGGAAATTCAACAAGCATGCCGGAGGGTTTTTGAGTGATTTGAAAAGAAAATTTGACGGATTTTTGAATGTTTGGCATTTTTACTGCATCTTTTTGATTTTAGCGGTACTACATTATTTTCCCGACACACCGACAGCCGTTTTCTTTCTTTTTGTTCTTTTGCCTTCCCGCAAATTTCGAAATTTTAATCAAACGTTTTTCTGCGGCATTGAAGAGCCCGGGAATTTGATTAAAATGTATTTTTAAACGCCCGAAACTCTCTTTGATAGGAGATTGACGAGATTTGGGCCAAAAAAATTGCAAATTTGATTAAATTTCCTCGGGTTCTTATTCGATATCAATGCCTTCTTTGGGAGAAGCCGCTTTGTGTCTCGAGAGCTTTCTAGAGAAAGGATTAGCAGGAAAAAATTGAATTTCTTGGAAAATTTTAAAAATTAAAAAAAATTTTTTGCGATAAAAATGAATTAAACGTGGCCAAAATTTAAAATAGTTATTTTCAAGGCATATCCCAAAATTTTACGTACCAATTTGCAGAAATCGCTGAGATTTTAAAGTTCAAATTTTAAAAAATTCAATTTTTTTTGATTTTCAATTTGAAAATTTCACGATTTACTTTACATAATATGTATAATGTTTCTACAAAAAATCAATTTTTTCCCAGCCGCGTACAAAAAGTTATAAAGGAAATAAATATTTTCTCTGGCCGTCTCTCCTTATTTTGCGTGCTCTCTCGAAAAAAGCCTGTTGAATATCTCGACAGCGGCCGGAAATTTTGAAATAAAATTTCTAGGGATTAGTGTAGCCTGTTCAGACTCTGTTTATGTCATTTCCAATTGCTTGTTTTCCAAAAAATTTCGAAAATTTTGCAAAAAATAGTGTCACTTTTTCCGCTTCAAATCCCTTTAGGGCCTTTTCGATTGTCGCGAAATGATAGAGATGCCGGCGGTTGGACACTTCAAGCCGCTCTCCGACTGAATAATGGACGTTTACTCCGCTTTTAAGCCGATTGCCGGAGGGGTTTTTGCGATTTAGCCGTTTTTTTGGGGGATTTCCATAATTTTGCGTCGATTTTTGTTATTATACGGGGAAATGATATTGCTAATAGCTTTTCTGTTGGCTAGCTGCTCTTTACTCTATTTTCCTGTTGGTTTTCCTGCACAGTGCAGGATTTTTTCCAGTTTTTTTATTTTTGCACGGTGCAGCGGGGATTTTAGCCTATTTTTTGGCACGCACTGTGCGAAAAATAAAAAAGTTGCTGTGAACCGTGCAAAATGTTAAAAAAATTTTTTTTTATTGTTCTATTTTGTCATAAAGTTTTTTTTTTCGCACTGTGCAGACGATTTTTTTATTTCCGCACGGTGCAGTGGAGATTTTAGCCTATTTTTTGGACCGCACAGTGCAAATAAAAAAAATTCCATTTTCGTTCTGCACACCATAGTAAGTCATAAAAATCCACTCGTAGCAACAATTTACCATCCTACCAGCTCTGTAAAATCCCTATATATAACACTGATCATGTTTTTTTACAAAATTTTTCGTGTTTTTTCAAAACTTCATGAATAATAAAAAGTAATGCAAATATCTTGCAGATGGAGCAAGCTCGCAGCAAGCTCACCATAAAAAACGACCTGCTTCGATGTTTTGTGGCCGAGTTTTTGGGCACAGCCATTCTGGTGCTGACCATTAACAGCGTTGTGGCCCAGTCGGTGTTGCACTCGGCTCCGAATAAATTGATCAATGTCAATTTGGGAGTTGGTCTTGGTATTGCATTTGGTATCGCGGTGTGCGCCAGAATCTCAGGCAAGTCATTGAAAAAGTTTTTGAGGAAAAAAATCCGAGTTTTTCGAAAATATTATCGTTCGTATAAAATGTCACCTGCTGCCTGTATTGAGCAAAAAATGTTTTGAAATAAAATTTGGCCGAATTTACAAGTTCTACAAAGAAAAAACAGAATTTCGAAAAATTTATCGTTCGTATAAAATGTCCCCTGTAGGCTGCAAAGCATAAGAACAGCTGGAAATGGGATTTTTAATACATAAGAGTAAAATGCGATGTGAAAGCAACGGTATTTTGATATTTTTTTTATTTTTCATACATGGTGACATCTTATACGAAAAAAATTATTTAAGAAATCGAGATTTTTTTAACAAACACAACGTAAAATGGCCGTATTTTGACTAAAATTATAACATTGATGACGTATAGAAGACTCCAAAAATGTCTAAAAACCACAAAAAAGAAAACATTCCCTTCCAATTTCCAGGTGGCCACATCAATCCCGCCGTTTCGCTGATGTTCTTCACGTTCCGCCAGCTGAGTGCCATCAAGTTCGCGATCTACGTGGCCGCCCAGTTCTTGGGTGCGTTCGTCGGCGCGCTTCTGACCTACATCGTCTACTGCGACGCGATCAGTAGATTTGATGGGGGAATTCGTCAGGTTTATGGGACCAAGGCCACCGCTCACATTTTCGCTTCCTATTCGTCGCCTCATTTGGGAGTTGTGAATGGGCTTTTGGATCAGGTGAGTGGAGGAGGGTGTTATTATAAGTTGTAGTTGAAGTTTTGCTGGTCCGAAGGCACAATTTGACCAGGAAATATTCCAAATTTTAAAGGGCAAAATGCCCATTTTTACAAGTTCCATAAGGAAAAAAATGATTTTAAAATTTTCCGAAAATTTTATCGTTCGTATAAAATGTCACCTGCAGGCTGCAAAAAGAAGAACTGCTGAAAATGGGATTTGAAATGCGGAAAGTAAAATACGATCTGAAAGAAGCGGTATTGTTGTATTTTTTTTTCATTTTCCATACATGGGGACATGTTATACGAAAAAAAATTTACCTTGTAATCGATTTTTTTGACGAACCCCCCTTATTTTTCCTTCCAGATCATCGCCACCGCCGTCTTCTGTCTTCTCATCGCCCACACCGTCGACAAGCGCAACCAATACCCCACCTGGGTGCAGCCCTTCATCATTGGCACAGCCTTTGTACTGATCGGAACCGCTTTCGCCCTGAACGCCGGATATCCCTGCAATCCCGCTCGCGACTTTGGCCCCCGCTTCTTCACGCTCCTCGCCGGCTACGGATGGGATGTGTTCAGCTTCAAGAACTACAAATGGTTCTGGATCCCGATTCTGGGCCCGCTGATCGGCGGCGTGCTGGGAGGTTGGATCTACGAAGTGTCGGTGGGATTCCAGACCCCCGAGGCCGAGGAATATCAGATTGTGGCGTCCGGAAGGGAACTTCATGTGGTCAAGACCAAGTAAGGAAACAAATTTTTGAAAAAAATGGAAAATTAAAAAAAAAAAATATTTTTGAAATGCACCGTGCAAAAAATTTTTTTTGACTGCACTGTGCGAAAAATAATAGTGAGAAATACCAAGTAGATTTTTTTAATAGGCACCAAATTTTTTTTTCGTCGCACTGTGCAAAAAAAAAAACAAAAACACAAATAAAATTTTCAACCGCACAGTGCGAAAAAATTTCTTTTTGTTGCACTGTGCAGAGAACAAAATTTTCGACTGCACGGTGCAAAAATTTTTTTTCGACTTCACTGTGCGGAAAAAATTTTAAAAATAAGTGAACTTTTTTTACAATTTTCAGAAAAAAATTCTTTATTGCACTGTGCAAAAAAATTTTTTTTTTTTTATTTCGAAAGCTTGTGCACGTTGCGAAAAAAATTTTCATCGCACAGTGCGAAAACATAAAATATTTTTTTATTTTTTACAATTAAACTAATCAAAACGTTTTCAGAGTCGACGAAGCCGAGAAGTTGAATGTCTAACCGTCCATAGAATCGCTGCCGCTAAACAAAAAAAATCGAATTTTTATGAGTTTTTAAACAATATTTTTATCGAATTTCCGTCCTAAAATACGTCAACCAGGAACACAATCTCTGCCAGTTGCTTTGTAATTTTTTTTTGAATAAAATTTACTTTTTTATGTCCAAAAAATTTTTTGTAAAAATAAAAAAAATAAATTTTTCTTCATAACCCCCAAAAAAATCTAAAATACGACTATTTATTTCTTAACTATCTGAGCGAAGCGGCCAAAAGACCGGGATTTTCGAGCAATTCCTTGAGGCGATTGCTAAACCTGGCCATTGTGGCGCCATCGACGAACCGATGATCGGCCGCCCATGAGAAGTTGATGATATTTGTGGGCTTCAATTGGTCATTATGATCGTATCTGGGGACTTTTCGGATCCTACCCAAGGCTCCAATCGCCACTTGAGGGGGGAAAATCACTGGGGAAAGGTAGGTACCGCCGATCTGGAAAAAATTTTGGGTAAAATACGAAGAACAAAGTTCTATTTTAAAAATTTTCTTCAATTTATTGTTTGAACAATGCAAGAAAAATGCAAAAAATCCCTTGCACTTCAATTTTTTTATTTCTGCATTGTGCAGACCAAAAAAATAGGCTAAAATTCCGTTTGCACAGTGCACATGAAAAAAACTAAATTTTCTGCACTGTGCAATCGAAAAAATTGGCTGAAATGTCGGCTGCACAGTGCGAAACACTCACTCTTTTCATTTCACACTGTGCAAAAAAAAATTTCCCTCGTCCACTGTGCAATAAAAATTTTTTTATTTTTTGCACTGTGCGGGCCAAAAAATAGGCTAAAACTGTCTCCGCACCGTGCAAAAATAAAAAAATCGCCCGGAAAATCAGCAAAACCTCATAAATTTTTTTTTACAATTACCAAAGATCTGAATAGACCATGATGTGATTTCTAAGCCCAAAATAACCCATTTACCGGAAAAAAATTCCCGAAAAAAAATTTTTTGTCCAAGTTGGCTAAAACAATGTCCAAATAACATTTCCCTGCCCAAATTCACTTACAATTCCAATATTACTCAATGTGAACGTCCCATTGAGCAAGTCTTCTCTTTGAATTTGTTGTTTCTGCCCACTTTCCAAGAGCCGATTCAAATCCGCCGCGATTTCCCAGATATTTTTTTGCTCACAAAACTTGATATTGGGCACAACCAAGCCTCCAGGTGTGTCCATGGCGACGCAAATGTTGTGATTTGCCTTGTAGATGATGTTCTTGTGTCCCGCATCAGCTTGCGCGTTCAATTGGGGGAAATCGGTAAGTGCGGCGGAGGTGGCTTTTAGGATGATTGGCATATAAGTCAGTTTGATATTGCGTCTTTTGGCTTCGGATTTGAGTTGATGACGGAAGTCGACTAGTGCGTCTGCCGTGTATTCGTCGTTGTAACCAAAATGGGGGATTTTCAGGGCCTCGGACATGGAACTTATCATGGCTCGGGTATATCCGCGGATGGGGACCACCTTATCTTCGGTTAACTGGGGCTGAAAATGTATTTTTATTTCGTCTCTGTACTCATAAATAAAGAAGTAAACCAAAAATATAACCCAGCTCCAAGTTTTCAGCTTTTTTGCTATCTGCAGACTGCGGGTGACATTTTATACGAAGGATATTTGGACCCTGCGGGCCTGATGAAACTTGGCGCAAATTTAAAACAGAATTTTTTAAGGCATAAGCAAAAGTTTCATACTCTGTTTTGCACAAACCATCGAGATTTCTAGGTCGAAAAAATCCGAACTTCCGGCCTAAAAATCTCGATGGTTACAGCAGAGCGCAAGCCAGAACTTTCGCAAATGTCTTAGAAAATTTTGTTCTAAATCTGCGTCAGGTTTCATCAAGATCTGCGCGTTCTCTACTTATGAAACACAAAAAATCCTCAAAATCTCAAATTTCCTCACTTCAAAGCTCTTCTTCTCTACTGGCGCCTCTTTTTCATGGCCTTCTGGAGTTTCAACCACATTCAAGAAGTTCAAAACGTCCTCTTTGAGTACTCTACCATCTCTCCCGGTCCCCGAGATTTTCCGGATATCAATTTTATTCTCCCTAATTAACCTCCGGACTGCTGGCGTCATCAACAGTTTTGATGACCGACTATGATGTTCCACCGGCTTTGCGGAGGTGATTTGGGGCGACTCTTCTAAAAAATGAAGATAAATCAAAACGAAATTGGTAAATTTACCTTCTTCTTGAGGTTCGGAGACAGCTGAATCATCTTCAACTTCGATATCGATTAGTGGTTGACCAACTTTGGCAACTTGGTCGATCTCGTAGTGCCTGAAAAATTTTGTACGTTGAGGATTTCCAAAAATTGTTTGTTTTTCACAGTGCAAAAAAGTTCGTTTTTGCACCGTGCGCACTGGAAAAAAGAAGTAAAATTTCGGTTGCACAGTGCAAAAATTTTTCCAATTTTTTGCAAAGTGCTGACAAACAAAAAACTTAAAAATTTCGGCCCACACAGCACAAGATTGTTCCCCATTTGCACTGTGCAAAAAAAATCTTTCTTTTTTGCACGGTGCAGAGCCAAAAATAGGCCAAAATTGACTTTGCACAGTGCAAAAACGCAAAAAATCGGAAAAAACCGTCAAAATTCAATTTCAAAAATCTACAAAAAGTGCTAAAAAAGACTTACAATCGTTTGACGATACCTTCATATCGACTTGTAATTGTTACTGCCGCTTTGTCACTTTGCACTTCACAAACCTCATCAAATTCGCTAATTTTATCGCCAACTTTGATATGCCAATCCTTCAGCTGGACTTCGGCAATCCCTTCGCCAATGTCCGATAACTTGAACTGCACCAATTTGTCTAATTGAGCTGAAAATTTTTTAAGATCATCAAAATTTTGGGAAAAAATGATTTTTTCCGAAAAAATTGTGGATTTGACAGTCGTATTAACAAATATAGTGTGGAATAAGTTTCAAAAATCGTATGGCATTATTATTTAATTATTTTTGCGCAATTTGCGACAAACTTTTTCAATTTTTTTATTTCCGCACCGTGCAGGCCAAAAAATAGGCTAAAATTGGTCCCGCACAGTGCAATAAAAACAAAGTTGCCGTAAAAACAATTTTCATAATAAAACAAGTAATTTGACTTACCTGACATGTGAATTAACCGTTTTACCGATGAATAGTGACCCCGTTGGCCCAATAATCCCAACATTTTGGCCGATAAGCTAAAAAATTCAATTTTTAGAGCAAAATTAATTGTATCGCCTAAGGCAATAAACGGCAAAACCACAGGAAAACCCTCGGAAAATGTCAGAGATCTTGCAAACAGCAAAAAAAAATATAAATTTTCTAGTAATTTCAGACAAAATTTTGAGAAAAACGCGCATTTTAGGGCATTTCCCGCCACTTCACGCGATTCCCAGAGGGGAAATGGAGGAAATGAGCGAATTTTAAGGAAAATGGCTAATTGAAAGTCTGGAAAGGGTAGAAAATAGCTGAAAGTTGGAGAGTCTACTGTCTGAAAGGGCATATCACCAAGTTTTGGGGAAAATTTAAGTGAAGTTATACAAAAATCCCAAAAATAATATAAATTTGCATTTCTGAAGTCAAAAGAACGTCTAATTTTGAAGTCTACGTCATCCTCCTGCCTCCAAAATAACCGGCGTCGCGAAAAAATGGGAATTATCAAAGGAAATTTCGATTGCAAAAAAAGATCCGTCCATTTCCTTCGACCAAAAGCCACTCGTTCAGTGTAATAAAGAATTTTCTCTCATTTTTCTGATCAAGTCTCGGTTTTTCGTCGGCTTTAGGCCCACGTGGAGTTTCGACGGCAAGAAACACTCAATTCGAAACCGACCTAAACGGATTTTCTTGAAATTTGAGACGAGTTTTTGAGGTTCGGTTTAGGGATCATGGAGAAGATTGTAAGGTCAATGTGAAGCGTAAGGTTGGCGATGGTTGCATCATCTTTCGAAGGAAGCAATAAGAAGACGTAAGCCTATAATAGGTCAAGTATCAAACCGATTGGGCGGTCTGTGATTGAGAAACGAGGCCATTCTTACGCACATCCATGACTTATGTCATGGATGAGATAATTCGTCTATATCTCAACGATCAGTGGGGAGACCAAGACAAAACACGGTAGAAATGTGCCTAAATATCTCATAAACATGTGATAAAAATTTTATTACATTACTAGGCACCTCCTTCAAGATATAAGCTATTCATTTCGACCTACTATCAGATTAAAGAATAACATAAATTCAACACCAATTTCCTAACAAAAATTGATACAGAAATTTACCTAAAACAAGCAAAGGAAAATATGCATCCGGCCCGTCGTATGTTACAACGTTACTCATAAGAATAACTGCCAAAAAGACAAAAAACCTTAAAATTTCTTCAAAAAGCGGCCGCGGAGGCATTTAAAACAATATAAAATGTCAATAAAACCCATAAAATTTATCAGAAAACACTGTCGCGACATGTGGTTGTAAAATTTACAACCGCACCATCAAAATTTGACCTTATCAGTCGAAAAATCTATCAAAAATCGTTTTGCAAATTATTTTTCGAACATCTTTCATCGTATAAAATGTCTCCTTAGGGTTGTTTGAATTCCCGCAAAATTTCTCTCTGTGGCAATTTTTGGGCGGGAAATCTTGCGGCAATTGGGTAAAAATTTGCATTTCGCACATTGCGAAATTTTGTCGAATTCACAAATTTTAGGTATCAAAACATTGCACTTGATTTTCAAGCGAAAAATTTGAAATTTCTCACGCGTTTTTAGTTTTTTTGTCGAGTGTAATATTTTTTCTTTGTAAACCATCTCTTTTCAGATTTTTATTATAATAATAACGGGTGTAACCTACAAAAATGGCCGCCAAGACTGTCTCGGCATTGGATTGCAGCTACTGCGTAAGTTTTTGCCATATTTTTGATGTCTCAAAGTTTAGAGAAAGTTGTTTTGATGGTTGAAAGAATAGGAGAAGGTGTTGATCTAGCTTTTAACCCAAAGTCATCTTCATTTTCGGTCTCTTTCAACTAAAAACAACCAATTTCAATGTAGACCATCTAAAGGGATGCCATGAATAATATAACCCCTGTTTGTCTTTCAGTTTAAATTTATGGGCGCCCAGATTGCCCATGATCGCACCAAGGTCCTCGATGTGTATGATCAATGGCTCAATACCGTATTGGATTGCTATTCGTTGAGTGAATACATCACTTCTGTGAAGGTGCCGGCTGAAGGAACAGAACGCGAGAATGTGGAGGCTGGTTTGAAGAGTTTGATGAAAGTTTGCATCGAGAACATTGAGCATTATGTTGGAAGGTATGTGAGCTTTGGTTCTTTTTGTTTTGTCTTTTAGGTTAACAAATATCAAAGGCTTTTCTTTGAAGTATAGCTGATCTAGTGTAGTATTGGAAAAATATGCGGAAATTCTGTAAATTTTTACTAATTTTTGTTTCGCCTATCAAGAGTAGCTCTTGAGAGAACTTTATTAGTTGGTTTGGACTAGCTTAGGCTATCAATTAGACGAGTATTATCCTTGGCATCAGATCCTCATGGACAATATAAAATTTTGTCTCGGTGATAGTTTTATTGACCTCGCACACAAGTATGGTCGTTTCAGTGAGCTGAAGAAGGAAGATGTTCCGATTCTGGCTGGGTTCTTCACTCTTATCCTCGAATTTCATCGCTCAATTAAGCAGACACCGGAGTTTTGGAAGGACCTCAAGGATAAGCCTGTAATCGAAAAGGCATACTCTGATGCTCTTGAATACGTTTCACAGCTGAAGGATGGAGAAGTCAAGGATGCTCTGAAGACAAAAGTTCCCACTTTGAGCGAGAATTTGAGTGCCAACGAGACCATCCACAACTTCCATGGAAAAATGGAGGAATTGATCGAGAGCTTGAAGAAGTTCGAAGCTCCGCAAGAAATTTTGGATGAGATTCACCTCAAAGAGGATTTTGAATTTGATTATAATGTGGGGCTTTTCAAACAGTAAGGTTTTCTTGATTTTTTATCTTGTTTTAGTTGAGCGACCTAAAGTAATATCGACGAGTGCTTATACTGGTGTGTTTATAGGTTGGCCGACCTGGAAAAGCCGTATATGGAGGCATTTGATGCCAAGAAAATTTCCAAAGAGCTGGTTGAGAAGTATTATGAAGTTTTGGGGTATGTGTTGGTCAATGTTGACGATATCAATGAAGCCTTGGAATACTATGAATTTCAACCTGAGCTCGAGGAGAAGAGACTCTCTTTGATTGAGGTGAGTGATTTTTGTTTTGTTTTTTTTTTAACTTTAGGTGGATTTTGAGACGATCCTATGAAGTCTAGTGTAATATAAAAAGTCGTTTGATTTTGAGATTCTTCGGCTTATACGTGGTTGCGAATGCCTTTTAAGGCCTTTTTAGATGATATCCATTCGTTCTAGATGTAAAAACGTTTCTTCCGAATGATTTTTCACCAAATTTGCCTAGTGTAATATGCAAAATCCTTTATTTTAAATCTTTTGGTATTAATATTGCTTTTCCAGGCCTTGTACAATTATCATGTCGGCAGAACCCTCAATCTGATCCCAGCCCATGACATTGACGACACCTTGAGCACCTATATTTCAAAGATTGTTAATGTATTGCTGATCCTCGCCCCAGTCAAGTTCCTCACCGTCCTTTTCAAACGCCAGGCGCAGAAAACGGAATGCGCATCACCTATTGGGGCCATTCTGTTGAAATGTAGAAAGGGGTTGGCGCAGAAAATTGAGGGCTCCACCTTGGCGGTTCATGTCTTGAAGAAGATTTTTGAAGAATTAGAAGAGAAGCAGGCTGACCAAGAGACGAAGAAATTGTATACTAACCTTGTGAAGAGTCTGTGCAAGCAGAGAATTGATTGTAAGTTTGATTTTGGGGGACTTATATTATCCATGATGGTTTAGGTGAATTTGGATGAAAAAGTTTGAATTTTCGATTCTAAAATAAGGTTTTGGTCTTGAATATTACCTATAGTGTTGTACTGCTTATAATAAGGGACATTTTTGATGATTTCAAGAGGATTTTTATATTATCCATGATAATTTTTGGTGAAAAAGTTTGATTTTTTGCTTTGAAAATAAGATTTTGGTCTTGAATGTAGCCTAAAACCTTGTGCTTGTCATAATGAGGCCTATTTTTGATGATTTTAAGAGGGTTTCTATATTATCCATGACAAAAATTATCATAAAATCAGGGTTTTTGAGAAGAATTAGAAGTTTTTGACGTATAGCTGGCTCATTACCCCCATTTTCAGTCCAAAAACAACTCGTTGACCCGGTGGTATCCCCCACCGAAGTAATCCGTCACTTTATTTTTGAGTCCCCGGCCTCTTCGCGGGCCTGGTTCCTCAATCTGGCGATCCTCACCGGATTCTTCGATGCACCCGACAAGTTGAATCGCAGTTATCCCATCAATTTTGACCCAGAAAATGGAGAACATGTTGAGCCGGCAGATTTGATCACCTACATTGTGACTTTGCATAAATTGATTGCTGCTGATGTTACAAGAGGATCTTTGTTTTCTGCTCCGGACTGTCTGAAGAAGCTCGGAGAGAAGTTTTATGGTAAGTTTAAGGAGGTTTGGGGGAGTTTTGAGGGATTTTTATGCGATTTCTGACCTTATTTTAGTTGTTTCGGAGGTTATTTTAGATGTTTGGGGCCTTGTTTTAGCTATTTTGGATGTTATTTTAGTAATTTTCGATCTTATTTTAGTCATTTGAGAACTTGTTTTAGTTGTTTTGGATCTTATTTTAGCTGTTTACACCTTGTTTTAGCTAATTCGGACCTTATTTTAGATGTTTAGGATGTTATTTTAGATGATTCGGACCTTGTTTTAGCTGTTTCGGATCGTATTTTAGTCATTTGGGACCTTGTTTTAGCTGCTTTGGACCTTTTTTTGCTGTTTCGGATGTTATTTTAGATGTTTCGAACCTTGTTTTAGCTATTTCGGAACTTATTTTAAATGTTTTGGATGTTAATTTATCGATTTTTGGACTTCACTTTGCCCTTTCTTTCAGCTGAAAGAGTGATTGTCGATGATATGCACTTCCTGAACCACCAACTCTCGGAATGCCTCTGGTCCGTAAAGTATTTTGCCTCCCGATACCTGTTCAAAACGGTCACCAACCTCACTCATGACATCCCCGAAGTCCTCTACCGCCTCATTCCGGAGGAAAACCGCCGCCGCTTCCGCCCGATCACGTATCCGGGCGAGGAGAACATTAGCGATTTGGAGAACTTGCTCTATTCGATCATGGAAATGGCCCTAACTTCTCCGGAACTCACTAAATCTTTCATCGCAGATTATGCGCTCGACTTTAAGCTGTTGAACACGCCGGAAAAGGAGTCGGATTGGAGAAATGCAACTGCTCAACTGATCTCCTTGTTGACGAATAAGTGTCTAAAAGTGGAGGAATTTAAAGGATTGGTGGATATTTTGGATTTGTTGATCAGAAAAGCCGATTGGCCATTGCCATTTGACAGCCAGGAGAAGGTTACTGTGGAATGCGCGGCTTGTAAGGCAGATTTTGGGGGATTTGCAGAGACTTGGGGGGTTTTTGGGAATATATTTTTTTACAAGGAAAATGCTTCGATGGGGTATGGAGTTACAGGTCGTGACATATATCAAGAAAAAATTGCAAAATTTTCCTGATTCAGAGTATGTAAAAATTAGCTGCCTAATTTTGGTTTGTAAGGGTGAAAAAGTCCTCTGTACTTTCCTCGCAAATTTCAGATTTTTTTTTTTTGATGAGAACGATTTTTTGGGGAGTTTTTATTGTTTAGACCATAGAATTAAGTAAGAAAGAGCGGCAAAGAATAGTTTGTTGTTCTCACTCTCTTTTTCCTTTCAGTGGCCAGCAATCTGGAGCCCATTTTCGTCCTCGGAGCCGCCGTTTTGAACGACCTGGCCGAACAGCGCTATAAGGTGAATGGAAATACTTTGATTGACACCTGGAACCCATCGACTCAAAATCTGGTCGATTGCTTTTGCTTCATCACGAATGAACGCTTATCAAAACAAGTCAACATTTATGCTCCAAAGAAGTAGGTTTTCAATGGAAAGTAGAGAGAAAAAATGTGCAGTTTTTTTTTAAATTTTTTTTGGAGGTTTTTGCGGAGAAAAATTGATCAAAAATTGTGCCAAATTTCCACAAAATTGGTCCAAAATTTAGGCTTATTTTTTCAGCACCGGCCTCGACTATGCCGCCAATTTTGTCGCCTCTCCGGAGATCCGCTACCTGAACCTTGCCCTGTTCCAAATCCTCTCTCTGATCGACGCGATTGTCGGCCTGAACCTCCCACTGGACAACCCCACCATTGTCGCCAATCTCGCCGTCCATGTGAAGCAGTTGGTCAACAGAATGCTCCCCTGGAACCCAGAGGAAATCAAGTCGTTGGGAAGGAGAGTTCAGAACGAATCCGCCTTTGACAAACTTAAAACTGGATTTGAGAGTAAGTAGAGGCCTTTTTGTGACATCTCCACATCACTTTTGGTGGCTTGGAATTGAGCTTTGCACTGTTTGTTGGAGTGTTTTTGTGTTGAACATGTCTGTTTTTGTCTTTTTGAGAAATAAATTTTGATCTAAAATGGGAATGGAGAAGCTTTGGAGGAGTTGGAAGAAGTTTTCGGCTAAAAAATCGGTGAATTTTTTTTTGAAAATAATGAAATTGTCGTAGAATGAGGGAAAGTTTATGTTTTTTGTTTGTTGTGTTGCTTTTTTCCCTAATTTATGTTTGCTTTGCCGTCTTGTAGGAGCCCCATTGTTGAAGAAACCCGGCGAAGAGAGGAATGATTACAAGAAAGAGGAGAGAATCTCGAAATCAGCTGTTCAAGTCACTGGATTTTCGAGAAATGACAGGAAAAACATGGACGAGGAGGAAAAGTTGGAGAAACAGAAGATTGAACATCCAAAACATGAGGAAATCCCGGTGAAGCTAGTTGAAGGGGCCAAGAAGGACGAGGAAAAGCAAGTTGAAGTCAAAAAAGAGGCTCCAGAGGATATTTCCGGGCCTTCGGAAGCCCCAGAGAGCCCACAGGAAGTACCTCAACCCATCAGAAAGCTTCTACCAACTCCAATAACCTTTGAGGAACCCAAAGAACCCCAACAAGTTCAAGAAAATCAGTCAGAAGTGCCGGAACCCGTCGAAGAAGCCGTTGTTGATGTAATTTTTTGTTTGCTGTCCCCTTGGTTTTGTCTTGAGTTGGCTTGAAAGTCGTGTTGGCACTGTGATCTTGATGGCTTCATTTGAAAATTAATTGATTTCAATTTCAGGCCGGCTTCAATGAATCAGTCCCATTCGAGCCGTCCGTATGTGAATCGGAACCGGAACGCAGCGAAACCATCGAAATTTTGAAGATTGAGACCAAGGATGTGACCGAGGATACACCAAAAGGATGCGAATCTGAGGAAACGGAAAAGGTAAGGGGATTTGTGAGGACAAGAGGGATTTTTTGGGGAAATTGAAGGGTTCTTGAATGATTGGGTTCCGGAAAATAATCCAGATTTTGATGGAAAAAAATGTCAAATGAGGTGTAGAAAGGGTAAAATACGTTATTTAGGATGTAACAGGGGATTCTAATTAGATTTTTTGAGTATTTTACGGTGTTAAAGGTGGAAAAGCAAGGAAATTTTTTTATAAATACATTGAAATCTGTATTGAACACGGTAAATCCGATCTTATCGTGGGCAAAAGCCTTGAAATTTACAATTTGGGCTTGAAATCTCTCAATTGACGCCGGAGAATCTTCCCGGAAGGACTTTTGGGAATCTCATCTACAAAGAAGATCCCTCCAACTAGCCGCTTATAAGGTGCGCATTTCTCTGAAATATGAAAGTTAAAGATAGATGAAAGTTTTGTAACAATAAAATTAGGTCTCAAACTTACCGAGAATGTATTTGTCGACCGCTTCTTCGGTGAGTTTTGGATCGTTCTTGACAACGAAAGCTCTGGGAACTTCTCCAAATTCGGGATGAGGAACCCCAATCACAGCAGAGTCTTTGATTTCGTCGTGAGAAAGTAGAACGTCCTCGAGCTCGGCCGGAGCCACTTGGAGTCCCTTCACCTTGATCAAATCTTTGCATCGGTCAACCACATAAGTCCAGCCTTCATTGTCAACATACCCGAGATCTCCGGTATGCAGCCAGCCCTCGTTGTCGACAGTATCCGCTGTGGCCTTTGGCCGATTGAAGTATCCCAACATTGTTGTGGGAGAACGAGTCAAAATCTCGCCCACCTGTCCTCGGGGAACAGTCTTTCCCGTCTCTCGATCAATGACTTTCATCTCGAAGTTGGGCATTAGCCAGCCTGAGGCTGCGGGATTGTCACGGCCGAACACTGGAAGGTGGGAAGCCATGCTCATCTCGGTCATTCCATAGGCTGAAAGAAAATAATGCATCGTCTTTTTTCACAATTGAATCTTGAGCTTAGCATGCCGTTTCTTTGAGCGAAATGAAATATCTTACAATGTATGCAGTAATGATTGTGAAATACCAATCGCTACTGCCGACATTGTCGGATATTGCATTTTGCATATCTACGACGTGTTTTTACATTCGAACGAGGCGATTGCTGAGCCTTGCCTGTGAATTCTAGTTTCTTTCCTACCTTGAGAGATCTGTTTTATCGTCGGAAACCGTTTTTTGAGCGCATCCACTAGCTCGGTTCCCATTGGCGCAGCTCCGGTCATCATGAATTCCACGGAGCTAATGTCATACTTGTTCATAAGGTCCGAGTTGGCCATATGAACAAGAATAGGTGGGACCAACATCAAATAGCGGATCCTAAAGTCTTCAACGACCTTGAACAGGGTATCTGGACTATATTTTCGCAGGATCACTGTTTGGCCGCCGTGCAAAATTGAAACCCAGAGCATTCCAAAGCCATAGATGTGGTAAAATGGAAGTGTAAATGCAAGATACTCTTTTCTCCAGTCCCAGTTTGGATCGATTTTCATCAAGATTTGATCGTTTACCATTCTGCAAATTTGGGTGTAATATTGTTTTGTTCTTTTTTTTGATGACGGGAAGAGATCAAAAATTTATGATCGTGTTTTGGTTGACTTCTTTGTGCTATAATACGTATCCATTAAACTTACACGCTAGCACTGCGCAGTAAAGTTCCAAAGCTCTTGTGGGTCAACATGACGCCTTTTGGAACCCCTGTGGTACCGCTGGAATACGGTAAAGCGATGACATCCTTCTCCACGTCGACGTTCGTATATAGTTCATGAGTTAGAGGATTCAAAGAAAGAATGTGATCGAAGGTTACCACATTTGGAGGGAGATTTTTGAGCTTAGAATCGACTACCACAATGTGCTGAAAAAGTTGTTGTTAAATGTACAGGAATTGGCAGACTTACCGTGATTAATGGGCAGTCATTCCTTGTTTTCAACGCCAATTCAAGCGAGTACTCCATGCAGAAGATGACCTTGCACTTGGCATCATTGAATTGTTGACTTAGTTCGGCTGTAGCAAGAATTATTAGTGATTTGATGACGGCGATTTTGTTTACCTTCCGTGAAAATAGGACTTGCACCACTAAAACATCCACCCCGCGAGACAGCACCAAGAAAAATGGCCGGAAATTCCCAACAGTTTTGCAGCACTGCGCCGACCACGTCTTTATAACCAAATCCAATACTTCGGAGATACGCATTCACACAGTAGGTGACATTTAGTAGATCTTGGTAGCTTTTTCTCTGCCTAGTTTCGGCGGAAATCTGAAAGAGACAAGATTTATTGGATGTTAATTTATTAGATTAAATGACCGCTTAGTAAACATAAAAAGACTGGTATTCTAAGCTTACAAACGCCGTTAATCCTCGGTCAGCATGACTTTTGATGATGTTCAAATACTCCAGATGAAATGGCACATCTGCCACTTTGACTGGACCAAATTCTGACCGAATGTAGCTCTCCATGTTAGGCGAAAAAGAGACGGGAATTGATTTGTCTTTGCTCAATTACAAACACCCGCATCAATGAATGCCGAATGTTTGATACCTCCCATTTTATCGAGCCCGCTTTACACATTACCCGTGTTTCTAATAGATAACAAAAAATTGAGAGACGCGCAATTTTAAAGGTTGGACAGTCTGAGTCTTTATTGAGCGTGTTTTATAGTTTGAAGCTTGTTGTATATGGTAAAATTTAATTTGATTGCGTTGATTCAATCTGGAGGTCTCTTGAGGGTTATAGTTTACTCTTGGTATCTCTCAATTGACGTCGGAGAATCTTCCCGGAAGGGCTTTTCGGAATCTCATCGACAAAGAAAACACCTCCGAGAAGTCGTTTGTAAGGAGCACATTTTTCTGCAGACAATAATTTGATATATTGGAAATTGTCTTACCTAGGATGTATCGGTCCACCTCAGCAGCGGTGAGATTAGGATCATTCTTGACAACGAAGGCTCTTGGAACTTCTCCAAATTCTGGATGAGGTACTCCAATGACTGCTGAATCTTTGATGTTGTCATGGGAAAGAAGGATGTCCTCCAATTCAGCAGGAGCGACTTGAAGTCCTTTGACCTTGATCAAATCTTTGCATCTGTCTACAACATACATCCAGCCATCTTTTTCGAGATATCCGAGGTCCCCAGTATGAAGCCATCCCTCCTTGTCGACGGTCTCTGCCGTTGCCTTTGGCCGATTGAAATAGCCCAACATGACCGTTGGAGAGCGAATTAGAATCTCGCCGACTGTCCCTAGAGGAACGGTTTCGTGGGTATCTCGATCAATTATCTTCATCTCGTAATTTGGTGCTAGTCGGCCAGAAGCGGCAATATTGTCCCGTCCAAACACAGGTATGTGTGATGACATGCTCATCTCGGTCATTCCGTATGCTGTAATTAGAAAAACTTGAGTGTTGTTCTCTCCTTACCTTGAGATATCTGCTTGATAGTCGGGAATCTTTTCTTCAACGCAGTTATGAGCTCTAGTCCAACGGGCGCTGCACTTGATGTAATATACTCTAATGAACTGATATCATAATTGTTCATGATCTCGGAATTGGCCATGAATACTAGAATAGGCGGGACTATGGCCACAAACCGTACTTTGTATTCTTGGATGACTCTGAAGAAGATTTCGGGGTTGTATTTCTTGAGGATAACCGTCTGTGCTCCGTTCAAAATATTGATCCAGAGAAAGCCGAACCCATACATGTGGTATAGTGGAAGAGGAGATACTAAATACTCTTTGTTCCAATCCCATTTTGGATCCATTTTCTTCAATAGCTCTTCATCTAAGACTCTGAAATTGAGTTTGTTCCGGAAAGGTTAAATATTGGGGGACTTCTCGTGGGATGGGTTCTTGGAGACAGGACTTACTTGCTGACAGAGCGTACTAGTGTTCCGAAGTTCTTGTGAGTCAACATGACGCCTTTTGGAACTCCTGTAGTACCACTGGAATATGGGAGGAGGATCATGTCCTTCTCGACATCGACCTTGGTATGAAGCTCGTGAGTTAGAGGGTTCAGTAAGAGAATGTAATCGAAAGTTACTACATTCGGAGGTAATTTCTTCGAGTTTGTCGCGTCGACAACCACGATATGCTAAATAGCTGTTGTAAACGGATTGAATGTTTAGTTACTTTGATGAGCGGGCAGTCATTCCTTGCTTTCAATGCCAGTTCAAGTGAGTATTCCATGCAAAAAATGACTCGGCACTTGGCATCGTTGAATTGTTGGCTCAGTTCGGCTAAAATCCGAAATATTAATAATCTGATGGTTGTTTACTCCCTGACCTTCCGTGAAAAGAGGGCTGGCGCCGCTAAGGCAACCACCTCGAGATACAACTCCAAGAAAAATGGGCGCGAACTGCCAACAGTTTTGTAAAACTGCGCCGACAACATCCTTATTACCAAATCCAATCTTTTTCAAGTATACGTTGACGCAGTATGAAGCAAGTAGAAGGTCTTTGTATGTCTTTCGTTCCCCTGTTTCCGCGGAAATCTAGAGAATAAAAGCCCAAATTTTGCGAGAAAGAAAATGAAACATTAAAATTGCCGAAAAAAACTGACAAACGCGGTCAATCCTCGGTCAGCATGTTTCTTGATGATCCTCAGATACTCCAAATGAAATGGTTCATCTGCCACTGGAACTGGATCAAATTCCGACCGCAAATAACTAACCATATTACACTGAGAGGAATACGAAGCAACGTTTTCTCTTCGGACAAGCGAATATAAAGGTTTTCGGACTATCGACCATTTAATGGCAAAAGAAACGTTGCGCAAGTTTACAATATATTGATTAACCTGATATCGGGTAAACAACGAATGGAGAAGGTCGGACGAAGAGTGCAGATTGTTTTTGAGCAGATTTATGTGGTTTTGTTATTATAGTTATTAGAAATGACATTTACAATTGGCCTTTATCTCTTTCAACTGGCTTAGGAGAAGCTTGCCGGAAGGGCCTTCAATGTATAGGTGACACATTTATTCCGCGGTTTGTTATGTCCGATAACCTACCAAGAATGTACTGGTCGTACCCTTCTTCAGTAAGAATTGGATCATTCTTGACAACAAGCGCTCTTGGGAACTTTGGATGAGGAACTTCCCAAATCTTTGACCGTGAGAAAGTGGAACATCTAACTCAACCGGAGCTGCTCCTGTCTTTAAAAATATTAGGATGACTTTTTGATGGCGTTCAAATACTCTAGGTGAAATAGCATATCGGCCACTTTGACTGGACCAAATTCTGGTCGAATATCTCCATGAAAAGAGAGAAGAATTGCCTTGTTTTTTCTCAGTTATAGACGCCGCACTTATATTGCAGAATGATAGATACCCCCAATTTTCCACTGTAACTGGATCAAATTCCGATCGCAGATAACTAACCATATTACACTGACAGAAATACGAAGACTACGCTTTTATAAATGGTTTCTGGACTATCAACGACTCAATGGCAAAACAAAAGTTGCGCGAGTTTAAATATTTTGATTTGCACGATGTCGCGTAAACAACGAAAGGAGAACTTTAGACGTCTGAAAAGTGCACACTGTTTTTGCAAAGATTGAACTTTTTTTTATTAATTATTAGGTGTGATATTTACAATTTGGCCTTGATGTCTTTCAACTGACGTCGGAGAATCTTGCCGGAGGGGCTTTTGGGGATTTCGTCGACAAAGAAAATTCCTCCAACCAGTCGTTTATATGGTGCGCATTTTTCTGAAATTACAAGTGTATAGATGGAAATTTTATTCAGCGGTTTGTTGTGTTTGATAACCTACCAAGAATGTACTGATCGACCTCTTCTGCTGTAAGACTGGGGTCATTCTTGACAACAAACGCTCTTGGGACTTCTCCAAACTTTGGATGAGGAACTCCAATAACCGCCGAATCTTTCACTTTGTCGTGAGAAAGTAGAACATCTTCTAGCTCAGCCGGCGCCACTTGGAGTCCTTTTACCTTGATCAAATCTTTGCATCGGTCAACCACATAAGTCCATCCTTCTTTGTCGAGATATCCGAGATCACCTGTGTGCAGCCAGCCCTCGTTGTCGATCGTTTCAGCTGTTGCCTTTGGCCGGTTGAAGTATCCCAACATTGTCGTTGGAGATCGCGTTAGAATCTCGCCAACTTGGCCAAGCGGAACGGTCTTTCCCGTTTCTCGGTCGATAATCTTCATCTCGTAATTTGGCAATAACCGGCCGGAAGACGCAGGATTACTCCTTCCAAATACTGGCATATGCGAGGACATACTCATTTCGGTCATTCCATAGGCTAAAATTTAAATTTTGAAAGCATAATGAGTACCTCCTACCTTGAGCTATCTGTTTGATACTTGGGAATCGTTTTTGAAGCGCTTCGACGAGCTCGATCCCAACCGGAGCTGCTCCTGTCATTACAAATTCCACCGAACTGATGTTATATTTGTTCATGTTCTCGGGGTTGGCCATGTATACAAGAATAGGCGGCACTAAAGACAAGAATCGCACCTTGAAGTCCTCCACAGCCTTGAAGAAAACGTCTGGACTGTATTTGCGAATAATCACGGCTTGTCCTCCTGCTCGGATTAAAGTCCACAACATGCCGAAGCCATAAATGTGGTAGAATGGGAGAGTAAATGCTAGATATTCTTTTGTGTAGTCCCAATTTGGATCAATTCGATAAAGAATCTCTTCGTTCAGAACTCTGCAAAGTGTAATGTTATGTCAGCTGAGAGAAATTGATGATTTTTTGTTTGTTTTGCTATAGTTTGTAGTAAGAGGTTTTCTCCTTGAAAGAACAAGATTTCTCGTACTTACTTGCTTACGCATCGTAACAAGGTGCCAAAACTCTTATGTGTTAACATAACACCCTTTGGCACTCCAGTAGTACCGCTCGAATATGGCAAAGCGATGATGTCTTTTTCAACATCGACTTTCGTATGGATTTCGTGGTTCAGAGGGTTCAGAGAGAGAATATAGTCGAAGGTCACCACATTCGGAGGGAGATTTTTGCGCTTAGAGTCGACTACAACAATATGCTGCAAAAATGTGTGGTAAATTGTGAGAGGATTGCTCGTTTACCTTCACTAGCGGACAGTCATCCCTTGTCTTCAACGCCAATTCAAGCGAATATTCCATACAAAAGATGATCTTGCACTTGCAATCGTTGAATTGTTGGCTTAGTTCGGCTAAATTTTTTGTTGTTAGTAACTTGAGAGCCACTTTTTTACCTTACCTTCTGTGAAAATAGGGCTGGCTCCGCTGAAGAAACCACCTCGAGAAACCGCAGCAAGAAAGATTGCCGGGAATTCCCAGCAGTTTTGCAAAACGGCACCAGCCGCATCCTTATAACCGAAGCCAATGCTTTTCAAATACGCGTTGACACAGTAAACAGCGTGTAACAGGTCCTTGTAGGTCTTTCTCTCTCGTGTTTCGGCAGAAATCTGTAAGTAGCGAAAATAAAATGCAACAAAACAAAGGAATTTGGCTGTTTGGGCAACACTGATAAGAGTAAAACGAGTTCGGAGATATTATTTTAGAGGTCTTTGACAAGATTTTTTGGGCAAATCGGACCTCCATACAACGCATTTGTTGTCTGCTGGTCTATTTTGCCCGAAAAATCACGTTTGCGACCGCTAAAGTTGCTCGTTTTGCGAGATTTTGCTCTAAACGAGTTGAAAGTATATTATAGTATTATTGCACTCACAAAAGCAGTCAGTCCTCGTTCGGCATATCCTTTGATGAGGTCCAGGTACTCCGCATGAAACGGCACATCCGCCACTTTCACTGGTTCGAACTCTGAACGAATATAACTCGTCATTCCGACGACGCCAAAAGAAACGGCCCCTTCGAATTGTGCCCAAATATAAATGCATTTCGCACTAAAGACCGCACAATGATAAAAGAAACTCCCATTTTGGTCGGGACCACTTTACACATGATAGCGGTTGATAATAAAGATTCGGAAATTAATCATGTTTTGGTTGCTAAGATGTGATCAACGCCGAGAAGTGATGTAGTGTGGGGTTTCCACATGTGTGGCAAGTTTTTATCCCAGTTTGGTAAAAGTACGATGGCTTTATTGGAACATTGTAATTGGTCGATAAAGTGAAGGATCATCTATAATTTAGTTCAGTTAATAGTGCAAATTTGGACTTGAGTGTAGAACAGACGTTAATGGCGTTAGACACCCTGTTTGTAGGTAAAAGTGTAAAAAATTGAGAGCAGTGTAATGTCGCTGATTTGATCAACGTGTGAGGTGGAAAGAAAAGGAAGTTCATGTCGGGGAAAACATGGAACTTTCACATGTCTTTTTGTCAAAAAAATGCTGATGATTTTTTGCTTATTTTGCTATAGTTTGTAGTAAGAGGGTTTCCTCTTGGAAGAAATCTTGTACTTCCTTGCTTACGCATCGCAACAAGATGACAAAGTGTGTTGTGTTAACACGGGTTTGCGGAGGAATCATATCAATTCCTAAAAATGCTGGATGTCACTTTGCGAGTGCCGCCAAAATATTCAACGACGGTTTTTGCGAGAGGATACGTAAAATCAGAAGAGTCGACAAGAGGAAAAGCAGCCTTGCAGAGTTTCATGTGATAAAAAAGGTATCCAAATGATTTCTGGATGACTTTTTGCCACATGATCCTCTACAAGACTTTCGTCCGGTCGATTCTTCTGATTTTACGTACTTTCTCGCAAAAATTATCGTTGAATATTTTGCCGGCACTCGTAAAGTGACAGAACAGCATGTTTAGGAATTGATATGATTCCTTCGCAAACCTAATTGGAGATCTTGGATGTGTCTGCAAAGAATTAGTTAAATTTTTCAAGGGTTGTTTTATGTCCCATTTACTGTAGGTGTGAGAAAAAATTTTTGATATCGGCGAATGTTATTTGCAGATATTATTTTTTGGGACATGCAGTGAAATTTTTCTGGATTTCATATTATAGTGTTATTCATTTTTTCAGCCCGCCTACAGCGTGATGCCATCGGTGGACATCTTTGCCGAGGAAAAGAAGACCGAATTTGAAGTCTCCACCCAAGCAGAAGGCTTTGGATTCGGCTCCACGCAACAAGTCCGCCCCAATTTGCCCCCAAGAAGTGGCTTCGAAGACGCCAAGGGATTCAATGCTTTTGGCGAAAAAGACCCGAAATTCGGCAAGGATGGCGCTGGCGATCGCTACAACGAACAGCGATTCAAGGAGAACAGACGTTTCAGCACTCCGGCCGCGGGAAACGACGTCTTCGGAGCGGGATTCCAGCCGGATCAGGCGCAAGAAGGCTTTGGAAGCGGTGGATTCGGAGCCATCGGAGAGGCCAAGAAAGAAGACAAGGAGAATGATGATGTGTTTGGAAGGAAACCGGGATTTGGAAATGAGAGAGGAGGATTTGGAGTGGAAAGAAGAGGCGGACACAGAAACAGGGATGCATTTGGAGCCGACAGAAGAGCCGGAAGAACCGGTGGATTCCAGGACGGTAAGAATTTTTTTTCTTTTGACGGGAAATTTGATTTTTTTTTTTTGGAATGAACCTTTTTTTAACGGAATATCAGTCGCAAACGTGCCTTGGAATCGACCATCATCGCTTCTGTGACGGCTAGCCGTAGCTGGAAATTTGGCACAAAACAGCGGTGACACGTTTTGTTGCGGCAAATCCACATTATTTTCCCGACAGATTAATATTGAAAATTCGGTGCGGGGCAATTTCCAGTGGTCAAAAGTGCCTCACATTACGACCAGGAAGCATTCCGAATACTTCCAAATACTTTCCTCAACCCTGAAAATCGCGTTATTTTGAAGAGAACGCGAGAAAGTTGCCTTTTTGAAAGGAATAGAGATAAGGAAGCATTCGATGTCTCACCGAATGCTTGCTTAACTCGAAAAAAGGCAACTTTCTCGCCGTCTTTTCAAAAGGAACGCTATTTTCGGTGAGAGGGAGGTATTTGGAAGTGTTCAAAATGCTTCCTGGACGTGATGGGAGGCACTTTTGACCACTGGAGTGGAAGTTTTTCCGCACTGGACTTGAATATTCATCTGTCGAGAAAATAATGTGGATTTGTCGCAGCAAAGTCTCTCGCCGATGTTTTGTATCAAATTTCCAGCTGCGGCTAGGTGTCACAAAAGCAATGATGGGCGATTCCAAGGCCCGAAAACCCCACATTATTTTCCCGACAGACTGGTAAATTTTCTGAAAAATACTATTTTTTTTCGGTCACTGAACGAAATTTTTAATTTAAGGTCCTCGCTCTTCCCGCGTCGGATTCTCGTCCACTGCGCACCCTGCGAACTATCGCGGCGGCTTCGGTGCCAGCCGAAGCCGGCCCAGAAATTCGGAAGGCGGATCCACGGCCGATGGATTTGGAAGACAGCGCGGCGATGGATTTGGTGGCCCAAGATCGGATGGCGGAGGCTTTGGAAGAGACGATGGATTTCAAAGAAAGGTCGGCGGATTCCGTGGTGGAAAAACCTCATCCGGATTTGGAAATAACTAAAAAATAATTGGCAGGTCTCTTTATTATTTATGAGAGCTCTTTTTTTGTTGGTTAAATTATATTGTTCTTGATTCCTTGGTCTTTTTTATATTGTTTTTGGGGGTTAAATTCCTTTATAATGTCGTTTCTGACCACAAAATGCAATTTCAATGGGTCTTTGGTCAAGTTTTGGCCTGAAGCTATATTATCCATGAGATTTTAGGTCTAAAATTCAATTTTTTGCTATTATTGGTCTCCTTTAACGGTGTCGGAGCGAAAATTTGGTTTGTTTTCCAGTAATTATTTTTTATTTTTCCCCTTCACTGACACCTAGTGTAATACCATTTTTTCGGGTAGAAAATCCGGGAATTTCTCTCGAATTCGGGTTTAAATTTCGCAAATTCACCTCGGTCTTTTTGTTTAATCTCGCTGTTTTGTTATCTTAATTTGATCAGAAATAAAATTTTCTCCGAATAATGGGATTTTTCCGATTTTTAAGCATTTTTTCGCCATTATTTTGATAGATTATTAGATTGCTTATGCTTGCGACTTTCCTCGGGGTTTTCATAGCGAAAAAAATCTGTCGAGAAAAGAGCGCTCAACGTTTCAGTTGAGGCTTTGATCGTCTTTTTATCGACGAAAAACGAGCACAATTTTCGGAGGCAAATGGAAACAATTTTTGATAACCGAAATGATGGAACGGATCGGGTTTTTTTTGTAAACAAGTACGTTGCGTACGACTGGAAACAAACTACGTCCAACACGAACTGTTCGACACGGTCTCGAACCACATTTCTGATACGAAGTTTTGGAGTTTAACAAAAAAATCATTATTTTTGGTCATGGGCAAATTCAGATAAAAAGAGACGTTCCCGACGCTCCGATTTTCCTCAAATCTTGACTGAATCATAACACTTACAGTGACGGACTCGATCCAGTGGCAAAAAACGTACCATTTTGCATCCGAGAAGCATCAAAAATGTGGTAAAATGCTTCCCTCTCCAAGTGAAAACACTTCGTTTTGAAGGGCCCTCACAAAAAGAGCGGGCGCGCTTTTGAAATCGGAGTTTTTTCACTTGGAGAGGGAGGCATTTTGCTACATTTTTGATACTTCCCGGATGCAAAATGGTACGTTTTCTGCCACTGGATCAGGTGCCGCATTGTATTACCGGAATTGTATTGAAACTTGAGAAAGAAACGTATTGTTGTAGACAGCCGGCGGTAAGGCTGGTTGAGACCAAGAATTATCGGGTTACGATGTGCAGGGATTCTTCGAATATTGCCTGCGACACCTGAGTACCACATTTTTGATATGCAGTTCTGGAGTCTGGCAAAAAATTATATTATTTTAGATGGTCATGGGGGCAAATTCAGATGAAAGGAGAAGTTCTCAACCCTCGGATTTTCCTCAAATTTTGATTCAATCTAGGCCACAAATTATTCGCTAAAAATTTGAGCTTGCCCTTTGCAGGCGCTGTCGAGATATTCAACGATATTTGTAGGCCATTGACTATGGGAAATGAGGAGAGTCGGTCAAAAAAAAATTTGGTCTTGCTTTGCCAGGTTTGGCAGAAATTTTTTTCTTTGGAAAACACAAAATCAGCAAAGAAACATGAAAAAGTTGTTTTCTCTGACCGACCCCCCCCATTTTAAATAGTCTCTCACCCCGGCAAATAACATTCAATATCTCGACGGTTCCTGCAACACGCAAGCTGAAATTTTTAGCGATTAATTTGTAGCCTAGACAGATGATTCAGTCAAGATTTGAGGAAAATCCGAGCGTTAAGAACTTCTCTTTTCATCTGAATTTGCCCCATAACCATCTAAAACAATATAATTTTTTGCCAGACTCCAGAACTTCATATCAAAAATGTGGTACACAAATGCCTCGGGCAATATTCGAAGAAACTCGACGCATCGCACCCCGAGAATTCTTCGTCTCAACCAGCCTTACCGCCAGCTCTCTAAAACAATAAAATTTCTTTGTCAAGTTTCAAAACAACCCCGCTGAAAAGTGCATCCGAAAACGACAAAGGCGCTGACATCACAAATCCGCTCGCCGCGTCGTCGTCGACGCGGGCCCAGACGCGCGAAACCCCCGCCGGACCTGCTCTTCAAAGGCGAGGCGCTCGCGTTTCGTCGATGGTATCATCGACGGGTCGTTGCGCAACAGGAAGCCATCCATCTGCGCCATACCCGTTGTCGTCGCGCGAGGAACGTGTTTCGACGTGGGCGCGCAGAGGAATGAGGCCCGTCGACGGATTTGGGCGACGAAAAAACAAGCGGCTCCGCGGATGCGATTGAAGTGAAGCGGATGGGCGGTGGACCTATATATACGGCATGATGCAATCCCAGTCCTCAGAACATCTTGGTGTTTTCTCAAGTAAGTTGTTTTCGTGGGAGTGGGCCCCCTCGGGGGATGAACGGGTGGGCGGAGCCAAGACTACCGTAATCCTTTGCGATTTGTGGTCGATATCTGTTGAGTGACTGGTAACTAACCGACCTCATAGGACTGAATGAGCTCGAAAAGCCTGATATTGCATTTATTATACCAATTTTAGAAGCTAAACCCAATTTTGGATGTTATACCAGGTTTAATGGGTACCTTTAGAAAATCGACCGCAAAAGATCGTAGATTACTGTAAATTGTATCAAACTAGAACTGGTATATTCTGAAAAGCCCTTTCTCACTAGCAGTATGAAGAAAAGGCGCAAAGTTATCAGATTTATGCCCTTTCAAACACTTTTATATTATGCTAGACAAAAAATCATCAATTTTCGAAAATCAAGAAATCTTGGTAATGGAGCAAGTAAAATTGATCCTCTGTGGCTCTAGTATGCTCTCTAGGCACTATGCTATCATCTCAACAGAGATTTTAACGTATTTTACCTGCCAATCTTTCAGAATGAGACTTTTCTTCATCTTCGCCCTCTTCATCGGAGCCACCTCGGCATTCTTGTTCCCACAGGCCGGCGGCGGCGGTGGCTGCTGTGCCCCACCACCACCAGCCTGCGGCTGTGCTCCACCACCACCCCCACCACCTCCACCACCACCACCACCAAGCTGCGGATGCGCCCCACCCCCATCCCCATGCGGCTGCGGCGGCAAGTAAACTGGCGCCCCGTCCTCGGCTGACAACTTCTCCTAAAATTGTCTGTACATTGTCATGGTGGAATAAATACGATCTTTACCTTAGTTGCGAGCGGGAATTGCATTTGAATTTGATGAATTTTATCGTATCTTGACAAAAAATGAAAAAAAAAAATTGAAAAATTTTGTCTAAAGACAATGGTTTTAGACGCCAAATCACAATTTGAATACTCCAGAATGATACCTTCTGGCTAAATCTGCCTTCTTCGTACTCAATACCAACAAAAAATCCGTCATAATGACACATTTTTTCGAGCCTATGTAGATGTCGGAACTCGTATAAAAACAAAGTTTTTTTGATGTCAATTAGCAAAAAAAATATGATAACAAGTAATTTTTACGACCTTGCTGGCACGTTCAGCCACGCGGATCACTGAAAATTCTCATAAACCAGTCACATTAACATTTAAATTGAAAAAAAGCTAATAGAGTCTAATTTTTTCTTGCAAGGCTCGTTGAAAACACCTGTTGTACTACAGTAACTTGGTTGTACTTTCAACATAAAATATCGTTAAAGATTCTACTCACTACAGACTAGAAGATGAGGTCCGTTTTTGGTCCGAAGAGTCCGTTTGAAAATATTTTTGGTTCAAAATCAGCTGTTTATTCTGAATAATTCCAAGATTTTTAGTTTTTGTAACAAAATAAGTGTAAAACTTGCTACAATTAGAATAAATAATCACGTTTATAACAGATAGTCGATAGCTAAAATGGGTTTCAAGTGCGTTTCCGTTTAATTTCAATGACGGGTTTGGGGGGCGGGGGTCGTTTTGTGGGTGGGGCGATGGGGGTGGACATGCCTCGGGGGTTGAACCAGGCGGGTGTGGGTGGGTCTGCGAAGCGGCTGGGGCCCGTAGGTTGGCCCGTAGGTTGTCCTGGTTGTTGGATTGGGCGGACCGACTGGATTTGGGGCGTTTTTGGGACTTGTTGTTGTGCTGGTTGACGGGGCCGTTGATGGTCGATTATTTCGACCGATGGTTCGGCACGGGCTAAAATTCAAACATACCTTGCTGATAAATGATTTAGGGGAGCAAAATCATTTCGTATTTTTCCTTGCTTCGCTCAAAAAAATGTTTCGATCAAAAATTTCAAAATTGGCCTAAAGCAATAAGATTTTCAAAATTTTGTTATAGTATCCAAATTACTGTAGTCCACATATACCTCCACTTCATAAAGCCCCTATATAGGATCTTTCCCTACCTTTTTCCATCCAAAATCATCAATTTTCGACCAAAAATCAACAAAGATTGCCTAAAACAATATAAAAATCTCAAATTTCCTCGTTTTCGAAATTTTTCCGGCTTAAAAAATATCCTAACACAAATTTCAGCGCATCCATTATCATTCCAATCTATCTCCACTAAATTTCCCTCCAAAAATACGTTAAACTTACGGGTATTTACACTCTTCCTCGGCTGAATAATAATTTTTGGTTTTTGTGGTTTTTGCACGTTCTCCGTTTCCTTCACTCCTTCCTCCAAGAACAATGGGACATCTAGGCTATTAGGAACGCCAAAGTTGTCCAAGTTGAGGTCTCCATTTAGGCTATCTTCATCTTCTTCATGTTGTACTTGATGATCATTACTCGCCATTTTTTGTCCCGCCTCCGATGCCAACGTCATCCTAGTGGCACTATTTCCATTTTGAGGGCATTTCACACTATTCTGAGCTGCTCTACCTTCTCCATGAGGCATTTTTTGATTTCTCGACATCTGCTCCTCATGTGTAATATTCTCATCCAGTCCTGCTGTTTTCTGACCATTCCCATCTTTACTCGTATTCCCTTTGGCAGGAAGGACAATCTGCGGTCGTTTGGGGCGGTTTACCAGCACAATTGGTATTTGATTTGGTCGACTTCTTGTTGTCCTTGTACTTGATGTAGATGGTGCATTTTCTTGATGTCCAACATCCTTTTCCTTGACATCCAGCCCTTCCAATGATCCGCTAGGTCCTCCGCTGGCTGCTGTGACACTTTGACCAGCTATTCTTGCCTCAGGGCGTTTAATTTTCGACTGCACTGTGCAATTTTCTTTCCTCAAATTATCGACCGGTCGATTCGCCAAGACTTCCGGGATTACAATATCGTCGTTGTAGAAGGAGTCTGAATTCGAATTTTTTTACAATTTACGGCCAAATATTTGAATTTACCATTGCTTTCGGGGTTTTTCTCCGGTTCCTCGACATTGTCCTTCATTTGCCCGGGAACTGCAACTTTTTTCTTTGCCAATTCCTTGTTCATCCTTTCCGTTCGAAGTCTCCTTCGCTCTTTTCGAATTTCGATCCATTTTTTCAACGTGTCCTTTCGTTTCAGGGGGTTTTTCAGGAGCTCTCGTTGATCTCTAAAATCATATTTTTTATTACCGCCAAACTTTTCCAATCTCAAATAAAACTCATAATCCTCATTCTACCACCCATAAGGACTTAGAAAAACCAAATAACTCGTTTTTCGCATCAAATTTTTGTATTACCCATGACAAAAAATCTGAATTTACCTCTCAAAACACACTCACTTTATTCTCATAGGCGGTCGTTTTGCTGGAATTGGAGTTCTCGGCGTGGTCGACTTCCTTTTACAGTACCTCAAATCGAATTTTCCTTTTTTGGGCTGATCCTCATCATGTGTAATATCGACAACCTCTGGAATGTTATCCATTTTTGTTCCTTTTGTACTCTTCTGATCTCCTTTCTTTATCACATCGATGATTTCCACCGAATCTGGAGTGTTCCTCTCCTTTTCAACTACATTATCCATGGCTTGGAGGTCGCCAAAAAGCGAATCCTGAGAAATTGTGGCCAAACCTGGGCCTTTATTTGCTTCCATATTATTTCCCATGTCTTTTACTTTCTCCCTTGAAGACGAGGACGCTCTAGAATTTGCGGAACCACCAGATTTTGCCACATAAAATACTCCATTGCTTTGCTTGGTTTGCTTTACAGGTCGCTCTGAAGGAACGTTTGCCTTGGTCTGACGAGTCCTTAGGGTCCGTTGGGTCACATATGTGTCAAGTGGAGGGGCTGGGTTACCTAAAAAATGGTGAAATCAAAGAATTTTTTATGTCATCATAAAAACCAAGTGTAATATCGGAAAATTCTCCCAAAATCATAATTTTTGAAAAATCTTATAGCAATATTTACTATAAAATAAGTCTATTGTAAAGTATCTTTTTATATATATCAAATTCAAAAACTACTTAATTTGCTAAACCGAAAAATACTCAACGTGCACTTTTTTTCGAGACTTTTTTTTTGTCAACTGGTGCGGGGATTCGATGACTTTTGGCATCAGCACTTAGTTGGAATTTTCATCCTGGCGGGAACTGCGAGCGTTTGAAAATGGGATTTTTTGATTTTGGATCGGCTGTAACTTTTCACGTTTTTTGAGTTGCCCTTAGCTTTTATACATTTTTCATCATCGACCGGGGCCAAAAATCTGCGAATTTTCGAATTTTTCACATATATGCCCTGAGGGTACCTGGTGTTAACGCTATCCAGCGGGAAGAAACTGAGTTGATTTATGATGGGATTTTTTGCAGAAAATCGGCCCTCAGGGCTCGGACTTCAAATTTTTCGGATTTTCGAGAAAAGCCCCGTAATGAGCACCTCAAACTGCCCTAGAAACAACTTTCACTTCCCAACATACGACCATCTTACCCCGCCCGCCTAGCGACAAAGGCAAAAATTCGAAATTTTCTGGATCCGCCCTTCCAGAACTCGGCTGCCAGCGGAGCTATCGACACGATCTTGGTACCAATCGACGCAGAATCAAGTTTTGGGTAATATTCATGTGCGCAACTCCAACTTTTCCTAAAATACGACCGTCCAGACCAAAATTAAATTTTTTCAGCGAGCTAAATGCGCCCCGAGGGCAAAAGTGCAAAATTCAAAATTCGGCTCGGGTCAATTTTCGACAAATTCCATAAGCTTCCATCGTGCCAAATTTCAGCCCAATCGCTTTCGAATTCAGTGAGCACCGGCCGAATTTCGGCCAAGAGTGGACATTTCGGCCGAAAATCAGCCATACGGCCGCTAAATTCAAATTTCGTGAATCGAGACTTGGACCATCGTGATCAGCGTGAAAAACCGGTCCAGAAACCACTTTCATTTCCTAAAATACGACTCGGCGAGGCCGAAGGCCGAGCCAAACTGACTTTTTTTTTGGAAGCTTCGGCGGCCGAAGGCCGCCGTCGGTCACGAAACCTGCTGCATATTGTTGTAGAGTGCTGCAGCGCACTGTGCCGAGGCCGAAGGCCGAGGCAAAGTTCAATAACGATGGAGTAAGACAAAAAAAAAAATGATTTTGCGAGGCCGAAGGCCGAGCCAAACCGACTTTTTTTTGGAAGCTTCGGCGGCCGAAGGCCGCCGTGGGTTACGGAACCTTCTGAATGTTGCTGTAGTGTTGTAGCGCACTGTGCCGAGGCCGAAGGCCGAGGCAAAGTCCTAAGAACAGTTGATTGGTCAAAGTTAAAAAAAGGTAGCGCTGGCGCGCGGCCCTTAGCTAACAGAAGTGCCGGGCTTGAGGCAGTATAACGCGCGTCAGCGCGTTGTTGGCCACGCGAAGCGTGGCCTGGACGATCAACTGTAGTGCATGCGATCAAGTCAACTTCACGTTGGGCAACCTTTGCGCGCACAGCGGCGTCAAGGCCCGCGTCAGCGGGGCTTGTCACCCATGTCATCGGATGGTATCATCAAAAATTTTTAAAAATCATCTAAACACCATGGATAATATCGAAAAATCGGTGAAAACCTGGATTTTTAAAGAATTTCTTCCCGATAACCTATGCAAAATTCAATATCAGATAATTTTCTCCCTTTACTTATTCAATTCACCTGTCTGACCATTCGTCTTCGCATTGCTTTCGGACGTTTTATCAATTCTCCCCAAATTTTTCTCCTTCAAAGCTTGTTCCTCAATTTTCTTCTGATTATTCCCTTCCATTAGATCAAAAACAAAATCATCCTTGTAAAATGAGTCCTCGACTTCCTTACTACCATCTTTTCCATCACCATCAACCACATTACCTCCAGCTTCTTGACCAAAATTCAAATCCAGTCCAAGATCATCGTCGAGGCTGTCTTTGGACCTCGTTTCCTGATGCAACACCTCTTCTTCTTGATCATTATGGTCTTGATCATCAAGATTAGGATCTGTTCTGCTTCTAGAATCCCTCATAGTTGTTTTGGACATCATTTCCGAGAAGGTGAGAAGGTTTGTTTCCTCCGGAACAACCGATTTTTGGCGGCTATCTTTCGCATGGCTGTTTGAACTGTTTCCCGACTTTTTGGACTGGTCGAACGTCGTAGAATTAGTCGTTCTAGATCCTCGTCGAGTTGAGACCTCCTGAACTTGACGATTCTCCGTCAAATTATTTGTGGAATCTAGTCCAAATTCTCCATAGCCCGGACCTTCCGGATCCTCCAAATTGCTCTTTTCTTTCGGTGTTTCTGGCTTTTTATTCTTTCCTTTGGGATTCTGGAAGGCCTCTATCAACGAAGCAATGTTTGGGTATATTCGATGGCCAACTGGGACTTCATTTTCGACTTCTTCTTTATCAGGTTTCTCCTCATGAATAACATCCTCTGATGTCTCCAAATTCTCGTTCCGACTTGTCGTTTTATTCACATTAGCTTCCATACGACTAGAATTATCATTTGCCATGGGAACATCAGGGAGATCCGAAGCTTCATCAACAATCCTATCAGCTTCCTCATGAACAACATCTTGATGTTGAGCCTCCTCACTTCTACCATTCCTCTGTGGATTTTTCCGTTGAGTAACTCCAGAAGGACCTGGTTGAGGCTCGACTTCCACATTTATAACATTTTGCTGCTGTTTCTTCCGATTTTCACCTAAAATTCAACTCAAACAAGGTCGAAGAAAACTCACGTTCCAGCTTCTTTTTCTCATGATAACGCATTCTCGCAACTCCTCGCTCAATCTGTTCCTCAAACGAATCTAAAAAAAATAAATTTAAAGCCAAATGGGGGAAACTGCAACATTGTTTTAGGTAACCTACTTGTTTTCGAAGCGTCGAAATCCGATGAAATCTCAGTCATTTTCCGGAGTCTCTCAAGTTCTGGCGACCCAATAGCTGAAAGAATGCAATTAATATTGTTTTAGGTAAAATACACAAAAAAATTATATTGTACTAGACATCAGATGTCAAAAAATTATTATATACTGAAAGTCTGAGGACGGGTTCCAACGTACCTAGCTTCTTTATTACCGGTAGGTTCTTAGCTTTCTCTTCTTCACCCAGTTTCTTCAGTAGATTTCGTCTGAGCTCGTCAAATTCTGAATCATCCATCGTCTCCATTGTGACCCTCAAATGTTTCGGCAGTTCGCTCATAGAAGTGTCAGCCTGCGGTTGTTTGGCCTTGAACTCTTTGATCCTGTCCGCCATACTCGTCTGGGGCTTAGGAGTTGTCGGTGCAACACCTTTTTGAGGTTTCACGACACCATGTCTGGCCAGAGCATGGAAGAGTTGATCAACTCGAGAGGCCTGAAAGTAATAGTTTACGAGCAAGTAAACCCAAATCCTTTGCTCTATCAGCTAGCCAAACCCCTAATCTCTTACAATTTTCGGGTCTCGACGGAAGATCAGCCTCCCATCGTCCGCATTCGAACGAACTCGTTTGGCATGTCTAAAACCAGAAGAATAATATAAAAAATGTAAAATTTACTTGGTGTATGCCTTCAAATCCCCTTTCCATCGGTTCTCAACCGTCCACACTGCACTTTGAGCCACTCTTTTGATAGCTTCAGCTTCGAAAGTGATTGTTTGACCAGTTTTCTCTCGATGTTCTTCCGCTTTCTTGGCTGCGATTGCCTTGAAGGCTTCCAAGAAGCTGTTGTCTTCCTGAAAACGCCCACACAAAATAAAAAAGATGGAGTAAACGGTAAGAAAGATCAAAAAACATAACTCTGAACAGAAACATTGATTTCGAGTGAGTTACGACATTATCCATGATACAAGCTATGCTCACCTCGGAAATTGAAGATTGCTCTCGAATTGAGCTGTCCATTACGCCGAATTCATTTGGAAACCACTCTTCTTGTATCGTTTATCCAGTTTCGACGAAAATTCGTCGCAAATTTGCGATTCTCTTTTCGAAAAACAATTTTTTCCCCATTTCTCCGTTTCGCAGGCTGCGCCCGCCATTTTATACGACGAAACCTTTCAACGCTGAACTGTTGAATTAAAAACGGTTGCACCGGGCCACCTGTTGAATTTGTAAGTTTGTGGAATTTTCACGAACTTGGGACACTACGAAACGTCTAATTTACACTTGATAAAACATTTACATACCTTACACATGCATATGTCGCCGTAACAAAAACCATAGCAGAGCACCTGCAATTCGTGTCCGGACCGTGTTCTCGGCGTGCACTCTGGCTGTTAAAAGTTGTAAAAAATGGACCGATTAAGGCTGTTGAATGGTCGCGGTCCGGCATATACGATGCTCGGCCTTCAAATCTACCAGACCTACGCGGTTTGTGTGCTGAGCGTGTCGGCGGCGCTGTGCATGGTCGTCATCTACATTTCGTGCCAGTTGCATCGACAGCAGAAGAACAACTACTCGTGGATTGTGGGCTTCAACACGTCGGTGGATCTTTTCTACGCCCTGGTTTATGGCGTTTGTATGCCGGTAAGTGGGGGGAAGATTCGATGGTGTTGACACTGTAGGACCAAGACAGGTGCCGTTGGCCGAAAAGTCAACCAATTTGTCTCCGGTTTCGCAATCTCATTAAAAATTTATAAATGTCGGCAACAATTCCTAAATCAAATTTTTTCGTATAAAATGTCACCAAACATGGGAAAGCATAGCGAAAAAATTACAGTGGCAATATTTTCAGTTGTCGTACGTCACTGTAAAGCAGTTATTTGCGATTCGATCTAAAAAATCTTGTTTTCATTGAACACCTTTTTTCGTATAAAATGTCTCCAAACATGGGAGATCATGGCGAAAAATTACACTGGCATAATTTTGAGTTTTTTAGGTTTTTCTGCAGCATTTATTTGCAATTCAAAACTATTTAAAAAATCACGTTTTACATTGGGCATCTTTTTTTCGTATAAAATGTCGCCAGATATGCGATATCATAGCAAACAACTATACTGTCATCATTTTGAGCGGTCGTACACATCTACATAGCATTTTATTTTCAAATCGATCTAAAAACCTCGTTTCCTTTGAGCACCTTTTTACGTATAAAATGTCACCAAACATGGGAAAGCATAGTCAAAAAATTACACCGACATGACTTTGAGTTGTAGTGCGTATCTACATAGCATTTTGTTTGCGATTCGATCTAAAAATCTCGTTTTTCATCGACCACCTTTTTTCGTATAAGATGTCGCCTTGTCTAAAACCAACCCTTATCAGCGTCAGATTGCTTCGTAAGGAATTTGCATACGGAAATATGGACAAATATTTAATTCATAGGTCTAGAATTTAAAACATGTTTAATAATGCTGCACTTTAAGTTTAATTTAAGGTCAAAATGTGGTCTTGCACAATATTTCTTAGTCGACCATGTCCCAGTTCGCGGTTATTTCCGATACACAGGTGTTCTCAAGACGGAAATGTCATCGAATTACGTTGACTTCCTTTTTGCCACCGTCTTGTCATAAGCTAAACGTCTTTCAACAAACAATAGAAATACTCCAAGCGCGATGCTCAGAATTTCACAAGATTTGGCATACACTTATGGTATAACCCATCGAGCAATCTCTGAAAATCCCAGCTAGCGCTTTGCACGGATAGCCGAGATATTCAACGATCTTTTTGGCCGAGAGAGTACGAAAAATGAGGAGAGCGGTCAGAGAAAAGTCCACTTTTTGGCCGTACCCTAGAAAACAAGGCCATAAATTTGTGCCAAGTTTCGTCAAAATCAAAGCGTCGCATTTGGAATATTTTTCGTCTTGAAACGAAAAATTGGGATGCCAATGTAGGGTTCTTGGCATTATGCACCAAAATGTATTTGCGGCTGTACAAGGATCGAAAACACTTTTTGCTGTCGAAATGTTGCTGGCGATGATGAAAGACCCTATAAACTTGTCATAAAACACAATGCCAAAATATTCCAAAATGGCGGGAAAATTGACATTCAAATTTTTTTGAAAGAAAAAAGATAAGAAAGCTTTTTTTGAGCAATAAATGGGCCGGGCCGGATCTGAAAGTCGTCAGGGTCGGGCTGCCCCGGAAATATCAAAAAGCTCGGCCATCGAAGCCATGTCAAAGCCATATCAGAGCCATCTCTTGCATTTTTACACCACCAACGTCTACTCTTTCAGAGCAGTTCCATCCGCTATCCCTCCATCTACTTGATGGTGCACAACCCGCTCTTCGAGCAGTCCAACCCGACCGTCATCCGGGTCCTGGTCGTCATCCGGCTCTACGTCACGCTGATCGACTCTCCCTTGAACGGGATCCACTTTTGGTACCGCTACAACGCAATGTGCCGCCAGAAGTTCTGGTCGTGGCGAGAGTACATCAAGGTGTATTGCATTGTGGTCTCGCTCTCCACCGCCCACATCTGCATGATGTATTACAATGCGCAGGAGGATCGGGTGCCCACGGCGGGCGATCCCCGCAATCAGACCATCAATTCGCGACATGTGGTTTATTCGGTGGTAGGTGAAGAAAATGGGGAATATCTTGAAAAACGATTATGATGTCTTCTTCAAATTGATAAATTTTTCTATTAGATGAGCCATAAAGAGCTCATGAAAAAATCAAAATGCCAATTTTCTACTGCAAACTTCTTCATGAAGGAGGCTGGCTAGAGCCTTGATTTTATCACCGTCGGAAAGCCGAGGCCCTCAGGAATCCGAAAGTGTAAAAATCAGGCGACCTTCATATCACAGGTTTTGAGATACAGCTCTCACAATAGTGCACTACCCACCTAAAGGCCAAGAAGCAGCCTCTGAAAATTTTAGCTCTCGGTTTGGAGTTTCTTTTAAAAAAACGGTAAAAATGCCTGGTTAACTTTACGGTAACTATTCAGGCCACTTATACACCTGGAAACTTATTTGGCAACGTCTAACTGTCAGATAAAAAACAACTTTTTGCAACCGGCGTAAGAGCCGATCGATCTCTGTTTCAATAAAAGGAAAACATTTATATTTAATTTCAGACTCTTCTCCGAATCATTGTCATCGTCTACATGCAATTGTTGGCCGTTGTACATTACGTGTTGATTATCTACTTTGGCTTTCATATTTACAAGGCTGTTCGAAGTCAGTCTCGTCGCTCCATTAACACGACGCAAGCCGCTCAAAAGGCGCTATTTCATGTGATGATTTTACAGGTAAACAAAGATCTAGAGAATTCAAAATCTGAGTGTCGCACTTTGACTACTTCCCTCTGTAAATCCAACTAATTTTTCCTGATTTTACCCGAATTGCAGGCGCTCTACCCTCTTATTTTATTCTGCCTGCCGTGTGTCCTCCTCTTGTCCTGTGTCCTGCTCAACATTCAACTCGGTTCCACTTCACTGATCATGGTGGCGCCGCTCCATCTGACGCCCATCCTCAGCTGCATCTCCGTCTTGACGATGATGCCCTCCTATCGGCGCGCCTTCAACCGACTCAAAAACTGCGGCAAAGTTGGTGTCCTGTCGCAGGCCGAGGGCAATGCCAACATCTTGAAGATGGCCGCGTCGATGCGAGTGATGTTTCTTCGGCAGAACGCGCTTGATCTGCATACCACACAGACCGACTCGATATCGTATCCATCCAATCTTTTTCACCGACGAAAGTAATAAATATTGAAGCCTCTATTGCGGGAATTGAATGCAGTAAAAGACGCTCGCGGTAACAGCAATCGACCCGTAGCTGGGTCCCGTCACGAAACCAGAAAGGACATTGGCATTCCGTCACAACCGACCGAGAACGGAGATTTGGAAAGATGAAGAGGCCCAGTATTAGAAGAAGCTTCCCGAGCGAGCGCTTGGTCGTCAGAGCTTGGCAAGTTCGTCAAGAAGCAGCGGAATGAGTCGTCGTCTACTCGGAATGGAGGTTGTGTATGTATATCGATTTGTGTGTGTATTGGTCTGTCGGGAAAGTAATGAGCACTCGAACTACCGAAGAGCAAAATGTATTTGTTGACCCTTTCAGAAAGCTAACTCATTTTCCACCAATGACGTCGCATTTCCGGCTATGAAAAAAATATTCGGGTCGTTATTTATTTTGCGGCTGGAATTGTAGTCTAAAGGTCCAAAAAAATGGTGAAAAATACGTGCTGTTTTAATGGCCGGCCTTAGACTGCACTTCTAAACGACACTTTTAAACAAACACCTCAGGCCGTACTTTTAACCTTACGCCTTCTAAACAATGTCAAATGCTACTATGAAAGAAGCAGACGCCCCAATAATAGTACTCACATGGCTCAGCTTTAACATAGCCGAATTTGACATACGAATTGCTGGATACAATCACACCATTACACCCATTCCAAAACTCAGCATAGTAAACTCAAAAAAGAAAGGCAAAAGTCTAATAATCAAAGGCAGTCAGCTGAAAAAACGAAGAAAGTGATGCAAGCGAGAACAGTTTCTACTTGGGCAACTGACTGGGCCGACGGCGTGGCATTCGACTGCGACAAATCCACATTATTTCGACAGGCTGATACGGCTATTACTGTCAGATGTCAGATTTTTTAACGCTGTTTTAAATCGACTTATCAGCCTACACAAGCTCACAAATTAGAGCGCATTAGATATGCTGCAACATAACCGAGTTAAAACAGTTAAAACTGCAGATGATAATTGAATATTCCAAGGGCTCGGGAATTTATGAAGCCCACAAATAATATTGAAATTGGGTTTATTCGCGCTTTACTTTTGCAATTATTACAATTTCTCCTTTAAGAGTGATGTATGTCCTACTTATTTATCAAATTTACTGTGTGATTGTGCTAATCTTGTCTTTTGTTTGTTGCGCGACAGTGATTTACATCTCTTATCGGCTGCATCGAAGCCGGAAAAATGGGTATTCATGGATCATTGGGTTCAATACGGCCGTAGATTTAACGTATATCATGGCATATGGGACTGTTATGCCGGTAAGACGGGATTTATTGCTAAATGTTTCTGAAATTGATACCAAGCGGTTTTGAGTTTTTTTTTGGTCGCTGTGACAATCCCACCAGGCCTATTGTTTATTAATTTATGTTTCCAGTTACTACATATAAAGCGTGACATAAAAAAAGTCATTGAAAAGTGCAGAAAACTTTGTTTTTTGGACTTGTTGAACTCTTATAAGATCGAAGTAAACATTAGCGCCTTCTGGAACGGCTTTTGGCCCAGAAAATTTTAGCTTCTGCATTGCAGGGCGGCCAAATTCTGCGATGACTTTTGTCGATGACAGAGCATGCAAAAAGAAGAGAACGAGAGGAGTGAAAGGTTTTTACAGCTCTAGGAAGCCCTTCTCACCAACCGCTCTCTTCATTTAGCGTAGTATCTCGGCCACAAACATCGTTGAATCCCTCGGCTCGCCCTGCAGAGGGAGAGCTAAAATTTTCCGCTGAAATGTGGCCTATGAATGGCTCCAGAATTAAAAAAAAATCCCAAAATATCAGTCTGTCGGGAAAATAATGTGGATTCGTCGCGCTCTAGAATTGCCCGTCATCGGATTGCAGCGGCTAACTGGGAACTTTAGGCGCGACGGTGACGAGGTGAGACATTTTGCTGCGACAAATCCACATTATTTTCCCGACAGACAGAGAGCAAAATTACGAAAAATGGAGAACATCAGTCTTTCGGGAAAATAATACGCATAATGTCGTACCGTCAAACATGTGATTGAAGTGAAAAGCAATTTGATTTTTTTCACGATACAATCAATTTTCTCGGCGGCGATGCGATTTCCAATGAATACTCATTATTTTCCCGACAGACGGATACGCCGCAAATTTCACCGCAAAATTTCAGAACACAACAATGCAAGGGACAACGCTCTACATTATGGTCGAAAACCCTCTCTTTTACAACGCCACTCCATTGGCCATCCGACTAATGGTTATGATTGGCGTCTACGTAACGCTCCTCAACTCTCCGCTGGCGGCGGTTCATTTCTGGTACCGCTACAACGCCATGTGCAAACGGAGAGTTTGGACGTGGAAGGAGTACTGCAGAGTGTACGCTGTGTTTGTATTTCTCTCTACTGCACAAGCAATGTTCACATTTCACAACGCGCGTGAGGATTCGCAAAAGTTCGGCGATCGGGTGGACAGTTCGGTGGAGTCTTCGCGTTACGTCATGTACGATATTGTAGGCGACTTTTCAAGCGATTTTTTATTGGTCTGTCGGGAAAATAATGGACAATTTGTGGCATCAAAAATCGCATCGCCGCTGAGAAAATGAATCGTGTCTCGGGGAAAAATAAAATTTCTTTTCACATCAGATGAGGTGAGACATTTTGCTGCGAGAAATCCACATTATTTTCCCGACAAAACGATGGTCTTTTTGTAATTTTCCTCTGAATCTGTCGGGAAAATAATAGTCTTATCGCAGCAAAATGTCTCGCCTCGTCACGGCCTCAAATCACCAGCTAGCCGTCGCAAAGCGATGATGGGCATTTCTAAGCGACAAATCCACAATATTTTCTTGACAGACTGATAGAACAGAGATTTTTTCTTTGTATGACTCTATCGGAAAAATAATAAGCACTTTGATAACATTTTTAGAGCACTTTGTCATTCATCATTTGCCTTGTTTACACTCAATCGTTGATTACAATGTATTACGCGTTGATCTGCTATTTCGGATGCCATATTTACCAAACAGTGCGGAACACCTCGGTCCGCACGGTAAATACGACGCAAACAGCTCAAAGCACATTGGTCAAAGTCATGACATTGCAAGTAGGTAAAGAGTATTTGCAAAATATTACAGTAAAGTTCCTGGACAACAAACCATTTTTCAGGCCTTATACCCTCTTCTATTGTACCTCGTGCCCCTTCTAACCATCATCTGTTGCATTTGGTTCAACGTCGAGCTGGCCGGACTTTCGTTTATTGTGGTGGCGCCAGTCCACCTATCGCCAATGTTGAGTGCCATATCCGTGTTGGCGATGATGCCGTCGTATCGGAGGGTTTTGACCAACACAAAGCCGAGTACGGGATTTATGGAAAGAGTAACGAATAAGACTACAACAAACTAAACTTTCAAAAACTTCGTATGGATGCGTCAATATTTAATTTAAAAATTTGAAAAAAAAATAAAGGCGATAAGTCCGTAACCTGGATAAACATTACACTAGGACCAGCGGAACCGGATTTGAAACTTAACCTTAAGGTTCAAGAGAACACCAAGGGTTTAGAAAAGTTCGTTAGCCTTGCTTCCTGCTATTTATTGATGTAAAAAATAATAATCAACCGATAAAAAGGCAATGTATTTAAAAACTGTGATATCTGCAAAAACTGGGAGGATCATTGGGCTCAATTGGGATTTATCTGCCTTCCCAGCCCGTATGGCGTCATTCCCTTCTGTGACGCACACTTGTTGGTCCCGTACTGCAGCGGGATCACCGCCTCGCCTTGTCGGATCACTTCGTCCGAGAAGCGGCGGGGCTGACTCTGAGCCAGCTTTACCACCCAATGAGGAAAATTGACGGGAGCGTTGCGACTTTGTGCCTGAAAATTGGTGTGTTAACGATACAAGAAAAAAACACTAGCTTCGCTAAGAAGCACTGAAAGCTGGAGCTCTCTGATTATTACAAAAGGAAAGGAGTGTTTCCGCGTTGAGACGCACATACTTGGTATTCCGCAGAGACGAAAGAGAACATTGCATTCTTCTTTGAAAAAAACATTTTTTATTGAAGAAACTTTCTTGGTCCAGCGAAAACAGCCACATGTTGAGTTATTTTACAGTGTAAACGCGCTATGTGCAACGCTCAAGTCTTGACGAAACTCGGTACAAATTTGTAATAGGTTTTCCTCAAGATCTATGTGAGACTCCGCCTTCGCACAATGAAACCCTATAACTGATGACTCTTCGGTCCTTTACGATTCGTTATGCAAGGATCCCGCTGTATCTGTTTTTGACAGTCTGTCGGGAAAATAATGAGCACTCTGTCGCATCCAAAATCGCATTTCCGCGGAGCAAATGATTTTTGTCGCGGCAAGATCAAATTTCTTTTCACTTCAGCCACGCAATAGGCACAGCGAAATTGCATTCATTATTTTCCCGACAGACCGATATAGCGATTAAAAAAAGTGATTCGAACCCAAAACCATCGCAAACAGCTCATCATGAATATTTGCTTACGACATGCCTCCATAAATAAATTCCGTCCATTGTTTTTCAAGCCCCAAAACAACGGAAAATGCAGGGCGGCGGCTTGGCGAAAGTGATGGTGACATTGGTTGCCCTTGTTTGCACACCTGTTACAATCACAAATACAACAAGAGGGCGAACTTGCTGCGTCATTCGATGGGATTGATGGTTCGCGGCGGCGTTTAAATTGTAATCTGTCCCGATTCAGAGGTTTATATCGTTTGTCGCCCGAAATGCAGAGCATATTCGGCGCGGCGCTGAGTCTGCTGGCGCTGAATGTGGCCGTTGTGAGCGGGCAGAAGTGCGCTGATGGTGTGGACGCGTTTGTGGGTGAGTAATTTTAGAATGGGGTGCTACGACTTTTCGGTTCAACGACAAATACTTTGAGTTGTCTTGATTCTCAGTTTTATGCATTGGGAGGCTAAGCTAAAGCAAGTAATATGATTGCTGGGTCCTAGGATAGTTACCACCTATTGTTGGGTATTTTACGTCTGTCAGGCGGAACTACCAAACTTCGAGCCCGAATTCCCACGGAAATCATCATTTATCATTCAAATTTGATTGTACTTTCATACGTGGAATTTCCCTATATAAGGGCCGTTTTTCACTCAATAAATCACTTGAACTCGAGCTCTTGTCTTACGTGTGGTTGTCCCCGGGCCTCTCGACACATACCAGTCTGTCGGGAAAATAACGGCGGCTCATTGCGCGTTGAAATCGTCCGTCATCGCTTAGCGACGGCGAGCCGCGGGTGGGGATTCCGTGCGCGACAATTAACCTTAACACCCTTAATCACCAGAAATTTTCCTGCGGCGAGCCGCCGCCCTTTTCCCGACGGACTGATATTACCGCAATAACATGAGCGATTACTTACAAAGTTTCGTTTTGATAGAGGAGCAAGTTTTGTTCTTTTCTATGTTACAATTTTTCCGTTCGCAAAGTCGCTGAAGCGAGTTCTGTAACATAAAGCATTGTCTAAGGAAAGTCAGGGTGCGAGCAACACCGAAAAAATCCTATTGCACCGTGCAAAAAGCCGGTAATTGCAGAGTAAAAAGTAACGTTCTGTTTTCGCACAGTGAATGTCGCAGAAGTCACCAAGGCGAAAGCTATGTGCAACAAAGATGCCCTCCCCCTAATCAAAACACTATTTTCAGAATGCGAGGGTGTTTGCAAGTCCGACCCTTCTCTCAACTGCGAGATAATCAATGGGAAAGGATACTGTTGTAAGTCCAACTTTGTTCTATGTTATGAGTCTGTCGGAAAAATAATGAGCACAATGTTGCCGCGCCGATGGCGTCGCTGAAGTGGAAAGCAATTTGATCTTTTCGCGACACAATTCATTTTCTCTCGATGGCGATGTGATTTTCGATGCCACGGAGGGCTCATTATTTTCCCGACATACCTATATGAGTGATCCAGACATGCCAACCGCCCGGGCTTTTTGCACTCCGGGGCCTGAAGCCCGGCTCAATCAGAGGTAGACATGGCCCGTCTTCAAAATTTCAAAAACCTGGCCCAGCCCTAAGAAACCTAAAATTTCGGAACCGCTTGCCGTGTCTGGGGTCACCATTTTCTAACAGTTTTTTAACGTTTCGCAGTCCAACTTTTCTCCTAATTTGCAGGCGGCTATGGAACAACAACTGCTGCTCCACAACAACCCACACAACCTGGTGGTGGCGGTGGTGGTGGTAGTGGTGGCGGAGGCTCGTGCAAAGACGTTGTGCCCGACGAATGTAAACGAAAGTCGTTCTTGTGCAGCCCGCAGAATTATGTAAGTGGGTAGTATGATGGGAAATTTTACGCGATGTTTTAAAAAGTACAGTGCAACATTTTTGTAAAGCTCGCATGATGCGGAAACAAGGCAAAAATGCACAGAGCGGCGCGACAAAAAAAGCCACGCACTTTTGAACAGGTAGAAAGCATTGACGTCAAACTGAGAGAAAATGGCGGCCCTGTCCGAGACTGTCCCTTCTATCTGACTATCAGCCTGTGGGAAAAATAATGAGCACAATGTCTCTTCGCCAAGCGCGTCGATGAAGTGAAAAGCAATTTGCTTTTGCCGTACCACAATTCATTTTCTTGGCGTTGATGGAATTGCAAAAGATTGTTTGCTCTGACACGCGTATTTATTTCAGCAATATGTCCGTCTGATGAAGAAGTACTGCAGTCTGACGTGCTCGTACTGTCAGCCCCAACAACAACAAAGACAGCCGGCGCAAAATAACGCACCGAAGCCACAGCCCAAGCCGCCGGCGCAACAGCAGCAGGCGAAGCCGGCTGTGTCCGGCTGCTCGGACAAGAATACCAAATGCGCACAGCAGTCGAGTCTGTGCAATCAACCGGTAGGTGTCAGGAGCTGTGTCATGGCACGTGTAATGAGGGTCCCGCAGTAGGAAAAGACACAAGGGATGTCTTCACACTTCTTCACACTGATTGCTTGGAAGATTTCCATTCCTTTTATACCAATTTGTCGGTCATTCCATGGGAATATGCAAATTCTCACGCGAAGTTGTGACATAGGCCATCTGACTTAACTTTAGCCATACCCAACATTAGTTTTATTGACCATTTTAATAAATTTCACCTGATAATGCGCCTATTTACAGAAATATGCAACAATGATGGGAATGGTCTGCAAAGCCACGTGCGGAAAGTGCTAAAACGAGAGCACGAGAGCAACTCGACTAGTGTGCCACCAAAACGGGATACGTAATAAATTTGTTCGCTGTTTAGAACGATGATCTCTGCTTTATCAGTCAGTAAAGTCATTTACGCAGCGAGTGTTGCATGGAGTTTGTTGTGGCTTCGACAATATCAAATGAAGACATTTTGTCAGTGTCTCATTATTTTCCCAACTCTTCACTGCATGTTTTAGGGACCGTGATAAATTCTCAAGGTCTTTTGCGCCGTATAGTAGTTGTTGTGGCCCCAAAAATAGTGCAATCAAATGACTTATCCATCCTTTCAACCGCATAATGTTTTGATTCGTAATTCTATTTTTTTATCCATGTCTCCGCTCGTAAACGCAACGCGACTGTTTGCATAGGCGACTCGGAACTGATTCGTAATATGGACACAACAGAACATGAGACGGTTAACAATGAAAAACCAGCAGGTTCATCAATGCAACCACTGGATTGGGAAGTGGGATACACCTCGAATTACTCCCACTACACCCGAAACATTTTGTACAGCTCTTGATCCCGACAAATAACGACGTGCACTTGTTGCAATATGTTGCTAGTTTTGCTGTCTCTGCTTTTGTTTTGCTTAAGGAGAGCCGAGGGGCAAGTCTGCTCCGACGGCGTTGACGCTTTCTTAGGTAAGACCTATGTCTGACTGCGATAAATTTTGTTTTGATGACAAGTGAAGAATTTTTTCAGAATGTGAAAATGAAGTGTGCACCGCTGACCCTACGTTGAATTGTGAAGGGATTGATGGGAAATTTTACTGCTGTAAGTGATGTATTCTCCTACCAGGCGGGCCAAAAAGTCTTCACAGATATGCACTGTGCGCTACCGGGCGAAAGCCACCGCGAGTAGAACATTCCCTTTGGTTATCAGTCTGTCATGAAAATAATGCGGACCTGACGCGCTTGAAATCGCTGGTTGCCGTTTTCCTCGGCTACTAGCTTTTCCATAAGCTGCGTGGACCTTTTGCATTTTGCACGGTGCGTGGGCCATTTTTAAGTATTTTTCATTGCGCCATTGTTTGCAGTACTACCACAAGTTTACGCATTTTATGACGGTTTGGCCTAGCCCGAGAGCCATATATATGTATAGTTCCTCTTGAAAGGTTGCCCGTGTCAAAAACGTTCACCGTTTTGCTGCAGATTTATGACTGTTTCCAACACCAGATCTCTGATTGCAGGCGCCTCCGTCGATCACGACGCCACCGATAAGCCCAAAGCCACCGCCGAGTATTCAGTGGAGGAGTGCGTGGACAAGGTGTCGGAATGCCGCGAAAAATCCCATGTGTGCATAATGGCAGTAAGTGAAGGTTTCTTTGACAAGTGTTTTGTAGGAGTACAGACGGCTAATGGTGAAGTACTGCTCAGTGACTTGTGGGTTCTGCGGTAAGAGAAATGCTCGCTTCTGGGAGTTCGAATCATTACATTGTTTTAGCTACCGACTATGAAGAGGTGATAGAGGGGAACTACGTGAATCCGGGGCTGGAATTCGAAAGGAAGAAGCCTGAACCGCGTGCTGTAGATACCACTACATCTACTACCACAACAACAACAACAACAACAACAACTACTACTACTACTACTACTCCTACTACTACTACTACAACAACTACTACTACTACTACTCCTACTACTACTACTACTACTACTACTACTACTACTACTACTACTACTACTACTACTCCTACTACTACTACCAAAACTACCACTCCAAAAGCGCCTACCACGGTGATAAAACGAAAACACAGGAAACGAACCAGAAAGCCAAAGCCAGATCCTCTTCCGAAGCCGGCGCTGCAGATCGACGAGACCTTCATTCCGGCTGATTTATTGCCAGAAATTCATGGATTCCGTCCGATTATTCAGGAAGAAGGACACAAAAGGGGAAAGGCAATCCATAAAGTCGAAAAAGAAGCCCGAGGCTGCGCGGACAAACGGGCAGATTGCACACAACGGGCCTATCTTTGCGCGGAATTTGTAAGATTTTGGTTGCTACGGTAGAAAAATCGTAATTCTAATCGGGAAATACCGGCTGGCCACAAAGTGGTTGCCAGCAAAAGCCGTACGTCAAACTGGGATAAACTAAAACGATCCGGCGAATTTTGGCAATTCGCCAAAAAAGACGCGAAAATTTGTTGGGGAAGAAATGGGGAACTTTTGGGGCGAGAGAGTTCTTTTTTGTGCGTCTTTTCTCTGCCTTCTCTGTCAAATCAAGACAAAGTGTAAAAAACCGATAGCGAAGTGCCTATTTCGGTCACCGGAATCCTCAGTTTGACGCACGATTTTCAATGAGGCCCTGCAAGGGAAGGCGGCAGCATGGAAGTTCGCGCCCGCCATAGCCGTTGAAGAGGACGCCGAATGTTTTGATAAGACTAATCAATTCAAAGCACATTTTTTCAGGTGTATCACAACATAATGAAGGCGCTTTGTCAGAAAACTTGTGGTATATGCTAAAATACGAGGCTCTCCGTTCCATCAAGTACAGCAACCCGCTCATTTCCCCGCATCTCACGTTGCATGAAAGGTCACCGTCCTTTTCTGTGATTTCAAGACTTCGTACTACGTAATAACTAATTTGATATGCAACTTATACCGTAATTTTGATATCTAGCTACTGTTGTAATAACTAATAAACTGCTTTCAACTCACCACAGCAGCCAAACTCCGCAGACACTCGATCACTTTGTAGCACTGCTTGTTTTCGTAGAGATCCACGGTTTGGAAGCAGGAGATCTCCTTGACACCGTAGTCTTTGATAGCGTCCAGGAAGTTGGAGATGTTCTCCATTTTGTGGAAGGGCATTCGCGGGTTTTTATGGTATTTGACGGCAGTCGGGGAGCCCAGAAGCTTGTTGATCAGGCTAAAAAGGAGGGAAAATGGTGAAAATGGCGAAAAAATGACCAGTTTATAAAATGACCCCACCATGTTTGTTTCTCTACACAAACCTATAAATCAAAAATCGGAGCAACCGAACTTACACGCAAAGAACAGTCCCATCTTTCAAGGCTTCGCTGACTTGAGCATCCGACTCGAATTCCGCCGCATCTTGCTCGAATTGGCAGCCAGTGGCATCCGCGATCCAGGCCAAAACCTCGCGGGCTTCTTCAATACTGAATCTGGCTTGGTTCTAAAGCATTTTCATAAAGTGCATGGACATTCGCTCTCTTTTTTGTGCATTTTGAACCTTTTTTGTGCTTGTCGCTAATGTAATACAAAAATAAAATGCAAAATGCGACAGCGACAAATGTCTATGCACTTTATGAAAATATGAAAATGGTATCAGTCTGTCGGAAAAATAGTTAGCACAACATCGTTGCGCCGGTCGTTCGCCAAGATGAAAAGAAATTCATTTTCTCTGCGGCGATGCGGTTCTCGATGCGACGAGTGTTCATTATTTTTCCGACAGACTGATAATAATGGATTGCGGGTTTTGGCACACAACCCGTGACCGTATCAATGGGAGATCCAGTTTAAAGCAACTTACTTTTCTCTGAATTTCCTTGCTCAAGCCGTAGGCTGGTCCGTGGTTCGCCATTGTTGAAAAAGGTTATTGGTTTGAAAACTGAAACAGTAATAATAGCCGTAACCGGAGCAAAAAGGGTTTCTCGATAAATTGCAGTGAAATAAAGCCAAATTTTAGGAAATCTTTTTCACAAGGACAGTACTGCTGTGGGGTATGGAGTTACAGGTCGAGAAATATATCAAAAAAATCGCGAAATTTTGTTGATTCGGAATATGTAAAAATAAGCTGCCCAATTTTTGCTTGTAAGGGCAAAAAATTCCTCAGAACTTTTTTGCCAAACATGTTTTAACGCAAAAACAATCGTTATTTGGCCAAGTTTCATTAAAGCCCCAATTGTGGCATGTTCCTCGGTCAATTTCCAAAAATCGCATCTTATCTCTTGGAGCCTCCCTTTGCAAACCCCACAATTTTCACTATTATATTACAGTAAAACTTGAAGCCATCCCTGCTCCTTTGCTCGCCAAAATCCCCAAAAACATCTTTTTTTACATATATGCCTCTACAGTCCCCGCCGCCTTTGATAGGATTCCCACACGCAGTTTATTCGCGTATTTGAATAAGAATGGCTCGGAAATGGCGGCGGGTTTTTGCTCCGAGGAAAAGTGAGCAAGTCGAAAATCGACTCATTCCGGCTGATTCATCGGCGTTTCGATGTTCGCCTTGTCATCCGACGCTTTGATATTTGTCAAAAAAAAGCAAAGAGCAGTAAGAAAAAGTGGTGTAAAAAAGTAAACAGCGCTTCGAAAAGCGAGGAAGAGTATGTGTTTTGGGATTAGGAGGCGATAAAAGGAGTTTACAATATCAAAAACTTGATTGCATTTGGTTATCAGTCTGTCGGAAAAATAATGAGCACTCTGTCGAAAATCGCATCGCCGCTGAGAAAATGAATTGTGTCGCAACAAAATCAAATTCCTTTCAACTCAGCGATGCGGTCGGCGCAACGACATTGTGCTTATTATTTCCCCGACAGACTAATAGTTGTCAGGAAAGTAATGTGGATTTGTCGCAATAACATTTCTCGTCGCGCACCGAATCCGCTGCCGAGGCTAGACGGCGGAAAGCGAAGATCGGCGATTCCGAACTGCGACGAATCCACATTATTTTTCCGACAAACGAATAGATACTTGGTTGGTTAGGTAAAACAAATTATTTCCCCGCGGCACAATTCATTTTGTCGGCGGCGATGCGATTTTCAATGCAACAGAGTGCTCATTATTTTTCCGACAGGCTGCTTCACAGATCGCGACGTCGTGCGCTGCGTTGAATTATCGCACGAAAAATGGGAATCTAGCGTGATGTAGCGCAAAAAAAAACTTTTTTCGCAGAGCGACACAATTATCGCGCAAAATGCACAGTGCAGAGTCGCGAAGAATTCCCAGGACTTTTCTTGCCCGCTAGTAATATCGGAAATTTGATTGTAATCGAAAGAAAATGTATCGTAAAGACGATGAAGGGAAAAGATCAGAAAAATGGAGCATATGGCTGATTATCAGATGATTTTCGGATAATATAAGCCATAAAAGCGCAATAAAACAAGCGTTCTCGAATTTTTAATGAACCGAATAATAAAAGGAGAAGGGGAAATCATGTAATCATGGGAAGAAATTGACTAGGAATATTTTTTAAAATATCAAAAAAGACAATTATAAATTGCAGGGATCTTTGCGGCCGTGTGAGTTAGGAATTAGTCCAGCACCTCAAATACCATCAAAATTCCTCACAAAAATCTTGAAATTCCACATTCCAACCGCCGACCCACCCATTTCCAACAACAAAAAAACACGTTCTCTTTTCAAAACACCTTATCAAAAGGATTGTACTGACGTCAAGACGTTATAAAGTCGCCCTGCGACGATTCCACAGCCCTCTTTCGTCTTCGAAATGATTAGAAAAAATGGGGATCGGGCGGAGCGCAACTTAATCCCCCCACCTATTATATTCCCTGGTTTGGGGGGCGACCTTGGCGAGTTCAGCGACGGGGATTTCGCCCGCCGCTTTCGCTGTTCCTCGCGTTTTGTAAACGGCGCAAACCCAAATGGGCTCTCGGTGCAAAAACGTTGGGGGTTGATGGAGAAGAATGATTAATAATGAAGCCAAGAGATCATAGTAGTCGAGGTCGAAGGCTACGGGGATTAGATGAGCTTCATGCTTGTCCCGTTGCAGTCTCACAAGGGAAGTGCTCCACGATTTTAATGACGGTTTTTGCACAGTGCAGAGTCGCAGAAAATTCTGAGAAGCCAAGAGTACTTCCTGGTGCGTCCAGGAAGCATTTAAAATACCGGGAAATACCTCCCTTCTCTCCGAAAAAAACGTTCTTCTGAGAAGAAGCGAGAGAGAGAGAGAGAGAGAGGTAGAGAGAGAGAGAGAGAGTGAGTAAGTTGGCGTCTTTGAATAAAGAAGAAGTTTAGCCAGTAAGATAACGAGGCTGTGCCTGACATTACAGCATTCCTGATGTAAAAAATTTCGGCGTTTCATCAAGATCGACATGTTTTTCACCGTGGATCCTCTCCACTTTTAGGCATTTTATCAATTTCAATTTATTCACTCTACTCATATAATAAAAGAAAAATGGTTCCATTTTTCGATTATGTTTTTGTCTCGACGACAGTTCGTGTCAACATAAAATCGATCGAGGGCGTAGGACAAATATATTCCAGTTAGGTTGTAGGAAGTGCTTACGAGGCCTGGCAAAGCCGTTGGACGGTCGGCGGACGCTTGGCGAAGGCTCGGCGGAGATTTGGCAAATGCTTGAAATATGTCCACTCTTTCTAATCCTAGTTATTTCTTTCGCTTGTTTTTTATCCTGAATTAGGATAACGTATGAAAGGTATATTGTATAGTATATTTTGGAGTATAGGCTCTCCCGACCCGTCAAAATTTTCGTATCATCTTGTGCGTAGACTCATCTGAACGCCACTTAAAATATTTTCGTTTCTCAACAGAAAAAAAATTTATAGTCCAAGAAGTGGGACAAAAATTGAAGTTTGTGAACCCTTAAGTAGAACGACATATAGTAATTTAGGCGAATCTTGTAGTGAATTCGCAAATTGTGTGTATTCTTCGTACTCAATTCGTCTATATAATAGTACAAGAGTCCAGTGTGTGAATTGGGGACAAAGTACTAAGCATATGCTCGACAATTTTCTGTTCACTAGAGCGTCTCATATCAGAGTAAAAATTGTAGAAAATGAAAGTTTTAACGGCAGGCAGAGCAAGATATGACGAGCTGAGTTGGAGCGTGTGGATTGGGTGATCCCTAGTCAAGGTCTCTAACAATAAGATCCCCAGCCAATTTCATACTGAACTTGATTGAAAGGAATCCATTCCTTTTGCACCACTTTTTCGGTGATTCCAGGGAAATCAGCAAATTTGCAGGCAAAGTCGTAAAAAAAGAAACCGATTTTTCCCTTCTTTCTCTGGCCGCTCTCTCCGTCTTTGTGCGCGTCCTCTTCCTCTCGCCACTTGGCAAAAAAGAACAAGGAAAGAAGAGAGTTCGATTGTGAGCAGTTTTATCAGTCTTTCGGGAAAATAATGGGCACTCTATCGGATGGAAAACCCTTCAGCCACGCGATTGAGGCCGCGACATTGTGCTGATCATTTCCCCGACAGACTGCTCATGAAACATTTGACGTGCGTTTGCGCATTTTGATTTTGGGTGCATAATCATACCAACTACATTTGCATGCATCTCGCCTTTACAGCTTGGAAGAAGACAAAATGTCAAGCAATTTGTTTTGTCCCTTGTCTTAAAAACGACTGTGTAATACTTCAATATACCCGAGCAGGTTGTAAAATACATCCTTAAGAACTTAAAGAACGACTTCTACTTTGCCCTCAGGACATGGGTGAGCAAAAAATACAGTGACATTTCCTTCTCCTCGCCATAAAAACGAGGGTCAATTTATGCATAGTAATAGTTGGTGGGGCCGTTTCTACAATTAAGGGCGTAGCGGTACCCTCCCCCTTCTCAGGAGCCTAAAAAAATGTCAAAGGAAAACCAACGTAATTTTTTTACAAGCTAATCCTTCAGGAAAACCGTAGGACTGATTTTTATTGTTTTCATGGTTCGAAAAAAGTCAGAGTGCGAGCGACAGCCGAAAAAAGCCTTCTACACGGTGCAAAAAGCCAAAAAATGCACAGTGCAAGCGGATCTTTTGTTTTCTCACAGTGCGTGTCGCCGATTATGGTCCAGCGACTTTCCTGACGGACTAGTAGTGACCCCCCATCTCCCCAGAATTTATGGTCAGACACGCCCTATTAAATCCCTAATGACTCCCAAACTCAGCGACAAAAAATCATTGTTTATCGACTGACAGAAATAAAATACGTTCCAGAGTTTGTTGGAGGTTTCTTGGTGAATACTCGACGATAAGCCGGGATCAGCGTGAGCACCGATATTGCATTCAACGGCGACAGCAGTTGCAGCGACACGGCCGTGAGATAGCCGCTGTTCCGGAATTGAACGCCCATTGCAAGCATTGCCGTCACGTAGACAATCGGAGAGAAGTACAATATTAATGGGTACACTGCCTGAAAATTGTCGGTACTTGATATAAGTGAGCACAAAAAAATGCTTACGAGTTATAGAGCTTACTTGCAAAATCATCACCGTAATGAGGTGCTTTTGTGCTTTTTGCGTTGAAGCTGTTGCCGAACTGATCCCCTCCCGAGCTTGCCGTATAATCCGTTGGCCACAGAAAATTATCAGGCCATATTCGCCAACATATCCGAGCAGGCAGAGGAGAGCGCAGAGCATGAAGGTAGGATCGTCCTGAAACAGTGGTCGTCAAATGGACTGCAGGTATTAATATGTATTAAAACGACAGTTTTTTAGTTGACAGATGCCCAGAGATTCCGGACTATATGCATATTCCCATATAAGTGTGTCGGGAAAATAATGAACATTTTTTTCATGCTTATTCCGGAAACTTGAAAATTTCATCTCCGCCGAGAAAATGAATTGTGTCGTAACGTATTAAAATTGAACAAATTTGGCCTGACCAAGCTCTCAAAGTCATGCCTATCCCGGAAACCCCCTCAAAGTCGCATCGTATCACCTCAACATTCTCTCTTCCTTACCAGCGTGACAAACACATGGGGATGAACCGGATACCCGCCTCCACTAATCGCGATTAGCTCTTGTCTGCTTCTCTCATTGGCCAGATTGCCGGACGCACAGAACAACGTCGCAATAACGAATATCACCGCCAGGGCCATCCCGTAGGCCGTAAGATACCGCTGCTTGCTCCACATATCGCCTTTGCACAGCAATCGGTAGCGGTAGTAGAAGTGGATTGCGTTGCACGGTGCGGAGCAAAGCGAGGCCACCTCCAGGAAAAAGGCGGCCGCTCGCGCGGTGGAGGCGGAAATGTTTTGTAGGAAAGGATTTTCGAAGATCATGTACATTGTGGAACTTGTGGATACGGCGCTCTGAATTGGAGTTTATTATACATTTATATTTATATTTGTGAAAAAAGGCCTTCAAGTGTGACGCTCAGGTTTTCTTCAAACTTTGCTTTTGCATGGGTTACGTTACCTATATGGCCCAAAACTTATCCAATCTTCGTGTGTCCAGAAAATGTGTCACGATGACACCTCTTTCAAATCGTCCCGTGGTATCAACAGCGGCTTTATGTGGCCGGTAGTACTCCCCAGAGCACGTCAAAAATTTTCGGAAGCTCCTCTCTGCGGAAAAAATCTAGAAAAATCCAGAAAATCCGACATCCAAATTGAGCAATGTAGAAGTTAAGTTTTGAACTCTGCAAGGCCCGAGCTAGAAGTCTCGGATATATCTTGAAAAATTTTATTCTAAGTTTGTGCCAATTTTCATCAGAATCTGAGCGTCACACTTAGCACTTCCCCTGTTAGCCGCGACAAACTTACTGGTGCCACAAGTCCATTGTAAAGCGAGGAGAAAATGTCGACACTCGCGTTGAACGCCATAATCCACGCGTACTCTCGTTGTGGACTGCGTTTGTTGACTCGATACGAGAGGAAGATGACTAGTGAAGACAATAGGAACGACACCATCGATAAACCAAAAGAAATTCCGGGATAAATCTCCCGCAGGTCCATGGCAACTATTGTATAATATATAGCTAAATATGCAGCGTTATAGTAGAGAATTCAAGCGAATTAAGTCCGAAATGTCGCGAGCAATTGTAAAGAGGGAGATTCGTGCACGTCGAATATCTTAAATTAGGCTTCAACAGTAGGTATAATCACCCTGTGACCACTTAAAGTTAAAATAAAACTACAGTCGAATGTCAACATCATCGGCATAAAGTTTACAGTTTATAACAATGCAGCTGTTATTGTGAAGCATTTTTGTATCCAAAACACACTCAAATTACGAGAAGTAGATGGTGGTCGAAGGTTCAACTAAATGGCAAACCGGAAAGGAAGAAAAAATGAGGCCCGCCCACTGTGACGTTTCGTCTAAACGAAGTGTCACAATTTTAAAAAGAAACATTATCAGACTGTCGGGAAAATATTGAGGACATGTCGTTGAAAAATGTCAGCTCTTTGTTATTGGATTTGTCAGATCAAAAAAAAAAAAAACGACTCCACATTATTTTCCCGACAATTCCAATAATACCAGTTTGTCGGTAAAGTAATGTGGGCTTGTCGCAGAAAAATGCAAATTCTCACCGCAGTCCCGTTGCGAACGGATTATCAGTCTGTCGGGAAAATAATGAGCACAATGTCGCATACAGAATCGCATAAATTGTGTCGCGGGGCGTCGCGACACTTGCGGGCAACCACTTTGCGGGCAACCAGTTTGCGGGCAATTTTTTTGCGGGCAACCACTTTGCGAGCAAAATTTGGGGGGTCACATTTGCGGGCAGCTGAAACATTTGCGGGCAGCTGAGACACTTGCGGGCAACCGACACTTGCGGACAGCCGACATTTGCGAGCAGCCGACATTTGCGGGCAACCGGCACTTGAGGATAACAAGGTGGAGGTGGAAAAATTACTTCGATATTTTGGAAGTTTTCCGACATTTGCGGGCAGGCAATACTTGCGGGAAACCGACACTTGCGGGCAACAGTTCCAAAAGTTGCTATACAGTCTGTGTGATTGTTTTTTCCTGTTGCCCGCAAAGCGGTTGCTCGCAAGTGTGCGCCCGCCGTGTCGCGGCAATATAAAATTGCTTTTCACTTCAGCGACGCGAGCGAGTGTCGCAACGACATTGTCTGGAGGAACACCAGACATCTTTTGTTTTCTTCACCGGAAAATCGAAAACACTTGTAAGAACTTTTATTTACTTATGTGCACGTAAAAACAATTTCCAAAAATTCATTTATAAGTTAAACAAGGCGAACACTTTGGATGAAAATTTTCGTATCTATTTCTTCCGTAGACTCTACTGTTTCCATAAAAATCTGTTTTTTTGAGAACCCGAGCGTCACTTGGGACCTATGTTAGTGGGGACACTAAAAATCCAGCGATGCAACCCGAAATTATCGAATTTGATGCCCACGTCATGGTCACTACGAAAAAGTACAAAACCGGCGAACGGCAACATTGTTCCACGCGCTTACAGTGTCCCAGATCATTCGACTGGCATTGTAGCCCACTTGTAGAATGAACATTGAAAGCCCGGCGCTACAAGTGGTGAGCACAAACCGCAGAGAGATTCTCGGAAAGCAAATAAAACAATCTACAAATACCATTGAAATGCGGCATTCGGAAAATATATATTACGTAACTACGGAGTACTTCAACAATACATACTTAGGTCATTAATATTATAACAGAAAACAACTTTTTTGCGTAAAAATTCACGTAAAAAATGGCGTCGCAGCACTTGCGAGCAAGAAGTTCGTTTCATCAGTCTGTCGGGAAAATAATGAGCACAAACTCTACCAGTGTCCGCCAGCTCTCTGCCAGAGATTGCCACGGCTCCGGAGCCATCTCTTGGCTCCGGCTCTGAGCGGCTCCGGGCCGGGAGTCAGAGCCGGAGCCGGAAATTTTGGGTACGGCTCCGGCTCCAGAGACCACAGTCGGAGCCAGGCTTCTCAGCGAAAAGTAAAAATTTCGTGATCTTGTTGAACCAAATCGCTTGAAAAATACTGCGGAGGATGTGTTGCGTACGCAGCAAAAACGGTGGCTGTATGATCTCTGGCACTAATGACTTTTATTTTTGGAAAAATATTTAAAAAAAAGTGTTTCCGCAGGAGCCGGGATTCGGAGCCGGAAACCCTTCTAAATTTTGAGCGGAGCCGGAGCTCCAAATTTGGCCTCGGCTCCGTCTCTGGGACCTAAGAGCCGGAGGCGGAGCCAAAATTTTGGCCGTGGCAATCTCTGCTCTCTACCGTGCCTGATTTGTGTCTTCCTATTGCGCAAGATAATATTATTTTCATTTACATACGAATACTAAAACGGGGTAACTAAATATTCGGGTGATGCGCACTCGGGTGATCGCTTATTCGGGTGATGCAAACTCGGGTGGTGAAAATTAGTGTACCGCTACCGCATTAAATTCATTGGGCAATTGTCTGTGGTCCAGTGCGCACTGGGCCTTTGCCAAACGTCCACCGACTATCTAACGGCTTTGCCAGGCCTCACAGGCACCTCGTACAGCCTTTTTTTTGGTATCCACACGCCATACGCCCCGGATCGACCCATTTTGCGTTGATCCGGACTTCTTTTGGCACACGGTTCTTTCGGCACGTCTCCGCGAATTCAGACAGCTAGCGCTCGTGCCTATTGCGTAAAACTCTTAGAGTTCCCCTCCCGCAACGTTGCTCCCCGTTGCGGGAAGCCTGGTTGCCCGAGGCGTCTCTGCACACCAAATCGAAAAGTCTTGGGAACAGCAAAAAGTTTGACGTTTATGAGACTGTAGAAAGACTTATATATACTATTGTATAACTATATATATACCCTTGTCAAATTTTGTAGTAACACATCAATTGCTTTGCCGCCATTGCACACCTAGTTAAAAGTACAAACGTCAAGTTTTTCATGCTGCAAGCTTCAAACGTCACACTTCATCGGTCCTTGTTGACCTGAGCAACAAGGACCGTTGCATGTTGCGTCTGAGTGTACTAGACGCGACAAAAACTCCTTGGAATTTCTTACGGTACCGAATCCTCTAACAGACCTTACTATACCTCATTGTATCATCAGTCTGTCAGGAAGATTACGGCGCGCGTCCCGACTTTTCGGGTTGACGACAGTTCGGGTCAACACAAAATCGATCGATGCGGAGCAGGTGTATATACAAAAAAAGGTTGTAAGAAGTGCCTGCGAGGCCTGACAAAGCCGTTGGACGGTTGGCGGACGCTCGGCGAAGGTTCGGCGGAGACTTGGCGAAGGCTTGCAACATGTTCACTTTTTCTAACTTTAGCTATCACTAACGTTTAATTTCTTTACCATGAGTTATTGTAACATTTGACTGACCAAAATTTGTGGCAAAAAACGAAGATCTGTGATTTTTATCCAAATATTAGTTATGTAAGCACGTATAAAATACCTCAAAATATGTGATAAACCATCCTAGGACCTGATCAATCTTATTACTTCTTCTAACTAAGCTTCTCCCAGCCTCCCCATGCATCCAACGACGAACCGGCGCGGCTTGTAGTATCGTTGACCCGAACTGTCACTGACTCGAAAAGTCGCAGCGCCTGCAGTCGGACGCCAAATCCCCAGCTGCGGCCAGCCGTCGCAAAGCGATGATGGGCGATTCTAAGCCACTATTTTTTCAACTGGGCAAAGGTCCATGCGCTTTATGGAAAAGTTATAGCCACACGTCCCTTTACCACGAATCTTGAATAATTTATGCGAAATATACACTGTACCGGACCCAATATATGTTGCACAGAAGGTCAGATTGCCAGCGTATTTTCAGAGAGAGGCCTTTCGGAGCCAAAACCGGCTGTCAGAATGCCCTTAGATTACTTTATAAACACGGTCTCTTTTTTTGATATTCACGGGAGCCCTGTGAATATCAAATCCCTTCCACAAATGTTGCCATTTTCGAGCTATCAGATGCTCTACTAGGTAAAGCCGTATACCAATTTATTAACAGTAGTTTTCTTCAGAGTGCGACAAGATTCAAGGCTGCGACAAATTCCCAGTTTTTTTTGTCTCCGGTAGTATCAGTCTGTCGGGAAAATAATGAGCACATTGTCGCTGAATTGCATCGCTGATGAGAAAAGAAATTTGATTTTTCCGCGACACAATTCATTTTCTCGGCAGCGATGCGATTTTCCATGCGACAGAGTGCTCATTATTTTCCCGACATACTGATATCAAACGACTTGCAAGCCCACTTGGAAAGGTAACGAAATTTATCGAGTAACAGAAATAAAGAGAGTTGCAGAGTTTGTTGGCGCGGTCCGGGTCAAGACCCGACGATAAGCCGGGATCAACGTGAGCACCGATATCGAGTTTAGAGGCGATAATAGTTGTACAGAAATGCCGGCGACATAGCTGGCGTTCTGGAAATTCACGCCCATCGAAATCATTGCCGTCACGTACATGCATGGGACAAAGTACAGGACCAGCGGATACAGTGCCTGAAATTCGATAATTATTAGGGAAAAAGTAGGCAGATGGCAATGTTTATTGATCATGTCGCGTACCTGCAAAACCATCACCATGATGAGGCGCTTTTGCGCTTTTTGCGTGGAAGTTGTCGCCGCACGGATCCCTAGTCGGGCTTGGTGTATAATTCGTTGGCCGCTGAACATCATAATGCCGTATTCGACGACGAACATAAGCTGACAGGCGGAGATGCAGAGCAAGAAAAGCGGATGGTTCTGAAAGAAAAGACGGTTAAAGGTTGAAAGTGTCTTGAAAAGGGCTTCCTGAAGAAGCTGAACTCTCGGCAGTATCTATCAGACTGTCGGAAAAATAATGAGCGCAATGCCGCTGCGCCAACCAAGTCGCGAGATGACAAACAATTTGATTTTGCCGCGACACAATTCACTTTCGCACGTCAAACTGAGGAGTCCGGTGACCAGAATAGACCCTTCGCTATCGGTTACTCTCTCGCCCCAAAAAGTCCCCATTTCTTCCCCGACAAAACTATATTGCCAACCCATTCACCGGACTGTTTTAGCTTATCTCAGTTTGACGTGAGGCGATGAGACTTTCGATGCGACAGAGTGCTCACAATTTTCCTGGCAGGCTGATATAAGACATCTATGTATAAATAGCCACGCAAAAACTTCAAAATACGACATCTTGGTCCGCCGGGAACACAATGTGCAATTTGTCGCATCGAAAATCGCATGACCGCCGAGAAATTGCGGGGCCGAACGACCGAGCTTCGAGGATTTTCCCACAAAGGACGATCTGCATTTATTCAAATTTGAGTGTACTTTCCTATGTGGGGCTTCCTTATATTAGGTTGATTCAAAAGTTTTTCCACATTTTTTTGAGACACCTCAAAATAAAATTCCTGGAGCCTGATTGAATGTACGTTAAAACTGAAAGCATAGATGTATGGGGCAGAACATTGCAAAATTTTTGATTCGTAGCATTTTATTTTATACAAGCTTCCTTTCAGAATATTTCAAAAATACTAAAAACTTCTCCGTTTGTGTCATGGTGAATATCCCGGGCCCTAGCAATTTTCCAGCCCACTAAAAAGTCTCGGGTTTTGGGTTATTCGTACTGGGGATGTCTGTAGTTTCTTCTGAATTTATTGCTCTACTTATATCTACACTGACGTTTTTTGTAGCATCCCATAAAGTTGGCCGGAGAGCCGAGCTACCGATCAAAAGCAGATTTTTAAAAATTTTTTGAAAGGAGTTAGATTTTTTTGACTCGGCTGCCATTCAGGTTGTACAAAGACAGTATGCGGATGATACATTCAAAAAGTCACCAACTGAAATTGCCTTATAAGGTAGAAAAGTAGCATAAACTGCACTTTTAGGCGAATTTTTGTAATTTTTTTTACTGGTATTTCAAGAGGACCTTCAGCTTAGCGCGTCTAGCAACTGATAGTGTATGTCAAGTAGGATCAATTATTTATTAAATAACTAGGATACCGGGCAAGAGTAATGAACAGAAAACGTTTTTGTAAAAATCCCCTAAATTTCGTAAAATATTGGTAGATTAAAAAGATTCGATTTTTCTGCCGCATAGGTAAAGCTAGCGCGAATGTTTAGCATTGGCGTTGTAGTGCTACTCATACACTACAATAACAGAAAGCGTTATCTCTTAGTGCTTCTAATAGCTGCGTCTACAGGGTCTACTTTTGCCAGACCCTAATTTTTGATTTTTCGCACTAAAAATTTTTCGACTAGCCCTATAGCAAATTGTCCTCGATGCCATAGAGATTACATACAGGCATACCATATTCGAGAATATTAAGAAGATACAGCCACTCTAGACGTAACGCCGGCGGTTTACTTTTTCTTCCTTCGAGTAGTTAAGGTTTAACACGGCGCTACTACTACAAATTGCTAAGTTGTAAAAAGTTATTAATCTACTATAATCTACAAACAGCCTTCTTTCTAACAAGATATATATCAGGCCCACTGGCTTTGGTCTAAATTTTTTAAAATTTTTTAAAGACATGTGGAAAAACTTTTGAATCAACCTAATAAAAGGCCTCCTTTCCACTGAATAAATCACTTGACTCTTCAGCTCTGATCTGATTACTGGGTTGTCGGGGCTTTCGACAGGAATGTTATCGCAGCCACACAATGCTCATTATTTTCCCGACGGACCGCTAGATCACGTCTGCTACACTTGTCATAAACTCCGTTGAATTTGGACAGTCCGTTTTTTACATGCACTTTTCTGCGAGCGCACCAAGTGACGTCCTCAGAAAAATTCTGCGAGAACATGAGGAACGGCCAAGAGTTTCCTTTCATCGCCTACATAATATATAGTCAACCTTACCAGTGTCGCAACGACATGAGGACGAAATGAAGATCCATTTCCACCAATCGACATCAACTCGTCTCCGTCAGTCACAATGCGTCCGGAAGCCAAGAACAACGCCGCAATAAAGAATATCCCAGTTAGCGCAATCGCATAAGCGCCCAGATACTGCCGTTTGCTCCATATATCGCCCTTGCACAACATCCGATAGCGATAGTAAAAGTGGACGGTATTGGAAGGCGCTGGGCAAAGAGCCGCGACCAGTGTAAAGAAGATGGCAATTTGAACGGCGAATGCCGGAATGTGTCGCAAGTAAGGATTTTCAATATTAAGATACACTGTGGATGCTGTGGCAACTACTGCGCTCTGAATTCAGCTTTGATTTTGCCGTGGGCAACTTACTGGTACCACAATTCCATGGGTTAGTGAGTAAAACAAATCGACCACCGAGTTGAATGCCATAATCCAAGCATACTCGCTTTTTTTACTGCCTCTGTGAACCCGGTAGGATAGGAAGATTACCAGTGAAGACAATGTAACTGCTACAGTGGTCAGGACGAAACAAATTTCGGGGTAAACCTCCCGGAGCTCCATGGCAATTGAATTATTATGTTATATAAGGAAGGAAGTTTGCTGAAAAAAACTGGTGGTAAAAATTCATGGAGGAATAATAATAGAGCAGTTCAATTGCTCAAAAATCACGATGACTACTATCAGTGTACTCTGTTGCATCGAAAATCGCATCGCCGCCGAGAAAATGAAATGTGTCGCCAGGTGCGTAGCTGACAAAAAAAATTAAATTCTGGGGGTGGGGGTCACGCCTAAGGGTCATTATGCAAAAAAATTTTCGCGGAAATTACCTAGGTCCTCCCTTAAAGTCCGAGGTTCTCCAAGCCAAGGCGCAAATAAGGAATGTTCCCGCTGTGGGACCCAACACGGCGGGTCTCTCTCGCAAAAAAATAAAAAAAATATTTTTTTATTGTTTGAAATGGTACAAAGAAGGTGAAAGATGAGTGACGATCACTGAAAAAAGGTATGTTTTTTGTGTTTTCTGATTTAGGGCAGCTCGGCAAAAATTTTTACGACAGCTGATCCAAGATTTTTTGTGTTTTGGGCGAATGAAGGTAATTTTGGACATTCCTAAGCATGAAAATGGGTGTAGCTTTCCAAAGAACCATCCAGGAGTGATGTTGATCGAGTTTTTGCCAAGTTAGAGTCAATCCCTTCAGCAAACTACCTAGTATAATATAATTTTTTCCAGGATTTTGAATTGGAATGCAGCCAGACGGCTAAATTTCACCGCAAGGACTCGCTGAAGCCAGAAGAAGAGACGACACCATTCAAATTCCATGTGGAATGGCTTTTTCCGAAGCTGATGTCAACAAAGAAAAGGTGAGTTTTTCTTGGTTTTCACTTTTTAGGTCGGGAAATCTATTGCTCCTTGAGCAATTTTCTTTGACCCCGGCCTGGGGGCCCCCAGATACGCCCCTGTGTGTAAATATAATATTAAGAAGTGTCAACAAAGAGGGCACTAAGTTAGCGATAAAAACAATATCTGTACAACTACTGGGGCCCAAAATCGAGTTTTTATAGAAAGGTTTTGCTATACGGAGGAGTTCTATCAGTCTGTCGGGAAAATAATGGGCACTCTGTGGCATCGAAAATCGCATCGCCCGCCGAGGAAATGAATTGTGTCGCGAAAAAATCAAAGATCTTTAACTTCAGCGACACACAGTCGCTGCATTGGTGCAGTGACAGAGAGCTCATTATTTTACCGGCGGACCATAATATACTCATATACTATATACTCGGCATATAAAAGCGGTGACATCATTCTTGCCATATTCAAGCTTCTGTTGAGAACAATACAAAGCAGCGGTTAAACAAGTTACGTATATGAAGCACCCATGTCGTTCTACCATTTCCCAAACGGCCCGTTTCAATAGAGTTAAAAAAACAATGAGAGAAGAAGGCGGTAATTGTATGCTTTAAAAAATAATTGTTATTCTCGGTGCATGTCAAGAGAAAATAGAACGAAACCGGGGTGCAATCCGCTTCCATCGTGCTAGAGGTATGAAAAACGTTCGTAAAATTGATAAATAATACCCACTAGGGACTTTATGGCGCGAGTAGTATTTTCATAAAGTTCGTAGACTTTTTACCTCAGTTTGAACTGTGAATTTGGGCTTCCGCTTTGTGCTCATTATTTTCCCGACAGACTGATTAGCATTATATAAACAATATTTTCATAAAGTGCATAGACATTTTGTCGCGGCCGCACCGTGCACAAAGAACCTCACATTTTTCACAGCGCAAACCGCTTTTCTTGAGGTTTGCAGTGTGCGAAAAAAAGGAAAAATGCACAGTGCGTTGGCGACAAGCGTGGCAAAAAGTTCAAAGCGCACTGTCGAATGAGAAATTGCACAGTGCATTCACCTTTTTTGGTGTTGCACTGTGCGAAAAAAAAGAAAAAAATGCACTGTGCATTGGCGACAGGCGTGGGAAAAAGTTCGAAATGCACTTTGCGAAGGAAAAATTGCACGGTGCGTTCACCTTTTTTGGTTTTGCACCGTGCGAAAAAAAATGCACTGTGCATTGGCGACAAGCGTGGGAAAAAGTTCAAAGCGCACTGTTCGGAAGAGAAATTGCACCGTGCATTCACGTTTTTTGGTTTTGCACCGTGCGAGAAAAAATAAAAATGCACTGTGCATTGGCGACAAGCGTGGGAAGCAGTTCAAAATGCACTGTGCGAAAGAGAACCAATGTCCACTCACCTTATAAAAAATACCAAAACACGTCAAGCCTTTTATACCGCGGTTCGTAATTGGCATGCGAAAAAGGGCAGTGCAATTTCGGATAAGTCCGGAACACCCCGCGGTAATCCAGGGCGTTAAAGAATGGTACGTGCGGCCGAGACAAATAAGACGGATTTCAATAAACGGTTGTAAAGTGGGACCTTCGAACGATTCGTATATCTCGATTTAGGGCCGACCGTACGCATAACGTGACAATTTATGTAATAACTTAAAGTTCACCCAAGACTACAGCCGAATAATAGTAATGAAATATGTTTAATGTTTACAGTGTAAAACAACGGAAGCCGGCGTTGTTATCGACAAATTGTATCCAAAACACACCGAATTGGTTTTTCTAATTTTCACGCCATATTGTTCGTTAAAATATAACGCTACAAGTAGGGGGAGGGGAGACGGTCGAGTTCAACTGATCACTTCCTCAATTACCCCCGCAAATTGTAAAACTTTTTTTTACTATCAGCCTGTCGGGAAAATAATGAGCACTCTGTCGCATCGAAAATCGCATCGCCGCCGAGAAAATGAATTTTGTCGCAACAAAATCAAATCTCTTTTCACTTCAGTGACGCTATCGGCGCAACACGTCAAAAAAATTAATTTTTTTGTGACCAAATTTTATGATGATTGGGAAATCGCCCTTTACATTTTTTGGGTCCCAACACGAAAACCCTGAATTTCAAGACAAGCGCCCAAAATGGACTAAAACGCAGGGAGACTGCCACACGTCAAAAAAATTCTTTCAGAAAATTGAAAAAACAAAGAATCTCGGATCATTGACTTTTTGCGAAGTGCCACAGAATGAATTCGAGTCCGAAAAATTATTTTTTTCTTCGAAAAAATTTTTTTCTCAAAAAAAAAAACTTTCTATAGGAAAGTTTTCTTTTGTGACTCGATAATTCAGCGACATTTCGTCAAAAATTAATGCTCCGAGGTTCCTTGTTTTTTCACTTTTTTTGATGTGCGCTGCGACACTGTGCTCATTATTTTCCCGACACATGCCGCTACAGTAAGAACGGGAAGTTGTCACGCTAAAAGCAAAAAATCAGAGAGACATGCAGATCAAAAATTCCACAGAATGCGTAGTGCGGAGTGTCCGAACTTTGTGGTCGCTGCTTTTTGCACCGTGCAATCCCAAATTCATTTTCCAATTAACTGGGGAGCCCAGAGCAATTTAAGAATGGAATACATTTAGCGAACAAAGAATACGGCAAATTTTTTGAGGAAGTTATGCATACCACGCAACGTAGACATAAGCAAATTGAACGGACAAAGCAATGTAGTTATAAAGTCTGATGCCTATGAAAAAATAGGGCAAAGCCGGAGGAGCCGAAAAAACCCGTTTGCGTTGTTCCACCTGCTCACACTGTAGGCTTGATGACTCCGCCGAGGTTGTAGCCACTTGTAGAGTGAACACTGAAAGCTCAACACGTCCAATGGTAAGCACAAACTGTAGATAGATTCTCGGAAAGCAAACAAGACAACCGAGAACCATCTACAAATCCCATTGAAATGTGGCATTCGGAAAATATATGTTACGTAACTGGCGAGTACCTAATACATCACACCCTTACAATTAGATCATTAGTTTTATGGGGAAAACAACTTTTTTTGGGTGAAATTCAGAAGTCGCAACACTTTCGAGCAACAAGTTCGTTTCATCGGTGTGTCGGGAAAATACAGTGACAGACCTGATCCAGTGGCAAAAAATGTACCATTCTGAATCCAGGAAGTATCAAAAAAATGCAGCAAAATGTCTCCCTCTTCAACTAAAAACTCCGTTTGAAGGCCTTTTCCTCACGAAAATACTATCATGTTTCTGAAATCGGAGTTTTTTTCAATTGGAGAGGGAGGTATTTTGCCACATTTTTTGATACTTTGCGGATAAAAGACGGTACGATTTTGCCACTGGATCAGATCCGCCACTGTAGCTTGGTCCCTCCCGGCGATTTTTTCTTTTTTTCTTGGCCTCGGGGTGCCCCCCTCCCCCTTTCTAGCTACGCTTCTACGCTGCAACCTGGTTAGCCAGCCTAAAACTATTATATAACCTTCCATTTATAATTCTCCGGTGCAAAACGGTACGTTTTTTGCCACTGGATCAGGTCCGCCACTACAATGAGCAATAACGTGGGCTTGTCGGAGAAAAATATCTCGCCTCGTCGCTATCGCGCATCAAATTCCTGCCGCGGAGAGCCACAAAGTGTTGATTCTTTTGCTCAGCGCTACGAATCCTTATTGTTTTCCCGACAGACGGATAACTATTACATCAGTCTGTTGGGAAAATAATGAGCACAGACCTTCCCTTTCCGCAACACAATCACTTTTCTCAGCAGCGGTACGATTTTCGCCGCAAAATTGTGATTATTCTTTTCCCGACAGACTGATATTGAGCCACAAGCGTCGCTGAGGTTTTATATTGAGGACTGCAGCTAGGCAAATCTTGTAGTATGAACGCTGAATAACGGTAAGCACAACTTGTTTTATTTCTTTCCCAGAAACGTTTGCAAGCGGGAACAACCCAAATCCCATTGGAATGTGGTATTCGGAAAACCATTTATAATTTACTACTCGCCGCGAAATGCCCTTATATTTATATTTATAGCGGTCCCGAATTATGTTGCACTCTAAAAAAATGATTTTTTTCGCTGTGAAAAAATGAAACTCGTGCGCTTTTGAAACTTATGTCGCAAAGAAAATTTCAAATGCTCTGAGCAAAGCAATTTTTCGCGAAGTTCGAGGGTTTACAGCGCCAAAGCCGCGCAAATTCTTAGCAATTTGTGAGCCGAGTAATGTCATCAGCGTTCTTCGCGAAGCCGCAAATTGTCCGTCGGGAAAATAATGAGCACTCTGTCGCATCGAAAATCGTATCGCCGCCAAAAAAATGAGTTGTGTCGCGGCAAAATCAAATTGATTTTCACTTTAGCGACCTAGCGACAGACTGATGTTCGACATTTTACCATCAGCCTCACTTTGGCGCCAAAAAACCCATGATTTTTCAATCGCACAGTGCAAACGGCAAAACGCACTGTGCGGAAGGCTTGCGACAAAAAGTCCACGCACTTTTGAAAAAGTGTAGTCAGCGGTTGTTATTGAGTTTTTATGAGTTCGTTATTATTTAGTCTGAGGTAATTATTTGTGTTTTACCCGTACTTTGTCGTTTGTTTGGTGACAGCAGCACTTACAATACATGCATATTTCAATGTTTTCGACAGATTTCTCATAGTACATCCGTGGATAAACATTTTGTGGAAACGGATTTTCACTACGTAATATTTAGGTGTGTTTTGAAGGCCATATATTTATATAAGGCATATATAAGCTACAAACTTGATCAACGCAACATTTATCGACTAACAGAAAAAAACAACTGTCCAGAAGTTGCTGATGACTTCTTGGTGAAGGCTCTACGGTACGCCGGGATCAGCGTGAGCACCGATATTGAATTTAGAGGCGATAATAATTGCACAGATAAGCCGGCGATATAGCTGGCGCTTTGAAATTTGATACCCATCAAAATTATGATCATAATGTAGACGAATGGAATAAAGTACAGAATCAACGGATACGCCGCCTGAAATTTGCTGATATTTTGGAAAAAAGGCGTAAAGGAATGGCCGTGTTTATTGATGATAATGCCTACCTGCAAAATCATCAACGTGATCAGATGTTTTTGCGCTTTTTGTGTGGAAATTGTCGCCGCACGGATCCCTTGTCGAGCTTGGTGTATAATTCGTTGGCCGCAAAAAATCATAACCCCGTATTCGACAACGAACATCAGCTGACAGCCGAACATGCAGAGCAAAACAATTGGGTCGTTCTGAAAACGAGACGGTTAGAAAGGCTGCAGGTTTTGTAAAAACGAAGGCAGAATATCAGTATGTCGGGAAAATAATGAGCAATGTTTGAAGAAATGAATGTCCATGCGCCGATAGTTCCGCCAGGTGGAAAGCAGTTTGATTTTGTCGCAACGCAATTCATTTTCATGCGATTTTCGATGCGTCAGCGTGCTCATTATTTTCCCGACAGACTGAAAAGGGGACTGGCCGAGAGTCTCATCGGCGGGACCACACCACTTTGCGGGCAGCTAGAAGAACCACAGACGTTCTGCTGGCATTTTTTGTGGAAATCAGCCAACATTTGCTTACAAAAGGAAATTCAAACGTTTTATTTAACAGTTAGATAATGCGAGTTAAGTTTCCAGGTGTATCAGTGGCTTGAATAGCTACAATAAGGTTAACCGGGAATTTTTAAAGGTTCAGAAACCATTTTCAAAAACAAGTTCCTATAACTTTGAAAGTGAGGGATGAATAGATTCGTGTACTTCTCAGTACTGCAGTACTGGGGAGTTACCAATGCAATATTTTCTGTTATAGATTACGGTAGAAAAAGCGTAATCTTAATCGGCAAATGTCGGCTGCCCGCAGAGTGGTTACCCGCAAGAGTCGTGACGCTGTCTCTTCGCCAGGACCAAAACAATACTTGTACACAACCTTACCAGTGTCACAATGACATGCGGCCGAATCTCTCCACCAATCGCCACCAGCTCCTTTTTGCTTCTGTCATTCGCAACATTTGCCGGAATGCAGGACAATAACGCAATACCTAATATGACCGCCAGCGCCATCCCATAGGCCGCCAGATACCTCCGTTTACTCCATATATCGCCCTTGCACAGCAACCGATAGCGATAGTAAAAATGAACCGTATTACAAGGCACGGAGCAAAGAACCGCGACGACTTGAAAAAAGGCGGCAATTTGAACAGTGAGCGTCGAAATGTTTTGCAAGTAAGGATTTTCCATCGTAAAGTAGGCTGTGGTTGCTGTGGCTACCACTGCGCTCTAAATTCAGCTTTGATTTTGTCGTGAGCAACTTACTGGTACCACAATTCCATGAGCTAGCGAGTAAAACATGTCGACCATCGCGTTGAACGCCATAATCCAAGCGTATTCGCTTTTTTGACTGCCTTTGTGCACCCGATACGATAGGAAAATTACCAGCAAAGACAGTGTGAGCGATACGGTAGTCAAACCGAAGCAAATGTCGGGATAAACCTCCCGAAGCTCCATGGTAATTTAATTACTATAGATAGCAGGCTTGTTGAGACGAGACGTTCATTCAAACCGCAATTCAACTAGGTGGAGCCTATTCCAAAAACATTGTAAACCCTTACGTTAAGCTATAACAACGTCACACCGTGGTAGTGCTTTAACTATAACTTGTTGAATGGGATTGAAGTTTACTGTAAAACAAGCGTCTGAAGATGTTTTGTAGGTACAGAAGCTTTGATGAAATTTTAAAAAAAACATTGCGTTTTTGTCAAAACAACACCCAACAGAACGCTAACCACTTGGAGAGTCCCATACTCGACAGAAGAGAAATGTCTCCCGCCCACTTTGATATTCAATGCCATACAGTTTCATTGTTTCATTCGAAGGTAAATTGAGTACAGGACAAACAACACATGCATACGTGCTCTATTAAAGGGTGGGACAGGATTTTTTCAGCCATCGGCCAATGGCTTTGTCAAAGGGATTCTGCCATATTCTGCGAGGTTCTTCAGTGGTTTTCAAGGGTTTAGAGACATTTTGAAGGGTCTAGAGACATTTTTGATGTATATACTAATAGCTTCTCTCACTTCCGACCTTTTGGCAAGATGCAGACTAGGCCGTCCGGAAAGTAAGGGTAATTTTGGCAACATGCACTGTGCAAAAACAAAAGTTTTCTTTGCACTGTGCAATTTCTTGCTTTTTTCAGGTGCAATATTTTTTGGGCCGTCGCTCGCATCCTGACTTTTTTCGCACAGTGCAAACGCCAAAAATCAGTCCGGCAACATCACTGTGCAAAAAAACGCGGTTTCGTTTTGCACTGTGCAATTCTGGCTTTTCTGGGAGGCCGCTGATTTTTTTTTGCATTGCTTGTGACGTACTGCAATTTTCTTCGCTGTCTTCAACATCAAATCTCATATCGAAAAACCCAGAAAATTTTTGGTGAACTTCGATCCGAAAGACCCCGATTCCTGCGCCGCCTCCGCCGGAGGTCATGGCCACGGACTTTTCTTCAATCTTTTTGAAAAATGTATTTTCATGGCCTTTCAATAGTTTTTACATTATGTAATATATGTAAGCGTTACGGTTCCCTGACTTGACATCACTTGATCTTCACACACGTCAAGTTTGTTCCACTATCTTACAGTGTCCATAGAGGATTCCACTGAGATTGTAGCCACTTGTAGAATGAACACTGAAAGCCCAGCGCTACAAGTGGTAAGCACAAATTGCGAGCACCTTTTCTAGTGAAAAATAAAACAGGTCGGAACATTCGAAATGCCATTGAAATACAGAATTAGGAAAATAAGACGGTTGGTAGCAAGGGAGTGCGTATAAAACATAGATCATTATTTTATAGAGAAAACAAAGTTTTTATTGGGTAAAGTGCAGGTATCGCAACGCCTGCAGGCAATAGGTTTCGCGCAGAATTTTCGCCATCAGTCTGTCGAAAAAATAATGTGGTTTTCTTGCAGCAAAATTTCTCGCGTCTTTGCGGTCGCGCACCAAATCTCCAGCTAGCCGTCGCAACGCGATAATGGACGATTCCAACGCGCGACGAATCCACATTATTTTCCCGACAGACTGATGTAAGGCAATGGTTTTTTTGCTTTGTTTTCTGCAACTTGTAAAGAACTTTAGGGCCTAGGACGATTATGTCATCAAATTGTCGGGATGTGTATATTGTGAAACTTCGCCGTAAATGTAGGATCGCGGTGGGCATGTACAAATGTAGTTTTGCAGTAAGCATACTACATTTGTTAGTCTGTTGGGAAGAGAATGAGAACAATGTCGATTCGAACATCGCTTTTAACGACTCATACTTTCAACGAGGATGCTGTCCTTTACCTATACTAGGCGAGGTATACACATTGCGTGGGGGCCTTGCGCGACAAACAATCGGTGCGGACAAACACATAGAATAACATTTGAAAAACACAATAAACTCCTACAACAACACTCTACTACAACACCTCATCCAACAACAACCCAACAACTACTATCCATGTTATTCAATGCCAAACTATACAAGATACGCCGATTATCAAATGGGATCGAAATGGATAAAGATAAACATTACGGTTCCTTGATTCAGGAACTTCGCTTCGGAACCTCTCCATGGAATATTCTCGAAAAACGGGAGAAAAAAGCTGGGAAACAGTTGACACCGGGGACATCCCGCTCTCTCTCCCGCTCTCTAACTTCAGAAATTAGGAGATCGTGTTGAAACAAATATGATTGAAACTTTAGATTCGGTGCAATATGACAATTGATATTGTGATGCGGAACGACCGAGCTTCGAGGATTTTCCCAACGATCTATATTTATTCAAATTTGATTGTACTTTCCTACGTGGGGTTTCCCTATAAAAGGCCTCCTTTCCACTGAATAAATCACTTGACTCTTGAGCGTCTTGTCTCGTTACTGGGTTGTCGGGCCTTTCGACAGATATGATCTTAGTGTGACCCTTTTCAGTATGCCTGCCTCGAGCTAGAAATTGCTCCCGGACCGTGGCAAATATATATGAGAGGGGCTGGCCCTGTCCGGTAGCTGACTTTCGGCTAGTTGGCCAAGACGGCTTTACCGTTGAAAATTGGGGGCGTTTCGCTCAAAATTTGAGGTATACAGAGCATTCCCAATTTCTCGACCTCCATTGCTTGGGAAGGTAATTTTAAGCTATATTTATTTGGGTAAAAAATAGAACAATTCAAGGCCACATTAGAAGTAAAAAACCTTTGTGAATGCAACCTCCTGTCGACACCGCGTATATCCAACTCCTTGCAACTTTTCTCACTCCCATACAACACCTTCGAAATCCCTCTACTTTTTCTCAAATCCATGCCGTAACGGCTGCAACACAATGCCAAAAGGCCATAGTTCTTGTCTTCGGGACGCAGCGTCAGACCTCTTTCTGCATATAGCAATGTTCAAGCAACGGAAAAGGGAGTTCCAGAGGTTTTCGAGTACTTTATGGTTAAGGCTCTGCGGTAGGCTGGGATCAGCGTGAGCACGGATATTGAGTTAAGCGGCGATAACAACTGTAGCGATATGCCGGCGATGTAGCTGGCGTTTTGAAATTTCACACCCGTGGAAAGCAATATCGACACGTACATGAATGGAAGGAAGTATAAGATTAGCGGATACACTGCCTGAAATTAGCTAATATTTATAAAAAATGGGTGAGCTAATAGCTTTGGGTAAACATGGCTTCAAGGGAGGGCTGTTGGCATTTCTGGGCTCCGACCCAGCCAGGCCTTTTTCAAAATTTTCGGAGCTTGGACCGGCCTTGAGGATTTTGAGGCCTGGCTAGTAAAAGTTTTTTTAAAATAATTTTTGAATGGTAATTTTCCTGCCATTTTGTCAGCACTTTGGCATTCTGTTTTATGGCTCGTTTTAGGGTCTTTTATCGTTGCTAGCAACGCTTAAATCAGCGAAACATGTTTTCGCTCTTTATAGAGTTAAAAGTACATCTTGTTGCACAATGCCAAGAACCCAAAATGGGCATTTCAAATTTTCGTTTCAAGACTAAAAAAATCTTTCTGAAAGAGCAGGGGCAGCCGAGCCTTTACCATGTCTGCCAGAGACTGTAGACGGCCTTTCGTGGTAAAACTTACCTGCAAAATCATCACCGTGATGAGATGCTTTTGCGCCTTTTGCGTGGATATCGCTGCACTTGTGCCTTGCTGTGCGTGCCGTATGATCCGTTGGCCGCAAAAAATAATAATGCCGTATTCAACAACGAACATTAACTGGCAGAGGAACATGCAGAGCATAAAAATTGGGTCCCTCTGAAACAATGAAATGAAGTTATAAAGTTATATTAATTGTAGGTATCCTTAAACAGAGTGTCTCTTGGTCTTTCCGAATTTTTTATAGTCTCTAAAGCCCGCTGCATCACTAACGCGACATTATTCTTACCAACGTCACGAAGACATGGGGATAAACGATATCCACAGCTCCAACAACCGACATCAGCTCCACCTTGCTCCTTTCGTTGGCCAGATTCCCGGCCGCGCAGAACAACGTCGCAATCAAGAATATCACAGCCAGCGCCACTCCATAAGCACCAAGATACCGCCGTTTGCTCCAAATATCGCCCTTGCACAACAACCGATAGCGATAGTAGAAATGGACGGCGCTGCAGGGCGCGGAGCAAAGAACGGCGACCAGTTGAAAGAAGACGGCCACTTGAGTCGAGGTGGTCGGAATGTTTTGCAAGTAGGGATTGCGGATTGTCAAGTAGCCAGTGGAAGTTGTGGCTATTGCGCTCTGAACCAGACTTTGATTTTTCCGTCGGAAACTTACTGGTACCACAATTCCATGCGTTAGCGAGTAATAAACGTCGACGCCCGCGTTGAACGCCAAAATCCAAGAGTATTCCCGTTGTCGGCTGCCTTTTTGCACTCGATACGACAGGAAAATTACCAGTGAAGACAAGCTGAGTGAAATGACCGTCACAACGAAGCAAATTTCGGGATAAATCTCCCGCAGGTCCATGGTAATATTATTACTATAGATAGCAGGCTTGTTGAGCTTGTTGAAACGGGACCTTGAACGTTAGAGACAGGAGGAAATCAAGCCCATTGTAACGCAACGAGATTAGAGGTTGTAAATGGGGTATTCGAAAACATTGTTAATTCGTACGTATAATCTAAATTAGTATACATATAGGTACATATTAGTATTTTTTGTAACGTGCATGGACATTTGTAATTGGCCGCACCGCGCACAACAAAACCTCATTTCGCACCGTACATTGGAACATGCCTTTTTTCAACGGCACGGTTGTGGTTTTGCTGAAGAAAATTTGCACAGTGCAAACGGCTTTTTTGAGGTTTGCACTGTGCGAAGAAAGGAAAACTGTGCGTTGGCAACAAGTGTAGGAAAAAGTTCAAAATGCACCGTGCGAAAGATTTTTGACGGACCTGATCCAGTGGCAAAAAACATCATTTTGCACCCGGGAAGTATCGAAAAATGTTGCAAAATGTCTCCTTCTCTAACTAAAAAATACTCCGTTTTGAAGGGTACGCAATTTCTCCCACAAAAAGAGCGAGCGCGCTTTTGAGACTGCAGTTTCTTCACTTGGAGAGGGAGGTATTTTGCCACATTTTTTGGTTCATCCCTGATGCAAAACGGTACGTTTTTTGCTGTTGGATCAAGCCCACTGTATTACTTTTTCACCCTTGTCGCCAACGCCCAGTAGATTTTTCTCTCACTCTTTGCACAGTGCAAGACACAAAAAAACCATCTGCACTGTGCAAATTTTTCAGAAAAACCGCATAGTTAGAAAAAGCCTATCATAATGCACGGTACGAAAAATGGCGAAAAAAAGTGAAATTCATCAAAGAGGGAAAATTTCCATGCAGTGTATGAAACAAACTCATTGCCACACGTCACAAAATGAGCTTAAGAAATACAATGTCGGAATCAGTGCCACAGTATCAAGTCGGGAAAGAAAAATTACCATGTAGAGAATATTTTCGTATTTTCGATCAAATGTTGTCTTGAATAAAAAAAAGGAAATTTCTGACTCGATAATGAGACTCATAGGAAAATATCACGGTACCCCCGCAAAAACAAAGTCGGTTGAAAATAGTAAAATAATTATCACTAAGCTTGTCAAATGTCACAATAAATTTTTGCAGTCATTATTGCTGCTGTAGATAACCACATTTTTTGACATTTTATTTTCCACCATGCGGCAAAAAGTGTGATTCAAAAGTATCTTAAATTTAAAACTGGACCGACCTTTGCTTTTATCGCGAACCCTGAATAATTTATACGAAATATACACTGTACACGGACCCAATGTATTATATATTGCACAGAAAATCAAATTGCCAGCATATTTTTAGAATAGGGGCCTTTCGGAGCCAAAACCGGCTGTCGGAATGCCCTTAAATGACTTTGTGACCGCGGTTCCGCGTACAGGAGCCCTGTGAATATCAAATCCCTTCCACAAATGCCATTTTCGAGCAATCGGAGTCCGTACTGGGTAACGCCGAATGACCAATTTATACTACAGTTTTTCGACACGTAGGCTCAAGGAAGAAGACGGATTTGATTGCGCAAGTGCTGGCACAGTGCAACCAATTTTCGCATGCTTCCAAATAATCCGTGCAGACGGTAAATTGCTCGGAAAGTGCATGGTACTTCAGCGATTAGCATAGTGCAGCAAGCCTCCGCAAAGGTTTGAAGTGAAGCTCAAGCTCGAAAACTAATCAAGTTCAAGCAGAGGTGGCCACCCGGGCCCGTTTAGGCCCGTCCAGGCCCGTTTCGGGCCGTCTTATATACTTATCCCGCGCTTTTTTCTGAGTAACCGGATGGCTTTGAAACTTCGCCTAGCCCTAGGTTTAGAAGGGTGCTGACCCTTCAAAATGTTATCAGATTTTTGATATCTCTTCTCCAAAACGAGATATCGCAATTGCGGGAAAAGTAAGACGGGCCGAAACGGGCCTGGACGAGCCTAAACGGGCCCGGGTGGCCACCCCTGAGTTCAAGTTTAAAATTCTTAGAGCTTTGAGATCAAAATCGATACAATTTCAAGTCGACCCCGAACTTGGAAACTAAAAATTTTATGAGTTCACGTTTGTACTAATCGAGCCATAAAGTCCTGACACATTTGTCGCGGAAATCGCACGACAAGTTGAGGAGTCCGGTGACCGGAATAGACTCTTCGCTATCGGTTTTTTACACTTCGTCTTGATTGCATGGAGAAGACAGAGAAAAGACGCGGAAAACGTTCTCTCTCGTCTCAAAAATTCCTCATTTCTTCCCCGACAAAACGTCTTTTCGCGTCTTTTTTTGGCGAATTGCCAATCCGTTCACATCTTCGGCAAAAGAATGAAGTCGCACAAAACATCACGTCGCTATTGCAAAAACGGCCTCGTTTTCGTCTCGGAAGGTCCGAAAAAAAGAAAAAACCGCACGGTGAAAAAGTGTGGGTGTTTATGACGCGACTAGTATATACTTATTATAATATCAAAAAACTATGCGGATTATTTGATTATTAAAAGTTTCATAAAGTGCACGGACATTAGTTCTGTTTCGCGTAACGCAATTTGAAGCGGTCGAAAAGCGATGATGTGCGATTCTAAGGCGCGATGATCTGCCAGTATTTTCCCGACAGGCTGATAAATAATACTACGCTTTTTCAGTTTTGCGGCGACGCAGTTGAAAAATCTTACGCAATTTATCAAATGCACAGTGCAAAAGATGAAATGCACGGTGCGGGCCGCGACAAATGTCCATGCACTTTATGAAAGTACTATCAGACTGTCGGGAAAATAATGAGCGCAATGTGGCTGCGCCAATCGTGTCGCTGAAGTGAAAATCAAAGGCGCCGGTTTGATTTTTCCTTGCGCTCAAGTTACAGTATGCCCGGATACAGTAATGTGTCAAAAAAATTTTTGTAGCTGCCGAGTACAAATGGGCACGGAACTAAAATTCCAAATTGCGTTTGTTCTAAACAACCGTACAATAAACGTGTTTCAGAGTACAAAACTCAAGTACTACGTAGATTGAAACTGTGAAATTCCATTCCCATGGCAACCATCGTGGTCATTTACAGGCCTGAAAAGAGTACAAACTGTGTATGGAAGGGGGCAAAGAGTACGTGAGCGCTACGAAAATACAGTGTATTTGCAGCTGTTCGCTTCTAGTCTGTCCATAAGAACGTTGACTTTCTGTGTTGCCGTGACAAAAATAACCAGGGTTTTGTGGAAAGTAGAGTTGGTATTTTGACAGAATTTTTTTCAAAATGACGCTTGATTGACGTTGTTGCGTCAAGTAACAATCCTCCTGGTCAAATTTAAAATTTTGATGACGAATGCGAGCTTAGAATACAGGGTCTTGAACGTGATGGAAATTAAATAAAAAGTAAAGCTTTTTATGGCAGATACACGATAACGGTATTCGTCATAATCTACAGGGTCTTTCAAGAAGCGTAAGGAAATTCGACGGTTATAACTTCCGGCAGAGTGGCGCAGAAAGTTCGTCGAGAGAAAACCATTTTTATGCGGCATTCTTTTTTGGACTATTAGCATTTTCACAAAGTGCCTGGACATTTCTTCGCTGTCGCACAGTGCATCTTGGACCTTTGTCGCCAACGCACTGTGGAATTTCCCCTTTGCGCACCGTGCAAACTTCAAAAAACCGTTTGCACTGTGCAGCAAAATCGCGGCGGCGCGGTTGAGAAAAGCTTACGTCGCCGCGATATTTCAAATGCACAGTGCAAAACCAAAAAAAGGTCAATGCACGGTGCAAAAAATCGGGGGCTTTTGTGCACAGTGCGCGGCGCGACAAATGTCCAGGCACTTTGTGAAAATGCTAATAGTAACAAACATTTTTTCCAACTTTATTGTATGTCCGTTGCGGGCGCAAAATTCGTGCGATGCTGTTGAAAAAAGCTTACGCCGTTGCGATTTTCGAATTGCCCGGTGAAAAAGGTAAAATTCGCAGTGTGAGAAAAGTCAACGCGTTTTATTGAAAGACTTGTACATTCTATGTCACTTTGAGCACCATAGCTGTCATATATATCAGATTTTCGGAAAAATAATGAGATCGGATATCGTATCGCTGCCAAAAAAAAATGAATTGTGTCGCGAAAAAATCAAATTGCTTTTCACTTCAGCGACACGATCGGTGTAGCAACGGTGTGCTCATTAATTTCCCGACAATTCATATTACTTTTTTCATAAAGTGCATGGACATTTTTTTCTCTTCCGCAATGTGCATTTTGAACTTTGTCCCACACTTGTCGCCAACGCACACAGTGATAAATAGAAATCCATATAAAGTACTCAAAGTGCAAAGAAAAAACCCAAACAAATGAAATGCCATATTAAAACACACAGCCGAAACAATAGAATTAGCGACAATAGAGCACTTATAAAAGGTTAATTTAGTTTAATAGAGCAACATAGTTTTAAATAGACAAAATTTATAGTCTACGCGCGACAAAATTGGGATTTGTGAGGACCGGAACAGCATACAAAAATTTAAACAAATATTGTAGTTATTTCGCCAATCTCGTTCTCCTTTTTTGTACTTTTTTGTGTTGCACAGTGTAATCTCGCTTTTTGCCCTAAGCGATTCCCATTTTTCGCATCGACAAATCAATTTTTCGAACTGCGACAGTTTTCCGGGAGGCCGCGAAATCTTCCAAGGACCTGCTTACCCACGAGGCGTAGAGCACGTGGAGACCCAAAACAGGCTGTAAGAGATGCCTACGAGACCTGGCAAAGCCGTTGGATGCTCAGTGAAGGTTCGGCGGAGGCTTGGCGAAGACTCAACATGTAACCACTTTTCTAATTTTAGCACTTGTTAACCTTGGGTTTTATGACTTTGACCTGAAGATCAAACGTTGTCCAAATAATAAAAAGCCGTAAGTTTATCCGGTTATTATTGGAGTAGTACATGCTAAAATAACTCAAAAAAGGTGATAAACTATCCGAGGACGTGATGAATCTTATTATTTCTGTTAACTAAGCCTTCACCCACCTTATATAACGACAAATCAATGCGGCCCAAAGTCTTGTAGTTGAACTGTTGTTGATCAGAAAAAATCTTAGCGCAAATTTGCACGCTATGTCTAGTCTAGGTATAAGATAACGCTGCACTTTATTTTTGTACGACACTTCCCTACCAGACTATATTTACATCGTGTTATGTTGATTCCTTGCGTAAACATGTGCTTTTTTTGAAATAAGTGCTATTTCTTTTTAATATTACATATGTATGTGTTCAAGCTCTCCAGTCCAACTTCAATCAGATGCGTTACTCAAAAAAGTTCCCAGTTAGATTTGTAATATCTCGTTTGAACCGTCAAGTGACTAGTATAAAACTAGGCCGTTCGCAAAATCGCTGGAGGGATCAATCAGGCGACATGCACGCATCCCGTCGCGAAAACATTGGCATTCCGCACCAATCAGTCGTTTGAACGGAATATTTATTTCAGTCGTTTGGTTGCTTCTGAGGCGGACGGTCCGCTCAGAACTTGATGAATTCGTTCAATTACATCATGCTTAATGTTGTCCGTCCCCACCGTCAAGGAATATATGAAAGAAATGTTCGCCGTCCTCACCTCTTGGTAGTATTTGTGTGATTTAGCTTTATTGTTGGTGGGATTTGACGGATAATGAATATCTCACAATCAGTGATTATCTTTTCATCCCCTTATTTGAGTATCAACCGGGTAGTTATCCCGTAATATATCTTGTAGAACCTTGTCCCATTGACAGTAGGAGGCTCCATAAAAACACTTCAGCGACTTAACGAACAGACTATCAGTCGGGAAAATAATGAGCACAACGTCGTAGCGCCAATCCCGTCGTTGAAGTGAAAAGCAATTTGTTCTTGCCGCGACACAATTCATTTTTTCGACGGCGATGCGATTTTCGATGCTGCAGATTGCTCATTATTTTCTCGACAAACTGATATCACAAACAGGTTCGAAGACCCGGAGATTTTTTCAAAACAACTTTGAAAATTTTGGAGGTAGCAACAATATTATTGTACGCCGTTCTGCTTCTCTGTTTTAAAGTATAAAACTGAAGACCTCCAAGATTAGAGCGAGCCGTCATGTTTGGTATTTTCTTGACTCCATTTTTTAACCTCTTCAGTTCAATAACAATCCTCCAAAAATAGCAATATTATCGGATAATTGTAAAACAAAAAAGGCTGCTGACATTTTGAAAATTTCAAATTCGATTCCCATGACAACCGGCGCGGTCATTTACACGCCTAAAGAAGGTACAAATTAGCGGCAAACGGCCGGAAAGGCATCAGAGTTATGACAATGTTTACAGTGTATCGGCCGGTTCACGGTACGGCGAGCAGTTGTTAGAAGAATAAATAGTTAACATCAATGCGGCCGTAGGTACGTGGAAAAACATAAAGCTACTCGGAATGCAAACAAACCAGGTCACACAAACCAAATGCCATTCAAATTTACAGCTTTCGGGAGAACAATATTACGACTATGGAGTTCTTATGAAAGGTTAATAGTCTAAAAGAGCAGCAAACTTTTTATGAGACGTTTATTTATAGTCGCCGGTGCGTGACAAAATTGAAATCTCTGAGGACGACGTACAATAATTCAAATAAAGATTGTAGTGAATACATCAATGGCGTCTTCCTCTTCCTACTCCATTAGTTTAAAGTACAACAGTCCAGACTGTCAAGTGGGCATATAGATAGTATAAACGTGAAACTCGACAAAACATGTTGAGCGCCTACAAAGTTTATTTTTAAATGTATAGGATGTCATTCTTTGGCAAAAAACAAGCCTTATCCATTAACAGAGACAAAATGTACACTCACCGCAGCGGCATAGCTGAAATCTGCCCGTGTCGCAATGATATGAAATGCACAGTGCAAAATCGGGGTTTTTTTGGACACTAACTTTATGAACGTACTATCAGTTTGTCGGGAAAATAATGAGCACAATGTGCAGCTCTAATCGCGCCGCTGAAGTAAAAAGCAATTTGATTTTGACACAATTCATTTTCTCGGCGGCGATGCAATTTTAGGTGCGATAGAGCGCTCATTATTTTCCCGACAGATTGATGAGCTGATGAGCTCAATGTCAACGAATTTTGCGTTTACATAAAGGCATAGCATGCCTTTTGGCAAAAAACACTCCTTATCGACTGTCAATTAATCAATGCTTTATTTCAATAAGTTATGATAAGTTAACAATCGAAGACCGAAAATTCATTGGCGTAGCGCTTCGCATATGAGGCTCATACCATGGATCCTTTTCGCCCAAGCGATCCTCGACTAGCGGAAACAAAGAATGTCCCTGAGTTCGATGGAGATGTCTTGGTCAAGACTCTGCGATAAGCTGGGATCAGCGTGAGCACCGATATCGAATTTAACGGCGATAATAACTGCACAGAGACGCCGGCAACATAGCTGGAGTCTTGAAAATTCACACCCATCGAAAGCATTATCATCACGTACATGAATGGGACAAAGTACAAGATCAACGGATACACTGCCTGAAATTCGTCGATATTTGAAGGAAACAAGATCGAATGGCCATGTGTGTTCGTGGTAAAGCTTACTTGCAAAACCATGACCGCAATGAGATGCTTTTGCGCTTGTTGAGTTGATTTCGCCGCACTTGTGCTTTTCTTAGCTTGGCGAATAATCCGCTGGCCGCAAAAAATCATAACGCCATACTCGACAACAAACATTAGCTGGCTGACGAACATGCAGAGCATAAAAACCGGGTTGTTCAGGGAAAGAAAAACATGAGGAGGAACTGAGTACCCATCGCCATTAACTGCGACTAGCTCTCTTCGGCTGCTTTCGCTCTCCGGATTCGTAGAGGCATAGAATAATGACGAATCAAAGAATATCACAGCCAAAACCAGCCCATAAGCCGCAAGATATCGCTGTCTACTCCATTTATCGCCCTTACATAATAGTCGATAGCGATAATAGAAGTGAACTGTGTTGCAGGGTGCGGAGCAAAGAGCGTCTATCCATTGGAAGAAGGCAGCAATTTGCGCGGCCGACGTCGAAATGTTGTGCAAGTAGGGATTTTCGATAGTCAAATACACTGAGGTAGAGGTGGCTACTGCGCTCTGGATGAAGGTTCGATTTTTCTTTCAGAAACTTACTGGTACCACAACTCCATGAGTTAGTGAGTAAAAAATATCGACGCCCGCGTTGAACGCCATAATCCACGCGTAATCGCTGTGCCGATATGCTTTGAGGACCCGACGTGACAAGAAAATTACCAGGACACACAGGCCGACCGAAACCGCGGTCAAAACAAAACAAATTTCCGGATAAATCTCTCGGAGCACCATGATAATTTTAGAATTAGCGTAGCAAGCTTGTTGAAGCAAAAACTTCAAATTTGTGAAGGAATAGTGACTTGTGCGTCCAATTACTCAAACATCATGGGAACTACAGTCCAATCTGAATAGGAATGAAATATACGGTTGAAAACAATACAAACTAGTGGCTAAACGAGTTTTGTATGTAAAGCACCCATTCGTTTCGCCATTTCTCAAAACACACTCTTCAATAAAGTAAAAAAAAGACGTTTACATAATGCGAGAAAGAGGCGGTAATTGTATGTTTGAATAGATAACAGGCCTTTACGGGGGAGTAAGGCGTATTATTTTTATGTAAAGTTGCGTTTCGTGTTGACGTGAGGTGATAGCATCCCGTGCCAAAGGCGCTTCCCAACACGTCCAGAAAACATTCCGAATTGATCCAAAAAATGGCGGGGTTTGCTTTTTAGAGGTGATTTTTGCCGAAAATGGAGCAAAATTTAGGATTTCAACTCGGTAAAAGGTGAGCTTGGCAAAATCGTGTTTGGTTTACCCGTACATAAAAAAACTAACAAGGGAAGTACTTGAAGTGCGACGCTCAGATTTTGATAAAAATTGGCATAGATGGAGATTGGAATTTTCTTATTCGATTGCGAGCTTTCTAGCTCGCGCTTTGCAGAAACTGCTGTGAAAGAAGGGCCGGAATATCGAAAAAAATCTTCAAAAGCCGGCGGATTTTCCCTGATTCCCTTGATCTTGGCATTCCGTTTCAGGATAAAAATATATTTTTTCTCGCAAGAAATTTTTTCTTGATAATGTTCAAGACTATTTTGTTGCTTTTATGTGGAATATTGTGCGTTATTTTCATTTTTTTACACTCTGGACATAATTCTTGCGCTATTAATTGGATTGTTGCCATCCGGAGGGTAAAATGTTTCGTTTTTTTGACGGATTTATACAGCTTTTCCTCTGCGGATGGGCAAACCACTCTAATAGTTGCTTCAAAGCTGTTTAGAAGAGATGCAAAACGCTCTACTTCGTGCATGAAGGTAATCATAAAGTAAGTGTTCCAAAAATTTTATTTTTTTACTATTTTTCAGTTTATTCCATTTCAGCAAACAAAGTAAGGGTCCCAAAGGTGTTCCGCCATTGTACTCAGTGTTCTGATGGTTCATATTCGCTGTTCTCATTGTTCAGAATTTACTTGCTGAAATAAAAAACAAGATTTTTGGAAAACTTACTTTATGATTCCTTCATGCATGAAGTAGAGCGTTTTGCATCTCTTCTAAACAGCTTTGAAGCAACTATTAGAGTGGTTTGCCCATCCGCAGAGGAAAAGGTGTATAAATTCGTCAAGAAAACGAAACATTTTACCCTCCGGATGGCAACAATCCAATTAATAGCGCAAGAATTATGTCCAGAGTGTAAAAAAATGAAAATAACGCACAATATTCCACATAAAAGCAACAAAATAGTCTTGAACATTATCAAGAAAAAATTTCTTGCGAGAAAAAATATATTTTTATCCTGAAACGGAATGCCAAGATCAAGGGAATCAGGGAAAATTCGCCGGCTTTTGAAGATTTTTTTCGATATTCCGGCCCTTCTTTCACAGCGGTTTCTGCAAAGCGCGAGCTAGAAAGCTCGCAATCGAATAAGAAAATTCCAATCTCCATCTATGCCAATTTTTATCAAAATCTGAGCGTCGCACTTCAAGTACTTCCCTTGTAAGTATCCCAAAATGCCTCGAGTAGGAAAAAACTATTTTTACGTAAAAAATTGACGAGGTAAATGCGAGACAGCATACAGTATTCAAAACTGCTTTAGATTGCATAAGGAGTCATTTCGAATTCCACTAAATGCCTCTCCCTGACCGAAAATAGCCTTCTTTTGAAGAGAGAACGAGAAAGTTGAACTTTTGGAAAGAAAAATAGAGGGAGACATTTTGGATATTGAATGTCGCCCGCTCTACTCCTTCCAAAATCGCAACTTTCTCGCTCTCTCTCTCTCTCTCTTCAGAAGAACGCTATTTTCGGTCAGCGAGGGAGGTATTTAGCAGTATTTGAAATGCCTTCCGGATGAAACTAAAAGCACTTTTGATCACTGGATCCTTCCCGCACTCTATCTAACCATTTTTTATATAAAAAACTTTCTTCAGACTCGAGGCATTTTGGGATGCTTGGTTATACAGGGTGACCCAAAATAACGGAGACAAAAGATTTCCCGTTTTTTCTGCGACTTATGAAGATTCATGAGTGATTCCTTATTTATACTACAGTACCACGTTAGTGTAGTTTTATATATCGGAAGTTTTGTTGTACGACGCTCTTGTGCCTTGAACCACATCAATATATCCGATTGACTCGGAGCTTTCTGCCCGTGGGGTCTTTTTGCAAGAAAGCTGCCTTACTCAAAAAAGAAAATTCGGAATAGTTTGAGATTTGCTGTGCTTAATTATCATAATATGGCCTTTAAAACGGGCCATCGTCCTAAGCTCAACTATCGATGGTTCAAAAGTTACAGCCGAGTATTTTCAGGCAGTTGAAGTGCAAAAATCGGCCTTTTTTGAAAATGTAGGCGTAAAAAGGAGTTTAAACGTTAGATAAGGCAAAATGCAATATGAGTTACCAGAACATGATTAAAGGAACACCGTAGAACCTAAAAAGAAACATTTTGTAACTTCTACGGAATGCTATTTGGTAATCACTAGGATTCTGCCTTATTTTTGCCGTAGGCGGAATACCAGTCGAGCCGGTGACACATAAAGACCGAAAGTGCCCTAGGCTGATTCTCAAGAGTCGTATTCATAAGTGTACAGGAGCAGAATGCGCCGTTTTTATCTATCTTGTCATTTTGTTATCGATAACCCATCTTTCTCAAAGCCGCGTGCCATGGGGTAGTTCTGGGCGAGAAACTTGTTAAGGAAAATCTGTTGCAACCAGCAAGCAATCACAGCGTTTTCCAGAATTATTGTATTTATGAATAGAATACGTTCTAGCGGTTTTAGCTTTATTCTAAAAAAACTGAATTTTTTATGGAAAAAATTTGGAAAAAATTGCGATCTTCAATGTTGAGATCGGTACCACCGTAGAAATAAAAACCGTAGCCCAGAAACCTACATAACTGCTTGCTTAGAGACGTAGTAGTCTAGCAAAACAAATGAACTTGCCATTTCTGCGGCTGTAGTACAGCCATGCTCTACACAACACAAAGGAACCAAAATTGAGGGCCAAAAAAACGGCGCAAGGCATTTTTGTTATGCTGTAACTTTTTACTGCGACATGATGACTCCGCCAAATTTTCGTGAATTATAGAAAGTCTTATAGAATATTACCCACTGTCGCTTGTGTTTTTATAACGCCCGGGTTTCGCGGTGGGACCCTTCAAAAATTTGTCTCCGTTATTTTGGGTCACCCTGTATGTTTACAGATAAACCAAACACAATTTTTTCAAGCTCAACTTTTTCCGAATTGAAATACCAAATTTTTTCCATTTTCGACAAAAATTACCTCCAAAAAACACGATCTCCATTATTGTCTACGAAAGCAAAAATAACGAAGTAAATCATCAACTCCTACGACACAGGTGAGAAGACGAAATGAATGCCGGAAAGATCTCCATAATAACTATTAGACGAAAACTTTCAGGTCGCCAAAACTGCGTATGAATCAATGAAGAAGGCGACAAATAAAACCTCCCTTCCAAAATGGAAAAAGAACCATCGACAAATTGAAAAAAGCGAAAATTCCGCACAAAAAACATATTCTATTATTATACAAGAAAAACAGCGACGAACAAATGGACTCAATGAAACTACAAGCTCTTCGACAACAATTGGCCAATGTGGACTTTGACACCGAAATTTTGGCCATACAAAAAAAGCCGCAGAAAATGAAGACGTTGTTGAGAGAGCTGCGGAATAAAAAAATGAGGCCAAGGCAATGGAACTAATCCTAAGTGCAATGGCGATGAGCTACAAGAGGGAAAGATACCTCAAATTTCGATGAAAGCAAAATGAAAACCGCGTAGCCAAAATTTTTGAAACTCTTCGAGGAGAACCAGAATGGTACGGTAAGCAAACCAAACAAAATACAGTAATTTAACCATAAAATCAAAAAAATTGGGAGCTTTGGTTTTTCTTCAGCATGGATTGGAACTCAAATTTCATAGAAGAAACTGGAGTGAACCAAAAAATCGGATTATTTGAAAAAGGCAGGTTATTTTTTTTTTGCGACACCTCTCACAAAAATCCCGAAAAAATCCTTAATTTCAGCACAATTTTTATAGGAAAGACTTTTTCCTAAAACTACCAATATCTTTTGAAAGCCAACAAGATATGTCAGTATTCATTTCCTGAGATGCAACCAACTATCCCCGTAAATAGTAAAATAGCTCCTGAGGAATTGCTGTAAACCGGCTGCGCACGGTTTGACGTCGCTGGTACGGCAGTAGCCATGAAAGTCCGCGTAGAAAACATGCTCTTGGAGGTATCTTAAAGAAAGTTTCTCTTCAAGAGAAATCCAAAATTAACATACTTGTGCCGTTCGATGGCTTCGATAAAGCGATTCCGAAGTCTTTGAAGGAGATCAGAGCTTTTGCACTGAAATTTTAAGAAATTTATTTCTATCAGTCTGCCGGGAAAATAATGTGGAATGTGGAAATATCGCGTGCAAAATCTCAAACCCGGCTCAAAAAAAAAAAAAAAAAAAAAAACTCACAGTCGGTGGGACGATGATGACGACTTGTTTCAATTTGAACTGTTGGACCAGGCATTTAATAATCTTCGGGAGATTCTCGAAGACATCCGCCAAAGGTTTTCGGTTATCCACTGAGTGAAACATTGTGTTTGTAAGTTCCTTGTCCGGCTCGTGATCTTCGACCATATCCAAATTGAATAGGGCATTGTGAGTGATGGTTATAAAGACGTGTTCTATGGATTTTCCCAGCCTTCTCGGGATATCCTCGAGGACATCGGGGAGGTAACTGAAAAAAAAACTTGGTAAACCGTGGCCCAAAGATCCATCAAATTACAGAACAGCCCTCGAAAAAGAAAAGAATTTTCTGAGACATGCCTCAAAGCCTTACCTTGCACTTTACAGAAACCGTAGAGATTTTTAAGCCGAAATAGACGAAAATTAATATTTTTTTGCGTTATTGGTTTGAAAATTAAAGGTGATTTTGAAAGTGAGGTGTGCAGTATGCAAGAAATCATTTTTTCCGGTCAGAATTCAGAAAGTGATTGTCAAAAATAAATGTTTTTTATGTAGCCGACCCTACTGATTTTACGCACTACGCCGCAGAAAAGACCGTTGAATGTTTCGACTGGTCCACCAAAGATTTCTAGGGAATCTTTATCATGTAAGTTTACAGTGATGGACCTGATCCAGTGGCAAAAAAGTACCATTTTGCATCCGGGAAGCATCAAAAATGTCTCCAAGTAAAAAAACTTCGCTTTGAAGGGCGCGCATTTTTCCTTCACAAATAGAGCAGGCGCGCTTTTGAAATTGGACTTTTTTTCACTTGGACAGGAAAGCATTTTGTCACATTTTTGATACTTCCCGGATGCAAAATGGTACGTTTTTGCCATTGGATCAGGGCCCTCATTGTACACTTTGGTGAGACAGTCGAGAAATTCAACGATCCTTTCTGCGGCGTAGTGCGCAAAATCAGTAGGGTAGGGCTGATAAAAAACATTTCTTTTTGACAATCACTTTTCAAATTCTGTCCGGAAAAAATGATTTCTTGCTTACCGTAGACCTCACTTTCAAAATCACCCTTAATCTTCAACCGAAAGTCGCAAAAAAAGTATGAATTTTCGTCTATTTCGACTTAAAAATCCCAACGGTTCCTGCAAAGCGCTAGGTAAAACTTTCAGACATCTCTTAGACAATTCTATTCTAAATCTACACCAAGTTTCAAACTCGAAGGGTCTAAGTTGGTGTACCCTCAGGGTCGTGGCAGAGCGATTATGACTGACCCAATACCTCAAAAAACGGCTTACTGTGGTCGATAAAAATGGTTCATTTTGCACAAAATCGCTCCCGCCTTTTTCAATAGGGTCGCATTCAGACAATGAAGGGGTTCTTCCACAATGAACAACGATTTTGCCTTCGTTTTGTGGGCTTCTTCCAAGGCGCTATAAAGAGCTGTGTCCATCTGGACTATCGATCGGTTTTTGAATCCACTTCCTTGAATCCAATGCATTTTTAAAAACGGCGGGATCAAAAAGTCGGGGACCTCGTCGGTGAGGGCATCGGGTGTGGTAATGAAGTCGATGAGGGACTGAAAACACGATTTTTTTGGATGAAAATGAAATCGAAGTGGGAAAAAGGTGTTTTATTATCTTTCTGGACCTGCAAAGACCTAAAAATCAAAAAAAAATATAAAAAATACCATACCTGCAGTGGATTGACATACTGCACATTCTCTGGTTTGACCTCCGCCTTGAGCGGTGGCAGATCCGCCTCGTCCACTTCAATCTCTTCCACAATAACTTCCGGCCTCCTTTTCCTCTTCGGTTCATCACTTTCGGAGCTGCTTCCGGCTCGATTACTCACCGGAGTTCTGGGCCGTCTTCTTCGATTATACGACGTCGAAGGTGCTGGCGAATCCTCGCCCTCACTCGACTCTGAATCCTCAACAAATCTAGGGGCTGGCTTCGGCTGATTTTTTCTCGCTGCCTTCGGATTTAGGTCCTTCATGAAGCGTCGTTTCTTCTCGGCCGGAGTCAGCTTGTCGTAGTCCGAACTGACCGGTGGCAAAGCGGGCGTCTTCGTCGGTTTCGGTCGATAGTTGTCGCTGTGCATCGGATTCTTGACTTTGACTCGAGTAATCTCCAGGAATCCGCCAAAACCATCCGGGACTAGAACTGTTTTCACATTCGGGTTTTTCGGCGGCTTCTCCATGATTTGTTTCGGCCTCTCCATTCTTTTTTTGGTAGCAATCTGTTTCTGAAAGGGCTTACGATCTTCTGTAGGGGCCTCTTCAAAGCTCGGACCAGCGACTTCGGCAAAATTATCGTGTTTTTTATCCATAACTTGAGTTTCCCTCGAGCCGTTTCGATGAGCTCGATCTTTTGAATGTATCGAAACGACTGTCTCCTCTTCTTTGACAACGACTCCTCCATTCCAACTCTTTCCTCGGTTATTTTGATGTCCACGGCCTAAACCTAATATCTTAGCGATCCTCATTAATTTTCGAAATTTATACCTAAACATCAAGAATAATATAAAAATGTACCATTATTCCACTGATTTCGTTCGTTCCGATCTCGTTCCTCTCTTTTGACTTTTCTTTCTGCCTGTAGCCGTTCCATCTTCTCCATCTCCGCCAAATGCGCTTTGAAATCAAAGGGCTTCGGATTGAAAGGGTCGTCCTCTACCTAGAAGAAAACTTTATGAATAAGAATAGTAATAGAGCCAAAAGATCGGTACCGAAAACTGTAAAATCGTCAACCGCACCGTGTTAAAACAGGGCGCAAATTTCGGCGACGTACAAAAACATCCTTTTTGATGTCTACTACAAGGTCGAAAAGCCGTTTGCAGCTAATAATAGTTTATTGAACACAAAAAAGAACGTTATTTATGATGCAAATAGTACCCTTAATTGAATGAAGCGCAAATTCAACAAGATTTACCTTGCAGAAAATCAAAACTTCCCCTTCGTCTAGTACTACATCAAAATCGACATTTTATCTCAACCTAAACTCAGAAAAAGAGCAAGAAAAACAACCTACACCTCTAATTTTCTCTGCTTCACGCGATGCTTGAATCATAAGGAGGTTTTCCTGTGTGCCCGACATTCCATACGGCGGTTTTGGCCTGTGATATTTTGGAAGACATTTGACATAGTAGTCGAGCAGATCTTTGTAGTATTCACTTTCGCCATAGCCCGACATTCCATGGAAAAAATATCTGTCCGCTGACTTCCGATAGCTACCCCAATATTCATGTTCAAGAAGAATTCAAGAAGCACAAAAAAAAAAGTATTTATTATTTTCGGCAGGCTGCGCCCTGACTTTTACAGCCTGCGGAAGATTCCGAAGATTTTGCGGTTTTGGCTGACAGGGGAAGTACTTCAAGTGTGACGCTCAGATTTTCTTTAAATTTTGCACACACATCGGGTATGGACTAAATATCAATTCCTGAAAGTTTTAGCTCGCGCTTTGCGGGCGCCGCCGAGATATTGAACGATTTTTGCCGCCGAGAGAGCACGCTCAACGTGGAGAGCGGTCAGAGAGAAAACCGCTTTTTGGCCATAACTTTGGCAGTTCCGTGCGGAAAAATTTGATTTTTTGTAGAAACATTATTCTTTACGGTTGAAATAGGCATGAAACTTTTCGTGCCGAAATTCGGCAAAAAGTCCCAAATTTTCGCCGACTTTCGATCTAAAAATCTCGGTTGTTTCTGCAAAGCGCGAGCTAGGATTCCCGCATATATCTTAGAAAAAATTATTCTAAATTTGTGCCAAGTTTCATCAAAATCTGAGCGTCACACTTCAAGTACTTCCCTTGTGAATTCAAACGATAGAATCTGGAAATACCAATGGAAATAGAGCCTAGAGAGCTGATTTTCATCAATTACCTCAACATTGACGTATACAATTGACGTAATTTGCTAAACAAACTGTTTATTTTGCTGAAACTTTGTTGAAAACGGACAAAAATGTGCTTGAAAATACCGAATTACACATATTTATTCATTCTATTTTCCAAGCTCATCCAAGAACTTGATTAAGAATTAATGGAATTGGTTCTTTTTTGCATATTAACCTGCCTTTTCCAAATCATCCAATTTTTGGTTGACTCCAGTTGCTTCCATGGGAATAACCAACAATAATTGTTGCTGTTTAAGGCCAAAATCCTTGAACAAATGTCGCAGACTGATTATTATAAATGTTAGTAGCATTTTCATAAAGTGCCTGGATTTTTGCGCCTTTGCAGCCATTCATTCGACATTGGTACTGGCATCCTTCATTTTGAGCCCTTCACTGTCGGGAAAATAATGAGCAAAATATCAATGTCACGTGGCTGAAGTGGAAAGCAATTTGAACTTTCCAAGACTCAATTCATTTTCTCCATTTTCGAAGCAATTTTCGATGCGACAGAGTGCTCATTATTTTTCCGACAGACTGATGGATCAACATCTTGAAGTTTGTCTTGCATTTCAACTATCATCTACATGTTTCTTAAAAATTTTCCACGCAATAAATTTTCCAATTTATCAGCACTTCAGCCACTTCAGCGACTCACTTTCGTTATCGCAAAACGCAACAAAAATCCGGACTGACTGTTGGATGTAAGGCGTTGCCCGAAACCCCATAAATCATCGCCGGGTCAGCCGGGATTTGGCGCTCTCTCGGCGCACTCAAAGTCAACAAGAGATGCAGCAGAAAAAAGAGTCGAAAACGTATTTCCCCCGACGACCACATGGGATCTTTTTGCGATCAACAAGACCAAATGATCTTTCGGAATTTTAATCGATATCGACATGCGATATAGGTTTGGAAACAGAATGTAACAAACATCGGCGGTCTGGATAAACGTCCGGAAACTACGGTAAAGTGAAGGAACATATATGCATGTCTCTCTGATTTACAAGAGACAAAAAAAACTTTTTCATTAGGGCAATGTTACCACAAAAATCAACTTTTTTCCGGGCGAAACGGAGATATGGCAAAAAAGTTCGAAAAATGTGACAATTTTTTTGCGAATTTTGGCTTGAAATGTTTCATACCTATTTCTACTGTAGAGCGCAATGTCTCCACAAAAATCGATTTTTTCCGCAAGAAATTGGCAAACATATGGCCAAAAACTTTTTTTTTCTGTTCTCACTGACCGGTCTCCGCGTTTCACGTACTCTCTTGGTCGCAAAGGCCGTTGAATATCTCGGCTGCCCCTGCAAATAGCGGGTTAAAATTTGCAAGCATTGGTAAGTCGCCTATACCCTAAGCATGTGCAAAATTTAAGGAAAATCTGGGCGTCGCACATGGGACCATTATCTCGTCAAATTTTGGAGATCGCCTCCGAAAAAAATGTGAAGTTCCTGGCTTTAAATTTCTTGAACCCGTAAAGAAATTTCGGTATTCGGTGCGGAAACGCTATGTCCAGTTACCGAAGATACAAAAGCCCTTATCCGAGGTACCCAAACCTTGGTCCGGCAGCAATTTTTTTCAATTTTTTTTTGCATTTTTTGCCTTTTCTATCTTTGGGGAAGAACTTGATGTGCAATGCTCAGATTTTCTTCAAATTTTAAATCGATATTTTTAGGTCAGAAGTTGAAAAAATGTAACACTTTTCTTGCGATTTTTGGCGTGAAAAGTAGGATGCATATTTCTACTGTAAAGCATAATGTTTCCACGAAAAAAACAATTTTTTCCCTAGATAAAATTGTAAGAGATATTGCCCAATTTCTTGTCTCTAAACTCTTCCCCTCGCGTTGTGCAAAATCTCGTGCTTCTCCGCTGAAGTAAGGCTGAGAAATCGGTGATTACGTGTTTACTTTCTCCACTTTTCCAAAACGCCTTGTGCGCTACAATATTTCTTCAAACTTTTTTGTGTGACCGCTGTAAAGAGCATAAACAACAATCGAATGCTCCACGTTTTTGTGACCATTAATGCTTTTTACTGCCGTCAGATCGGAAGTTTTCCGATCTAGTCTACTCTATCAAGTAGAAGCGGAATTCCTTTTTAGAACGTTGTGTTTGTGGAGAAAGGCGCTAAGCCGGCAACGCGTATCCATCAAGGCTTCGTAAACTATAATCCAAGCGGCGCTGTTGCTTCGGGATACGCCGGCTCCGACTCGGGCATGACACAAACCACGCCAGAGATTTCGAGATTAAGAGCGATACGGTAGAATCTCCTGGAGATTGATTCTCCTGAATTCCACCGTATTGAGCGTCCATTGAATCTATAAGTTTTGAAGGAAAAATAATGTGGATTGGTAGCGGAAAAACATAGGGACAGAAATGGCATGGAGAGAAAACCGTCTTACAAGGGATCGGCAAAACCGCGCATCCTGGTTTTTTCTTGGAACATATACCATTGAAAGAGCGTAAAAAACTGGTCTAGGATCACCTTTTATTAGCTGCTATTTTTGCTCTACGCCCTTGCTAGCGAGCATTTTTTAAAAAATCCCAGTTGGATTTCATGACTCTACATCACGATGGCTACTATCAGTTTGTAGGGAAAGTAATGAGCATCTGTCGCATCAAAAATCGCACCGCCGCCGAGAAAATGAATTGTGTCGCGACAAAATCAAATTGATTCACACTTCAGCGACGCCATCGGTGAAGCCAAAATGTGCTCATTGTTTTCCCGGCAAAGTGATACTAGTCCGGCCAAAAAGTCGCATTTTTTCGCGGCATGCATTGTGAGAAGAAAGTTATACAGGATGAACTTTGCACAGTGAAATTTTTTTTGTATGGTGCAATATGCTTTTCTGGGCTGTCGCTAACCTTTTGCAAAAAAACAAAAATCACTCCATCGACTATACGAACGGGCTAGTAGAATAGAAGACCCTTTTCATCTCGATCTACTCCTAGTTCGTGTCAAAAAGTGCAATGTTCCCGATCATGTTCGTGTACTGATCTTTTCGTCGCCATGCCATCGATTTTCCGCAATTTCCAACGAGAATCTCAAAGACCTCGAGAGTGATTCCCACTCTCTCTTGATTATAAATCAGCATCGATCATCCCGAGGGTTTTTTCATAACAACCCCCAACCCAGTGCAAGCAGCGTGCGGTGCGCATTGACCGCGGCCGGCTACGCGTATGTTCTGTGACGCTTCGCGGCGCGATGATCGACTATTCTCGCTGGTAGGCGAAAAAAAAGTATCGTAGATCCCGTTTTGTGGGTGCCGGAACTTAGGTTGCGAGTGTTGAAAAAACGTTGCAAATTCCGATTTTTGATTTCCTAAAAATGGAGGGATTGACGCGATTTCGTTGCAACCGTAACCTACTTCCCGTTTCGGAAGCTACGCTTTTGAAGGGATCAAACTTGATGTAGGTAATTAATCGTATTACCGTATAATTGTTGGATTTTTGAACTCAAGGTAAAAAAAAATAAAAATTTTTTTTTCTGTGACATTACAGTGTCAGTAATATCAGTATATATTTCCGTAAAGTGGATAGACATTTTTTTTCTTTCGCACAGTGCATTTTGGACTTTTTCGGCTCTTGTCGCCAACGCACAGTGCATTTTTCCCTCTTTGCACGGTGCAAGCCACAAAAAGCCGTTGCACTGTGCATTTCACCTTTTTTTGGTTTTGCACTGTGCGGCAAAATATCGCTGCGACAAAAGCGAGTTTCAACTACGTCGCTCCGTCGCACAGTGCAAATGGTTTTTTTTTGAGGTTTGCACAGTGCAAGTTGCTGGCGACAACTGAAACTTCCTTATGTTGCAACGATATTTCGCCGCACAGTGCAAAAATCAAAAACAGGTGAAATGCACGGTGCAGGTTGTGCGTTGCTCTGTGTACGGTGTGGAGCGGGACGAAATGTGAAAAATAAAAAATGGAAGTCTCAGCAAAGTGTGTAGCCTACGGTTTAATGACCGGTACATCCACTTTCTGTTTTTACGGCGTGGGAAATGAAATATCAGGAAAGTTTCTTTATGCCCTATCGCAAAAAAACTCGGTCAAATTGCAAACAGTAAAATATTATAATTGTTAGCAATTCAGCAGACGAAACCGGAATTTTTTTCCGTCATTATGAATACGGTAGACAAGGATTTTTTCTCCCGACTGGCCGACAGTAAAATTGCAAATAGAAATGAAACTTTTTTTATCTACTAGTCCGTTCGGAAAGTTGCTGAAATAACTTTTAGAATTTGCACATTGCAAAAAACAGAATCCGAGGGCAGCCCAAAGAAGCCATTTGCACGGGGCGAAGACCAATAAATTGCACAGTGCAAAGTGAGATGTTTTTTTCTCACAGTGAATGTCGAAAAATCATTCCAGCAACTTTCCGGACGAACTTTCAGTTTGTCGGGAAAATAATGTGGATTTGTCGCGCCTTGGAATCGCCCACCATCGCGTTGCGACACCCAGTCGGGGCTGGAGATTTGGTGCGCGACTACGGCTGTGATCCACATTATTTTCCCGACGGACTGATGTCATAAAAATGTTTTTTCTTCTCCGTATAATTACACGGTAACTTGTGACATTCTAGCCTTACCATTTCCACCAAGATACTGTCCAATAAATGAAAACCAAAAAAACGAAGCCATAAAATTCCAACCGTTTTCGCTACAAAACACTGCAGCTACAAGGGCGTTGAAAGACGCAAAAAAAAATCACGCAGATCGGCGCCTTGATGGATTGCCGATCACCCGGTTAAAGCCAATCAAAAGACATGCAAAGAACCGTCCGGCAAACCTCAACGTTCTCCGTTCCGGGACCGTAACTTTGAAAAGTCGCCTCACCGCCACGACCTTCACGGAACGTTTCGCCATTGCAACGGGTCCGACAACGTGATCGACTTGAGGACCCAAGAACAGTCATTAATAACTCTGCGGGACGCGGTGTGTAAAGAGGTTGGTGTGGCAAGGGACAAATCAAGTGCATTTATTTCTCAAGCAAATATTGATGTTAAGTCAATTTATTTATATTACAATTCCAGTATCATCAGTCGGGAAAGTAATGAGCAGTCTGTCGGATTGAAAATGGCATCGCTGAGAAAATGAATTGTGTCGCGACGAAATCGAATTGTTTTTCACCTCAGCGACATGATGGGTGCAGCGAAATTGTGCTCATTATTTTCCCGACAAATCTACCAATTGTCTATTAGTCTGTCGGGAAAATAATGTGGATTCGTCGAGCCTTAGGAACGCTCATCATCATTTGCGAACGGCTCCCTTGCGTTGGGGTTTCATGGATTGGACCCGCGTGCTTTACGTTAGTATGTCATCACATCTTCGTCAATGTCGCAATTGGCTCTCACAGCTACTATTCCTTGATAGTTATATGTTGCAGTTGGGTTGCTTCTGAATCAGTGTTCATCTCGAACCTCTGAAATTTTTAAGATTATTAGGAAGAAAAAATAACGGACAAGCAGCAAACGCGAACATACCCGAAAATCACTTGCAATTTCAAAACTTTTCCGGGGGATATTTTACCGGTTTCTTCGAAATACCCGACATAGGATTGGGACTGTTAAAAAAATCAGAGATAATTATCAGGGCGCAAAAACATAAGAAAAGGAATACTTTGCGATACAGCAAAAACACGAATGGCCCAACATATTGCAATAGGGTATAGAAAATACACACATACTACAATAAGGTATAGCAAAGAACACAATACACCGAAGTTAAACCAAAAGTCGTTTTGTCGGGAAAAAATAAGTATTGAGATCTATAGCTTTAGCTATCAGTTTGTTGGAAAAATAATGGGCACAATGTCGCTGCGCCCATCGTGTTGCTAAGGCATAAAAAACTGATTTTGCCGCGACAAAATTGATTTTTCGGCGGCAATACGGATACGGTTTTCGATGCGACAGAGTGCTCATTATTTTCCCGACAGACTTATATAGAGCGGAAAAATCTAAAAGTTTAAAGAACCGGGTACGGTATTTTCCCGATGAATAAATCTCCTATCAATCATCGGCAGCCAAGTTTTTTCCTTTTACGCAACAACGGTAACCACCAACCTGCCGTTTCATCAAATTCCACGCAACCCGGATCTGGTGTGATGTTCGGGATAAGAGAGCAAAAAAAGGCACCGAAACAACGAAACATCTCTCTGGTCACAGCGCCGGCGCAAGACTTACAGTAGGGCGGGGGAGAAACCCGTCTCCGGAAACCCGTCCGCAACGTCAACAGTTTTCGTGCGCTACGTATGAACGCAATCCGTCAAAAGTGTTTCCAGCAACATGCCCACATGGCGGCGCGGGCGCTTGCTTCAGCCCACAAACGCGTGTGCAAGACGAACTCGATGAATTTTGTTGGGGAAGACGGCACGAAAAGACAGAATTGTGTCTTGTTGTGTTAGGATGTTGAGTAGTTTCTACCCAGTTATGACAAAGTTTTCATCGTGCACTTGTTAGTGTTGGGTCTTCGAGGGATCTGTCTATGTTTTAGTTGTGGAAAAAAAGACTTCCTTTTCCAGCGGCTACAACCAAGGAAATCGGAAGGCATTTATTTCTAGCTTGCGCCTAAGAGAGTAGCGCTTTCAAAAAATCAACTTTTTTCGCGCCAAACTGCCAAAAGTATGGCCAAAAAATCGTTTTTCTACCCGCCCGCTTTCCACGTTTTGCGTTTTCTCTCGGCAGCCAAAATCGTTGAATATGTTGACTGCCTTTGTAAAATGCAAGCAAAAATTTTAAGGAGTTTATAGTATGTGTCTTATACCAAACGTGTGTAAAAAACCTAAAGAAAATCTCCGTGTGGCACGCGGTCAACTTTCCTAATCAAACACCCCTTCTTTTTTTAAGGTAATTGAGTTTAATAACTGACACGCCCGATTTGATGCTGTGTCCGTATGTCGGGAAAATAACGTGGACTTGACGCGCCTTGGAGTCGCCCGCCATCCCTTTGCAACGGCTGCGACAAGGCGAGAAATTTTGCAGCGACAAGTCCATATTATCTTCCCGACAGACAAATATTTTTCAACCATTGAGGTTTCTTATGACTAGAGGTGGCAATCGGGCTGGGCCGGCCAGGCCCGGCCCGGCCGGGCCCGGTGATTGGGCCGGGCCGGGCCGGGCCTGAGCAGATTTGAAAAAGCCCTGGGCCGGCCTTACCGCTTCGGCCCGCGGGCCGGGCCGACAGTTTCGGCCCGGCCCGGCCCGGAAGGTAGATAAATAAAAATTTTTTAATGCTAAACCAGCAAAATAAAGCACAAATGCTTTGTAGAATGGATGGAAATTAGATTAAACCTTTTTTGACTTATACGCTGTTTTACTACCTTCTAAAATTATGTATAGTATGTATATGTAACTTATTTATTATGTATATAGAAAATCCTACCCAAATATGCAAGGGTGGGGCAAAAATCTTAGATTTTTTTATGATAAATTTAAAAATTTCACTGTAATTTTGATTCCTTGATGTAAATGAAAGTGTTTAAACAGTTTTTGGTTAACCATGTAGCCTTATAACGTCCATATTTTTATATAGCTAACTTCCTATAGGATTAAAAAATTCAACACAATCCTACTTTTTGGCTAGGTTTTAGCTACCTGTACGGATGTTCCAGTCATCCGACTACACTTTTTAATGTCACGCATACACACGTAAAAACCTTCTGGAAAGCATAAGAACTTCCAGTAGAAGTGCAAAGACTTTTATCCAACTTTTTTGTATTAGCGGGCCAAACCGGGCCGGGCCGGGCCGGCCTGGGCTTCCACCGGGCCGGGCCGGGCCTGAGCAAATTTGAAAAAGCCCTGGGCCGGCTTGGTCACTTCGGCCCGCGGGCCGGGCCGCAAAAATCGGCCCGGCCCGATTGCCACCTCTACTTATGACCTTGAACCCTATTTCCCTTGCCAGTGCCCTATTCATAACAAAGTCAATATTTGAAACCACGTTCCCGAATTGACTTCCTTGTTATTATCACAAGAGTTATGACCCCGATAAAACCGGATAAACCGGATGACTTCAAGTTTCTGCACGTTTCGCTCCGGTTAGGATTGCTTCCTGTACCAGGCGGGCCAAAGTCTTGATATTTTAAGCCGGCCGGGCCGTGCGCGAATTTGTGGCTAGTCCTGTTTTTTGCACTGATATTGTTTTTTAGAGCAATTTCTACCTAATTTTTGCAACAGCGTAACCTCCTCTGCATAGCAAAAACATTCTTTAAAAAAATTGATTTTTAGGACCTGTGTGAGTCGCTGTGCACGGCAACCCGAAATAGAAGAAAGCATAATACTTTCCTTTTCTTTTCAGCACACCATGACGTTTACATGGCGGCTACTTTTAGTAGCCTGCCTTTCGCTGGCAACCGAATGCAAAACTTCCGAAGAAGCGCCAAACAAAAACTTTAAGCGCGTGGAAGGCACGAATTCGTACGAACTAAGTGTGAAAGACGACGATATGATGCAAATGTATCAGAAGTGGATGGACACTGGAATGAGCTCGTTGTTCAGTGCAATCGCCAATAAAAAGTACGGAAAGTTGACAGGGAAATAACTCAAATGCGAAGCTTAGATTTTGATAAAGCTTGGCACAAATTTAGATTAGTTTTTCCAAGACGTATGGAAGCCTTCCAGCTCGCGGTTTGCAGAAACGACCGAAATTTTTAACACGAAAAATGACATTTTTTTTGCAAATTTTGGCATGAAAAGTTCCATGCTTATTTCAACCGTAGTGGTCAACGTTTCCACAAAAAATAGTTTCTTCATTCAAGAAACTGGCAAAGATATGGCCTAAAAGTCGGTTTTCTCTGACCATTCTCCGCATTTTACGTACTTTCTTGGCCGCAAAGGTCGTTTAATATCTCGGTTGCGTACGCAAAGCGTGAGATAAAATTTCCAGGAATTGATGAGGTCGCGAAGGTCAACTATAACCCAAAATCAGCCTTTTATGATACAACAAAACATACAACAAAACCTTTGTGTAACGAACAGATTTTTTTGGAGCCTAGCGATTCGTTCAAAGAACCTCTCTATAACGAACAATTTTAGAGGTTGCGAAAGTCAATTTTAAGAAAACATGAACCTTTCTACAACGAAACCTTTCTATAACGAACAAAATTTTTCGGGTCCTAGCGATTTATTGCACCGACCTTTTGAGATACTTACAACGAAAACCTCCCTATAACGAACAATTTCAGAGGTTGCAAAAGTCAGTTTCAGGCCAAAATAAGCCTTTACACAACGAAGGCTTTCTATAACAAAAAAAATTTTTTGGTTTCTAGCATGGGTTTTCTCAAGAAACCACTTTAAAAACGTAATTTCACACCCCTGTTTCAGACTAAAAAAGCATCGAAAGTCGATAGCCACAAAGTTCGGGGAATGCTCAACGTCCGCCGACGATCTCATAAAGCACGCCAAGTGCTTGAAACAACTGCTGAACCACAAATTCGACACTCCAAAACCGAAAAAATTCAATCGCTTCAATCGCTATCGCCAACACAGAGTTGGCGACGAGGACGAGGAAAGTGGTTTCAAGCAACAACTGGATGAAAACACAGTGAGAAGCAAGAGGGAGATCAAGTCCGCCAAGGGATACAGGATGAAGGGAAGCAAGGTGGTGATGACACCGATGATGCAGGTAAATAAAGACATAACAATTGCAAAGGTTGAAAAAATAAAGGTTACTATGGCTCGACGGTTTTTGCAAACCGAACAACGATTCAGCCCGCAGAATCGGCGTTCTTGAATGATTAAGATTTTTTATCGAATTTTGACGTGAAAAGTTTCATAGTTACTGAAACGCATGATGTTTCCACAAAAAAATTAAAATAAGCTTTTCCATGCGCAACTGCCAAAGATACAGCTAAAAAGCGTTTTTACCTCTGCCCATACTCTCTCTTTCGCCCACTCTCTCAAATGACAGAATTTGGCCAAAAACTATTTTCTCTGACCGATCTCCATGTTTGGCCAATATCTCAGCTGTCCACCCAAATCGTGAGTTAAGCTTTTCAGAAACTGATATTTAGCCTATATCCAACTTGTGCGCAAAACACAGTAAAAAAAAATGCTCGTTGCACTTCGGATAATTTCTTGTAAATTCCTCTCAGCAAAAACGTCCTTTCACAAACTGGCTTACAAAAAACTTTGCAATTTCAGATGCACTAAAATTCGCCTCAAAAGTCTACAGCATATTTGAACCCTTTTTATCGCCAACTTACTTTTTTTTAGATAGCAAAAAGCATTTACGACTCGGTGAAGCAGGCGTCCAACAAGACCGAGCTCCCCAAATGGCAAAACACCATCGAAAGCCTCAAAACCAACGGCAAAGCGCTGAAGAAGAAGCGCAAAGACATTGAGGACACTAGCGATGAGAGTCTGGCCACTATGGGGCTGCAGGGTCTGAAGCGGCAGGTCAACCGCAATGACATCCAGTTCGAAGGCGAGTTGGAGGACATCCAAAAAGACCCCGCCAAACTCAAGCGACTCATGGCCGAAATCAAGAAGAAGAAGGGAAACACCCCGGAGGCAAAGGTCATGGACATTGTGCGCAGTGCGATGGAGATGGGCTACAATATCGCGGGGCAGAACACGTCGAGATTCTACAATAGCACGATGAGAATTGCGTCGCCCAAATTTTTGGAGCTCTTCCCGGATAGTGGAAATGATACGGTAGGTAGAAAAGTGGTTGTAATCAAACTATCAGTCCGTCGGGAAAATAACGACCACTCTGTCGAATCGAAAATCGCATCGCCGCCGAAAAAATGAATCGTGTTGCGATGAAATCAAGTTGCTTTTCACACGCGATTGGAACAGCGAGAGTGCGCTCATTATTTTTCCGACAGACTAATACTATCGAAATTGGATGTCTGTCGGGAAAATAATATGAGAGAAAAAAGGTAATTTTAAACCCTGCGGGTTCTTGCCTTTTTGCGCTGCCTCTATACAAAATAAAAAATATCTTCGTTATGGAAAGCTTCGTTGTATAGAGGCTTTTTCGACGAAAAAGTGCCTCTAGGAATGCCTGTAAGTGTTCGCTAGAGACAGGTTTTGTTACACAGGAATAAGCCTAAGGTGCCAATATAAATTTGCTTTCAGGTGAACCTAATATCCCCATCGTTATTCGCTCTTCACGAAAGCGACGATCCAATTGAGAATCTGACAAGTATTCCCAATTTGCTCAAAGGGTTTGGCCTTCAAGAGCACCAACTGTGGCTTGATGTCATCATGGAAGCGGCTGGGGTCAATGATAAATCGGAGGACATCGAAAAGGCAGGCATTTTTTCATAAACTTAGTCTGAGCATTTGTCCAAAAAACAGTGAAATGCACGGTGCAAAATGGTCTTTTTTGTGCAAATGCGCGACGCGACAAATGCCCATGCACTTTATGAAAATACTGATCAAAACCCGACAGAAATCAAGCGTAAATGTTTTTACAAACGGAATTAAAAGTGCAAAACCACCCTTTCCTTTAAAAAAGACACGAATCTTAAAAGTGAAAACAAAAAAAATCACCGACGTTTTCTTGGGTTTTCGGGTTTCTGCTCTGATGTTTGAGCGGCGAACCGGCGGCGCGCGGCGTGCAGGCTCCGGAATGATGATTGATCTGCGTCTCGCGACGTTTTTTAAAAACCCCACCGTCAACTGTTGATCTTTCAGGAGCTCAAGGAGGCCGGCAAGAACCAAACCGCGCAAATGGTGGACATGATGAAGGAGATGGTGGACGAAAACAATGTCCCATTGTACCCGACCGAGCAGAACGCCACCGAATGGGGCGAGTCGCAGGCGGTCTTTGACTTCTGGACCAAAGTGCGCGATTCCTACACGAAGGATCAGTTGCGCGAACTCAATCACACCGGCTATGCAATTTTGAACAAGGAACAGATTACGCTGCTGTACGGGCCCGAGTCCAGACTCTACAATAAGACCAAATATGAGCGGCTGATGAGTATGAATGAGGAGGAGATTCATGAGGAAATGGAGAACCAAATTCAAATGATGGCAGAGATGGAGAGCTTTAAGCTCCGCAAAAAAGACGTCGTTTTGTCAGCAACATTGTTCACGTGGGTCGTACTCAACCCCACCACAACATCACAGCCCTTTATTTTGGCCCCACTGCTTTTCGACCCGATTATCCTGTCGCCCTCGATCTACGGCGCTGTAATCTTAACGCCTTGGGTGTTTGTCCCGTTCGTCTTGTCCCCTCGTGTTTTGGGTTGCATTATCCTAGCCCCATGGCTGTTCTCCCCTCTAATTCTAACTCCCATCGCACTCCATCCTGCTATTCTGTCGCCCGGCCTTTTCAATCCCCTAATCTTGTCGCCTCTAGTACTGGTACCCTTCATTTTGTCGCCTCAAGTTTTCACACCAATCATCTTGAGTCCATTGTGTTTGGACCCGGTAATTTTGAATCCGCTAGTCGGATCCCCTCTAATTTTATCGCCTTTTGTCCTAACTCCCACCATTTTGTCGCCGCATTTCCTCGGAGGACTGATTATGAGTCCTTACGTGCTCTCACCTGTCTTGTTATCACCGTTAACGGCCTTTGTGGCCTTGTTGTCTCCTAGTTGGCTTAGCTAGGCCAAGTTGAGTCTGCATGTAACATCTTGGGACAGGTCCGTCCTAGTCACTCTAAAACCTCAAGTCTTGGTATAGTGGAACCTTTTTATAACACTCCTAGTCTTACTGAATTTACCGGTAAGGACTTTTGGCACGCCCCTTCTATTTCGGTCAGTTTTATGGCCTTGGGTCTGGCCACTAATTACAAAAAATTGTCCCAGACTAATCGTCCTAGAAAGGTTCCCCCTTACTCTACTCACCTGCAATTAATTCAAACTTCTAACATTCCTCGATAGCCGGCCATGTGCAACATTACCGTATAATAATTGTAATAAACCATCCACCCTCTCAACCGATATCGCTAAACACGCGGCATCACCGTTGTCCTCCACACAGAAGTGATGACGAAGAGGCTTTGCGTTTTAGATTTCGCCGCCGATCCTCCCCTTCCCGACGAAACCTTGATGCCGGGAGTTTGTGCCCAGGTCAACGACCATCGGTGGGTTACGCACAAACGGCGGAGTCGAAAGCGCCCTTCAAAAGTTGAACGCGCTGGTTCCGGATCTCGTTAGCGAATCAGCAACGGGGCTTCATTGTTTCAGGTTCCCGTGGAGGCATGGCTTACTCGTGTCGCAGGGGCGGAGAAAGCGACAAAAACACACGGCGCGGGCGAGGCAATATCGTATGCCTTGAATTTAGCGTGTGGTTTGTGGGCAGAAGGGGGCGACCAAGTCTCAATGGTTGAAAAAACATTAAGACGGAAATCCTTTCAAACGGATAACCAAAATCAATTGCACTCGGTGGCAGTGTTTGTTACACACCGAAGAGGTTGTGGTTTTTGCCTGCGGCATTCTTCAGCTTTTTAGTGTCGGATGTAACGTATCGTACTGGGGGTACGATTTGTGGGATGATTTGTGACGTAAGGTTCCGTGTTGCCACCGGCTTCAAAACCGGAACTTGAAACCGGCTTGGCCTATTGTTTTGAGCAATGCCAACTCAACGAAACACCCCGTCGAATTTTAATCCATCTTCAAGCCCAGAGAATTGTATTTTTTCAGCTACTCGGTTCCATGCTGCTGCTCGCTCTTGCAGCATGCCTTGTCGCCGTTACGGTAGGCAAGGAAACGGTAGACCTAAAAGTTGCGACTGGGGAATTGAAACGAGTGGAAGGAACAAATTCGTATGAACTCGGCGTAAAGGACGACGACATGCTCCAAATGTATCAGAAGTGGATGGACACTGGAATGAGTTCGTTGATGAGCGCCGTTGCGAACAAAAAGTAGGCAAGACTCCCATGGGAACACTTGCAATTACTTGTAGACTAAAGAGGCACCGAAAATCCACAGCCGACAAGTTTGGAGAATGCTCGTCCAAAGCAGATGACGTCATAAAGCATGCAAAATGTCTGAAGAAGCTGTTCAACCACAAGTTTGAGACACGGAAGCCGAAGAAAATCAACCGCTTTGATCGCTATCGACAGCACAGGAATGGTGAGGAGATAGAAGAAAAGAGCAGCTTCCGACAGCAATGGGACGATAATGTTGTCAGAAGAAAGAGAAGCGTAAAATCAGCAAGCGGCTATAAGATAAAGAAGAATAAAGTCATAATGACACCGATGATGCAGGTAAGACGAAACCTAGTCCATCAGAAAAGAAATATTGCTAATGCTTTTGCAGGTGGCCTGATGCAGGTGACACTATCAGTCTGTCGGGAAAATACCGTGGATTTGTCGCTGAAAAATAATTGCAATTGCGCACAAAATCCACAGCCGCAGCGTCACAAAGCAATAATCGACGATTTTAAAGCGAGACGAATCCACATTATTTTCCCGACTGACTGATTACAAGGTTGTTGCTCAAGGTTCGACCCCCGTATTTACCTTAAAATTTTGCATATAAGCACCTTGTATGGAGTCATTTTACCAACCGTCCGCAATACGTTTTACAAGACCTCCCTCTCAATTAAAACTCTTTTCAGATAGCAAAAAGCATCTACGAGTCGATCAAACACTCGACGAACAAAACAGACCTCCCCAAATGGCAAGACACAATAGAAAACATCAAAAACAACGGCTTAGCTTTGAAGAAAAAGAAGAAAGAACTTGAAGATAAAAGCGACGAAAGCCTTGACGCTATGGGCTTGCAAGGAGTAAAACATCAGCTTGACAAAGATGCCATAGATTTTGACGGGGACTTGGAGGACATTCAAAAAGACCCAGTCAAATTTAAGAAACTTATGGCAGAGATAAAGAAAAAGAAAGGAAATACGCCGGAGTCAAAGATCATGGATCTGGTGAGGAGCGGCATGGAGATGGGCTACAAGATGGCTGGAAAGGACACATCGAAATTTTACAACAGCTCAATGAAAATTGCCTCGCCAAAATTTTTCGAGCTGTTTCCGGAAAAGGACAATGATACGGTAAGCCGACGACTAAAAAATCAGCACTGCAAAAACGGAATGCAGTGCAGTGAAGAAAACCATTACAAAGGAGTTCTCGGTTACCCTCTTTGTAAAACGTTTGTATCTTATTGGCTCTTTAGGGACATTCTTCCAAAACCGGACCTTTCTTTGCGAACGGGAAAACTCTCTTGGTCGGAAATAGAATGGGTTAATTTTCGAGCGAGAGAGCATTTTTCTCTCTCTTCTTATTCAGAAAATATGACACGAAGTGTTACAAGCGATCAGAATTCATGCTAGACCGATAACTCGCGCTTTGCAGAAACGACCGAGATTTTCAGTTTAACTTGCGCTTCAAACGGGTGGTTTTTAAGACTTGAATACTTGATTAGTCAATTTTAGAACTCAAAATCTCGCTTAATTCTGTAAAACGCGAGCTAGGAATTGTGCACATGCCCAGGAAATTGACTTATGTTATCCTTGGAAAACATTGCTCCAAACCCCAACAATTTTAGATAAACCTGATATCCCCTTCCTTATTCGCGCTTCATGACAGCGATGATCCAGTTGAGAATTTGACAAGTATTCCTAATATGATGAGAGCATTTGGCCTTGAAGAGCATCAGGTCTTCCTTGACATTATCATGGAAGTGGCTGGTGTCAATGAGAAGTCCGAGGACATCGAAAAGGTAATCCTGGGAAACTCAAGATCAATAACTTGCAAATCAAATAATTACAGCAGCTGAAAGAAACGAGTAAGAACCAAACCGAGCGAATGTATGACGCGATGAAAAACATGGTGGATGAAAATAACGTCCCATTATACCCGACCGAGCAAAATGCAACTGCAATGGGACACTCGCCTGAGAAGTTTGAGTTCTGGCAGAAACTACGCGATTCCTACACTAAGGATCAGCTGAGGGAGATGAATCATACCGGTTATGCTGTGTTGAACAAACAGCAAATTACTGCACTTTATGGGCCACAGTCCCATTTGTACAACGAGACCAAATACAATCTGCTGATGAGCATGACTGAAGAGGAGGTTCATGAGGAAATGGAGAAGCAAATAGAAATGATGGCCGAAATGGAGAGCTTCAAGCTGCGCAAAAAAGACATCGTTTTAGCCCCAACACTGTTCACATGGGTGGTACTGAACGCCCCGTTGGCATCTCAGCCCTTCATTCTGTCCCCGCTGCTGTTCGACCCGATTATCCTGTCGCCCTCAATCTGGGGCGCTGTAATTTTAACCCCCTGGGTATTTGTTCCCTTCGTCTTGTCCCCTCGTCTTCTGGGTTGCATCATTCTGTCGCCTTGGTTGTTCTCTCCCATTATCTTGACACCTATCGCGCTCCATCCCGCTATTCTGTCTCCCGGCCTTTTCAATCCTCTAATCCTGTCGCCTACTGTCATGGTGCCCTTCATTTTGTCGCCCCAAGTCTTTACGCCCATCATTCTTAGTCCGCTTTGCATGGATCCGCTCATCCTGAATCCTTTGGTCGGATCCCCGCTGATCTTGTCACCTTTTGTCCTAACCCCTATTATATTATCACCTCAGTTCCTCGGAGGTCTTATTATGAGCCCCTACGCGCTCTCGCCAGTTATTCTGTCGCCTTTAGCGGCTTTCGTGGCCTTGCTATCTCCCAGTTGGCTGAGTTAGGAGGATCGCCCTATTCTTTCAAGAGCCTCAGTTCCTGCCGTTGTGCAATAATAATGTCATGTGTGCCAAGGCCACATATAAATATATTCAAATATAATAAAGGTATTAAAGAGTTTTGTGTCGTTGCCCAAATCAGTTCGACAAGTGTTTACTATAATGTTTACTAAACATCAAGCCCGTTATGACGACGGATTCCCATGATCATTAGCAACGCTAATAACTGCTTAACAAAAACTATTTTTTCCCTCTCCCAACATCTTCCCTATGGTACTTACCTGCAATTTGGACAAGCATCGCTGGTCTTGATTTACCGTATGGTGCGGTAATAACTGTAATTCTCTTCAATGTTGGAATCTTCGTTTCTTTTCAGCGCCGAAGCGAGACTGATGGCAAAACGCTAAATATCAGTTTGTCGGGAAAATAATGAGCGACACGATCGTGCGCCGATGGTGTCGCTGAAGTGAAAAGCAACTTGACCTTGCCGCGAATCAATTTATTTTCTCAATTGCGATGGGATTTTTGGTGCGACAGGGTGCGCATTATCTTCCCGACATACTAATACAGGGTGCGGCAATTTTTCGGCCGGATTTTAATTGGCCATAACTTTTTTAGTTTTTGGGCAAATGTTACAATTCTTTTTCTCCGTCAATCCATAGACAACCCCATTTTGTTTAATGCTAAATATGTTATACCCATTTATTAGACTACAGTAAAAATTCAATACAAAGAAAAAGCTCTTGTTTTCATAGCTGACAATGGAATTACCCCTAGTGCGACTCTCAGATTTTCTTTAAATTTTGCACATGGGCCGGACATAGGCCACACATCAATTCCTGAAAGTTTCAGCCCGCACCTTTCCGGGGCGACCAAGATATTCAACGATTCTTTGCGGTCAGGAGGGTACATGAATGGTCACACAGAAAAACTTTTTGGCTATATTCTCGCTAGTTTTGTGCGGAGATAGCTGATTTTTTGTGGACAAGGTATCCTCCATGGCATGAACAGGCATGAAACTTTTTACGACAAAATTCGTAAAAAAAGTCATTTTTTCTGGCGATTTTCACACACGCCGAAAAAGCAGAGAAAACGACCGAAAGGCCAATAACTATGAACAAGGTCCCTGTATAACATATTTGGTATTGAACAAAATGGGGTTGCCTGAGGATTCAGGGAAAAAAGAATTTTAACATTCGGATAAAAACTAAAAAAGTTATAGCCAATTCAAATCCGGCCGAAAAATTGCCGCACTTTTTAGCTTTACATAAGGACCGAAATTTTCGCATTCGGCTTGGGTAAGAAAAGGAAATCACGGTGACGGCCGCGACAAATCGAATCATAATACGGCTTTCCTGAGGATTAGGCCCTTTTTGCCCTCCCGACCAGATAGCCAATGAGTTGAAATATCAGTCAAACTTTTTAATGGCTAGCCTAATATAAAAATTTCCGCGGTTTTTTGCACGTTCACCTTTTTTGGCATTGCGTTGCGCATCTTGAAAATCGCTGTGACACAAGTTTGTCTCGACCGCGCCGCCGCGTTTCGCTGAAGAATTTGCACAATGAAAACGGGGTTTTTCAAAAATAGAAAAAAAGTTAAAAGGGAAAAACTTCATAATATGTATTATCGTCGTCGTTCTTTGGGTTTTCGACTTTCTGTTTTGTGTTTGAATGATAGACTGATGACGAAAAAATGATCCGCGACACAAAGGCTTCGGAATGACGATGGTTCTCCCACGTCAAGAAGACATAAGGCAGCGTCAAGCAATGGAAATTTCTTGGCATTCTGTTTCAGGCCGAGAATGATTTTTTTTGTCCCAAATATAAGCTGGTACATGATTTTTTTGCTCCAATTATAACCTGGGAGGTAAGGTGGAATGATGTTAGTGCATACGCAAAAAGTCCTGGGAATTTCCAAAGTGCCGTTTTGTGGCATCACGCAAAAAAATCGGCCGTCTTCTATCTGTTGCAGGCCTAAACTGACAACGGATAAATTTTTTTTGTGGTCTCGCCGACTTCTCTAACAATAAGGGTTTGCCTTGTCCTTGTTCAAATGTGCTGCACACTCCAGTTTTATACAATATTTAGCCTATCATCCATAAAATACGTCATTGAGACGAATTTTTTGGCTCTCCGAAAAGCGAAACTGGATTAACCGTTGACATGCCGGTCTCAAACCCTATGCTCATCAATTATATCTAAACTCTAGAGAATTCACGCGCTCAGGAGACAGCACTAATTTTTAACAATATCACGTAAACCTTTATACATGTTCCTGTCTAGTCTATAGTGCTTTCAATAAACAAATAAAAAAATATTATAAATATTTACCTGCAACCCAAACTACTGCCATTCCTCGAGAGCCGGCCATAAAGCAAGATTACCGTATAGCATTTTGTGACAAGTCATCAAATCTCTGCAGCGCCCTTAATATTTCTGAGAGAATCGGCGCAGCGCTAAAGGCAATAATGATTTCGCACCATAGACTTTCTTGCCGGGTCCACCCTTTCCCGGAGAACCTTGTGCATGGAGTTTGTGCTGCGCAGGCGATGATAGACAAAGCAGGCCTCGAAAGCGCCCTTCTAGTCGAACGCTGTGATTCCGGAAACAGAGAACGAATCAGCAATGGGCTTTGCTGTTTCAAGCTCAAGGGGCATGACTTACTCGTGCCGCCGGGGCGGGTAAAACGCCAAAACCACACGGCAACGGCAATGCAATACAGTATCTCGTGGGCTGGACGTGTTGTTTATGGAGAGAGGGGGCGAAAAGTTGTCTGAAACATTCAGAGATCCTGTGAAACGGGAAACCACAAAATTCGTCCGGTTGGAGTGTTTGTCTAAGATTGAAGAAGTTGTGGTTTTTGACATGCGGATTTCGGCAGGTTTCTAGTGTCTGATGTGGTGTATCATGGTGGGGGTTCGACTCGTTGAATATAATATATCAGTCTTTCGGGAAAATTGTGGGCGCAACGTCGCTACACCGATCTGAAGTGAAAAGCAGCTTGATTTTGTTGCCACACAATTAATTTCCTCGGCTGCGATGCGAGTTTCGATGCAACAGAGCTCACTATTTTCCCGATATGCTGATACATCTGTTAGGCACGTGCTTTTCAACTATAGATATTCTATCAAAATGCAGTCAATTTTCCAGCTTCACAAACCCATCTTTCAGAAAATCGTCATTACATGCTGCGGAGAATTTTAGCCGCATATTTGGTCGTAGTTGCGGTATGCAAAAACACAGTAGACCCGAAAGTGTCGGCGGAGAAATTAAAACGTGTTGAAGGAACAAATTCGTATGAACTCGATGTAAAAGACGACGACATGATGGTGATGTATCAGAAATGGATGGACACTGGAATGAGTTCGTTACTAAGCGCCATCGCTAATAAGAAGTAGGTCAACGATGATCTTGAAATGTGATTTTAGACTAAAGAAACATCGAAAATCAACCTCCGATAAATTTGGAGAGTGCTCCTCAAAAGCAGATGACGTCATAAAGCAGGCAAAATGTTTGAAGAAACTTTTGAAACACAAATTTGACACGCCAAAGCCCAAAAAAATCAACCGCTTTGATCGGTATCGACCCCATAAAATTGGTGAAGAGATGGAAGAAAGCGGTTTCACACAACAATTGGATGATAATACAGTCAGAAAAAAACGAGACGTCAAATCAGCAAGTGGATACAAGATAAAGAAGAATAAGGTCGTGATGACACCGATGATGCAGGTAAGAAGAAAGATCTGTCTGAATAACAATGCTTTCAGATAGCAGAAAGCATCTACGATTCAATAAAACGCTCGTCGAACAAAACAGAACTCCCCAAATGGCAAGACACGATAGAAAACATCAGAAACAACGGCCAAGCTTTGAAGAAAAAGAAGAAAGAACTTGAAGATAAAAGTGATGAAAGTCTGGACGCTCTGGGCTTGCAAGGAGTCAAGCATCACCTCAACAACGAGGACATAGACTTTGACGGAGATTTGGAAGACATTCAGAAAGATCCGATCAAGTTTAAGAAATTGATGGCCGACATAAAGAAAAAGAAAGGAAATACACCAGAGTCAAAGGCCATGGATATTGTGAGGAGCGCCATGGAGCTGGGCTACAAGCTGGCTGGAAAGGACACATCGAAATTTTACAACAGCTCAATGAAAATTGCCTCACCTAAGTTTTTCGAGCTATTTCCGGAAAAGGACAATGATACGGTAAGCCGACGACTAATAAAACAGCGCTGCAAAAACGGAATGCAGTGCAGTGGGCAAAAACATTACAAAGGAGTTCTGGGTTATCGTCTTCGTAAAACGTTTGTATCTTATTGGCTCTTTTGGACATTCATCTAAAACCGGACCTTCCTTTGCGAACGGGGAAACTCTCTTTGTCGGAAATAAAATGGGTTAATTTTCGAGCAAGAGAGAGAGCACTTTTCTCTGTCGATATGAGGCTCACCTAATAACTTTTAGGTCAGCCTGATATCGCCTTCCTTGTTCGCTCTTCATGAAAGCGATGATCCAATCGAGAATCTGACGAGTATTCCCAATATTATGAAAGCATTTGGCCTTCAAGAACAGCAAATTTTCCTTGATATCATTATGGAAGCGGCTGGTGTCAACGAAAAATCGGAAGACATTAAAAAGGTAATTCTGGGAAACTCCAGATCAGTAACTTAGAAATCAACCGATTATAGCAGCTGAAAGAAACAAGTAAAAATCAAACCGAGCAAATGTATGATGCGATGAAGAATATGGTGGATGAAAACAACGTCCCATTGTATCCGACGGAACAAAATGCTACTGCAATGGGACAATCGCCGGAGATGTTCGAGTTCTGGCAGAAACTACGCGATTCCTACACTAAAGATCAACTAAGGGAGCTGAATCATACCGGCTACGCTGTGCTGAGCAAACAGCAGATTACTGCACTCTATGGGCCGCAATCTCATTTGTACAACGAGACCAAATACAATCTGCTGATGAGCATGACTGAAGAGGAGGTTCACGAGGAAATGGAGAAGCAAATAGAAATGATGGCCGAGATGGAGAGCTTCAAACTCCGTAAAAAGGATATCGTTTTAGCACCAACACTGTTCACATGGGTGGTACTGAACGCCCCGTTGGCATCTCAGCCCTTCATTCTGTCCCCGCTGCTGTTCGACCCGATTATCCTATCGCCCTCAATCTGGGGCGCTATAATTTTGACGCCTTGGGTGTTCGTCCCCTTCGTCTTGTCCCCTCGTGTTTTGGGTTGCATCATTCTGTCCCCATGGTTATTCTCTCCTCTCATCTTGACACCTATCGCACTCCATCCGGCTATCCTTTCCCCCGGCGTGTTCAATCCCCTAATCCTATCGCCGCTAGTGATGGTCCCTTTCATTTTGTCGCCTCAAGTTTTTACCCCAATCATCCTGGCGCCCCTTTGCATGGACCCGATTATCTTGAATCCATTGGTCGGATCCCCGTTAATTTTGTCTCCTTTTGTCCTAACACCAACTATATTATCACCTCACGTCCTCGGGGGTCTCATTCTCAGCCCATACGCGCTCTCGCCGGTTATCCTATCGCCTTTAGTGGCGTTTGTGGCCTTCCTATCTCCCAGCTGGCTAAGTTAGGAGGATTACTACCCTGTTCTTTCAAGAACCTTAGCTCCCTCTTTTTAATAATGTGATGTGCGCCAAGACCACATATATCTGTGCTAATGATGTCATGTGTGACATTTCGTTATACCCCGTATATCTATATATATTCCATAATAATAAGAATTAATAAAGCGTTGTTTTTTCTGGTCGTGTGTAAAGTGCTTGGACATTCGTCCTCTCGCGTACAGTTTCTTTTCGCACGGTGCAACCTCAAAAAAGACATTTCACCGTGCAAATTCTCGGCAAAGGTGCGGCGTCGCCTTTGGAAAATTCGCTTCCAACGCACGGTGCGAAACCAAAGAAGTGAAATACTCGGTGAAAATTTGGTTTTTTTTTTGCGCGGACCACGACAAATTTCCATTCCATTTATGAAAAAAATAAGTCTGTCGGGAAAGTATTGAACACAATACCGCTATGCCAATCGCACTGCTAAATTGAAAAGAAATTTTATTTTGACACAGCACAATTCATTTTTTCGGTGGTGATGCGATTTTTGGTTCAAGGGTGCGCTCCTTATTTTCCGACATACTGATTCTAACAGTTGGCTAATTAGTCTTCCCGCAAAATAAAATTTACACCCGCCCTTTCAGCACCTCAAATCACTTACTTTTTCGAACAACAAGGCCATATTTGTCACTTCTTTGTGTCCACTCGCTTGTTACATCGCAAGAACAATAAAGAAGTTCGATGTCCTTGACAATTTGATGGTGGAGACGCAAAATAAAAGCGGCGCATTTAGTTTATCTAGTCAATAAACCGAGGTATAATAGAATACAGAAATCTCGCGGATATCTTCTTTCTTCAAACAGGATCTTACAAGCGTGGTAGTGAGCTGTTTTTCGCGATCGAAAAATGATCTATCACAAAAATAATTACAAAAAGAGGAAGATTTCAGTCAACAAAACCGGAGTTTGAAGATAAAGTATATTAAAAAAGTTACATTAAACTAGAAATACTAGATGTGGATATGGCCCCAAAAATTTGAAAAAATAAAAAAACTTCCAAAAATTGTCAATGTTTCCGTCAGTTTGATCAAATAAATCGACACAAGACAATACAACACTCGCGGTTTGTATGATAAAAAAGAAATCTGTCGGAAGCGAGTTACCGAACCGGATCAGCCATGAACAGTTGACGTCGCTGCATCCAGCTGGATCACGGAGCACGTTTTTATTACTTTTGATATGGTTTTGTAATCTTTGGTCGGTCGTTAGTGCGCTCAAAATTTCATTTCCGCACTAGTTCGAGCATGGTAAGAAATTTATGGCTATTTTTTGTGTCGCTATCGCTGCTGGTGGCGGAGAAACGCCCTCAAATTTCGAACGATGGATTGAAACGTGTGGAGGGGACAAACTCCTACAAACTTCAAATGCACGACGATGACATGTTGCGGGTGTATCAAAAATGGTTGGACACGGGCATAAGCTCTTTGTTTAGTGCGATTGCCAACAAAAAGTAAGACGGACTTTATGCTAACAATCTGTCGGGAAAATAATAAGCACTCTGTCGTATCGAAAATCGCATCGCCGCAGAGAAAATGAATTGTGTCGCAGCAAAGCCAAATTGCTTTTCACTTCAGACACACGGTCGGCGCAGCGACACTGGGCTCATTATTTTCCCGACAGGCTGATAGTATGTTCATAAAGTTCGCGGAAATTTTGTGCTGTACAGGGTGGGCCTTTCCCATTGTTCAATTTTAGGCTCAAGAAGCACCGAAAATCGGTCGCCGACCGCTTCGCCGAATGCTCTTCTGGCGCGGATGAGGTCATAAAACATGCCAAGTGCTTGAAGAAGCTGATGAAGAACCAATTTGAGTCTCCGCGACCGAAGAAAGTCAACCGATTTAATCGATATCGAAAGAACGGCGAAGAGGAGCACGGAGGCTTCAAGCAAGAGGTCGATGAGGACTTTGTTCGACGGAAAAGAGGTGTCAAAAGTGCGAAAGGCTACAAAATAAATGGCAGCAAAGGGGTAATGAACCCGATGATGCAGGTAGGCCAACAAAATTTTTGAATTCCGCGTTTTAGGTAGCCAAAAGCATCTACGACTCGCTGAAGGATGCCGCGAACAAGACAGAGCTTCCCAAATGGCAAGACACCATCGAGAGCCTGAAGATCAACGGCCGAGCGCTGAAGAAGAAGACCAAGCTGCTGGAGGACACCAGCGACGAAAGTTTGTCCGCGATGGGCTTGGAAGGCGTGAAGAGGCAGATGAACAAGGAAGACTTCGACCTCGACGCAATAGAAGAGATTCAGAAGGACCCGGAGAAATTGAAGGCATTCTTGAAGGAAATAAAAAAGAAGAAAGGCAACAAACCAGAGGCCAAGATCATGGATATCGTGAGAAGCGCCATGGAGATGGGCTACAACATTGCTGGACAGGACACGTCCAAATTCTACAACAGCACGATGAGAATTGCCTCGCCAAAATTTTTGGAGCTTTTTCCGGAGAGTGAAAATGATACGGTAGGGTGAATAAAGCATCAAATTTTTAGTTTTAGATAAAATTGATTTCGCCATCTTTATTTGCTCTTCATGAAAGCGATGATCCGATTGAGAACCTGACCAGCATTCCGAATCTCTTGAAGAGATTTGGGTTGCAGGAACATCAACTCTTTCTGGATATTATCATGGAAGCGGCTGGAGTCAACGAGAGGTCCGAGGATATTATACAGGTATGTTAGTATTCTCTAGACATGGTTGAAGGCTGGCCTTTTGCAAATTTGGGGACTCCGGCCCAGACCCCGTCAAAGTTGACGCGGGCCCTTAAAAAATTTCGAGCCTCGACCCAACCCCAGTAAAGTTGGCCCGGAATTTCCGAAGCCTGACCCGTCCCCCTGGTACAGTGGGGGCTCTGATCCAGTGCCAAAAAACGTTCCATTTTGCATCCAGGACGCATCAAAAAATGTGGCAAAATACCTCCCTCTCCAAGTGAAAAAACTCCGATTTTAAAAGCGCGCCCGCCCTTTTGTGAGAAAAAAAGGAGCGCCCTTCAAAACGAAGTTTTTTTCACGTGTATTTTTGGCCATAACTTTGTCCAAGCATAAATTAGGCAGCTAATTTTTTCTTCCTTATACACAACTTTCCACGCTCTTTCAAATGATATATGTTTCGTTAAGATTAAAGGTTGCAACTGTTTGCCGATCCCTTGTTAGAGAGGGAAGCATTTTGCCACATTTTTGATACTTCCCGGGTGCAAAATAGCACGTTTTTGCCACTGGATCAGGTTCCTCACTGCAGAAGCCTGTGCTGTTGATGCCTTAACTACTGATTTCAGCGGCTTAAAGATGTTAGCAAAAACGAAACCCAGCAAATGTTTGACGTTATGAAGGAAATGCTCGACGACAACAACGTTCCCTTGTATCCAACACCCCAAAACGCGACCGCGATGGGCGAATCGCCAGAGATGTTTGACTTCTGGAAGAAATTGCGCGATTCGTACAGCAAAGACCAGCTGCGCGAGCTGAACCACACCGGCTACGCGGTGATGAACAAAGAGCAGATCACCGCGCTCTACGGGCCAAAGTCTCATCTCTACAATGAGACGAAATACGAGCTGTTGATGCGACTTAACGAAGAGGAGATTCACCAGGAGATGGAGAAAGAGATTGAGGCGATGGCCGAGATGGAGAGCTTCAAACTGCGACAAAAAGATGTTGTTTTGTCGCCCGTCCTCTTCACCTGGGTGGTCTTGGACACCGTGGCCACCTCACAGCCATACATCTTGTCGCCACTGTTGTTCGACCCGATTATTTTGTCGCCCAACTACTTTGGCGCCGTGATTGTGACGCCTTGGGTGTTTGTGCCTCACGTATTGTCCCCTCGTGTGCTGGGCTGTATTATACTGGCGCCGTGGGTGTTCTCCCCGCTTATACTGACCCCGATCGCTCTGCATCCGGCCATCCTGTCGCCGGGCGTGTTCGATCCCTTGATCTTGTCGCCATTGGTATTAACGCCGTTCATTTTGTCGCCTCAAGTCTTTACGCCCATCATTCTGAGTCCGCTCTGCATGGACCCGAACATTTTGAACCCGTTGGTCGGATCGCCGTTGATTTTGTCGCCCTTTGTTTTGACGCCCATCATTTTGTCGCCGCATTTCCTGGGCGGCTTGATTCTGAGTCCGTACGCGCTCTCGCCTGTAATATTTTCGCCATTGACGGCATTCGCGGCGGTGTTGTCGCCCAGTTATTTGAGTTAGCCAACCACAAGGCATAATAATAATAAATATTAATTATAAAGTAATTGCCAAATAACAGTCCATATTTTTATAACCAAGTTCCTTGTTCATTCAGTTTATAGTTTATTATGTTTGATCCAAAAGTAATCCCGATACAACACGAACAGAAACAGCCATTGCGAGACGGAGCAGGTCAGTAAAAACAATGCTGTAAGTTGAAGTTCGCCAGAAGTGTTTCCAGCGAAATATCGACTGACCTGATCACTTCCGGCCTCAACGAACAATGCAATAGCAACATACGTATAGAAGAAGGGGACCAGTAAGTCTGCGACAACGTTAGGTATCAGCAGAAAACGAATGCGCCGCCATGAGCCAATATATGTGATGATGTAGGCGATACAACAAACGGTTGGCGCTATTGCGGTCAAGTAGTCACCGTAGTAGATGTAGGAGACGATGAAGATGTATCTGAATATTGAAAGTGCTTTTATACGGTTAACTCAATGGACAACGAATTGTAAGCGGGCCAAAAACTTGTTCATTATAGAAATTTTTTAATGTGCGGAGGTTCACTTTCCCCGCAAAACTTTCTCTTGCAACTTATGAAGATTTTACTGCTAACAAATGGTTTAGTTGTACAGAGCCTCATATATTATTAAATACTATTAAAACGGTGACTTACTGTAGAATCTGTGCGTACACATGCAATAGAAGACAGATGTATTGTAGGGCAGCGATGAATTTACGAAATGTGCCGTTCTAAAAAATGACTGAGAAAGCATAAACGTTTAGTATTAGGGTGTCCCATAAGTCTTGCAAATTTTTGGGTTTAAGAACTAACGCTTTATTTCGAGGGCCTAGAGAACTGTACTGCTTAATGTTTGGTACTGTTAGAACTACCGTCTCTTACACTTGTTAACAGCATAAAAATTTTAACTAAACACGGACCCTCCGGGCAAATACTCGACGTTCTTTAATATCATCCAGTTTTGGGAAGGGTTAGGAAAACGATTCCGTTCTTTGGTAAGTGAGGCTGAACCCTTGCAACCACACTTTCTAATAAATCTACTGAGTACTCTGTTTCTAAATAAGCGGCGCTTTCCACTGAATTAGATCTTATGAAGCTGTCCTGTAGGTTTCTTGTATCAGGCGCCATGGAGAATATCACGATGTATATACTTTTGCGTATAACATTTTTTGAGGGTGGTTTCTCAGGTCGCGCCGCTACCACAATCAAAATAGCATTACATTTATGCGTTTTAAGCACGGATCCGTTGGCTACCTTGTTCTGAATTATCGCTAACCCAAGAAAATTTGAAAAAATGAGGTGCATTTACTCAACAGCAAAAAAGTTGGCATGGATACAAACAACATTGTAGTGCAGTGTGTTCTAAACAGTGACATATGTATTTTATCTTAGCAAAAGGATTTTGTGATACGGGTGCTAGGAGCTGAAAAAACACTCAATTTTATAATTCTTCCGTAAATTTTAAAAATAATCGGGAAAATTTTGAATTTTGTATATCTCAAAGCAAAAAACTGATACAGGCGGTAATTACAGCTGCGTTATGTTCACAAGCAAGCGTAGATTACACACGATGCGCAGCTACGGCCAGAACGTTCTACCTTCGAAATACTAGGTCAGAAAAACATGAGTGCAACAGTTTTCATGTTGGCTAAACCACCACAAAAGTACCCATGCCTGTATCCCAACACGGACTAGAATAAGATCCAAAGCTCTCATGCGTCCTATTTTCACGTTTAGTGGGCCAACCGATCAATTTTTACAAAGCATATATCCAGTTTAAAATCAGCAGGCAAAATTTTTCTTAATGTCTAGTACAATATCGGGGTAGTGTGGGTAGCAGGTGACCTTATGTGGCCTTGTCAAATACGATTTAGAAGCACTTTATCTGAGCTTCAAACCAGTACATCGAACATACTCCGTGATGCGTTTCAAAGCTTACAAGAATTCGCACAAGTCGACGACCCAAAAATTTGCAAGACTTATGGGACACCCTAATAAAAATCATCAAATGTCATTTTTGGTGTAACCTGCTTTTTTCTCCAATTTATCGATTGGCTGACACAAGTGCTCCAAGAAATCTTCGACCCTTGACATCCTCCCCTGAAAATCGGAAAATTTAACTCAAGTTTAACATGTAACGTCTAAATATTCAACGCGGTTGAATATTTAGGCGAAACGCATAAGAGATGTCTTTGCCACTTCCCTGCGGAAAAAAAGATTTTTTTGTGAAAGCATTAACTTTTACGGTTGAAATATAGGCATTAAACTTTTCAAGCAAATTTCAGTACAGAAAAGTGTCAGATTTTCGCCAACTTCAAAACTAAAAATCACGATTTTTTCATCCGAAAACTATTATAGAGATCTGGCTTGCACCTTATTGTTAAAGAAATTATTGCAAGCTTTTATTTACCAACTTTTCCTCATAAGAGTATGCGGAATTGTACCACATCAACATCATATCCCCCAACAACAGTGAAGTTCCAAAACCTCATATTTACAATACCCTCCGTTTATAACGTAAAAAAAACAGCTGTTATTCAAAAATCTAGTAAAAAAGCCAAATTTCGAATAAAAGAAGAGCAAAAATCCTTCGTCTCGAAAACCGCTTCTTATCAGTAATGTTTGCCCGCATACACGTAAAATATGGCTTCACGCCGAGCGGAATAGCAAGCAGTGCTTGAGAAATTTGCAGGAAAGGTCTTTAGCCTTGAGAGATGCCATTCTTGAAGCGCTTACGACTTTTTTGAGCCTTTATTAGAGGTTATTGACAAAACATCGTTTGTTTGTTGACATGTTTGAAATTTTGCAGGAAAATTACTGATACACGTGTAGATTGGGTCTGTTTTCGGAGATTTTCAGATCAAAATTTGGCAAGGTGTTGCAATTGTTTGTGACGTTTGAAATGCATAGTTTCATACATATTCCTATCATAAAATATGGAAATATATATGAAGTATATCCACATATATAATATATACGTTTCCCTAAAAACTAATTTTTTCCATGCGAAACTGCCAAAAATATGGCTAAAATGTGTGTTTCTCTGTGACCGCTCTCCGCGTTTTGCGGGCTCTCTCGTCGATTGTTAAATATCTCGGCTGCCGCTGGAAATTGTGAGATAAAAATTTCAGGAATTGATATGCGGCCTACGTCCATTAATTATCCAACACGTAAAGAAAATCTGAGCGTCGCACTTTGAACCATGCCTTGTTAAAAAACTCGGTCACTTTTTACATTTGGCTTTCCGATCATTTACTTCCTTCGAGCACAAAGTTCTAAATTCAATTCTTATATGTAATACAAGTCGTCTGTGTCGAGTGCATTCCTAATATTGTTTGTCCTTTCGGATGACGTCCTTTCCACCTTTTGATTACACAACTTTGTCTTCGCAGCTGTAAAATCACAATAAACGCAAGATGTCGTTTTTCATGTCCTCCTTTATCCCGATTATGCAGGACACAGTTGTGCTTAATAATTGCGTCCATTTGAATAAACAGTTGCTGTATAAATTTGCTTACATCTTTTTGCTGTCGGTTTCAGTCTGGACTTTTCGAGGGTTTCCAGATCAAAAAGAGTTTGGATGAGTTGTTGAAAATTTTAATTGTAATTGACAAGGTTCTTGTTGATGGGTCTTGTCTCATGCTTATTTCTACGGTAGAGGGTTAGGGTTTCACAAAATATTGCTTTCTTCCGCTTGAAACTGGCAAAGGGATGGCCAAAAAATGGTTTTGTCTATGACCGTTTTCCGCGTATCGCCTACTTTCCTAGGCAAAATTGAATACCTCGACGGATTAATATGTGGTCTAGATACAAAGTGTGAACAAAGAGAGAAAAAATGTGAGCGTCGCACTTCTATACCCGCAAAGCGCGAGTTAAAATTTTTGGGCGTATAGCCTACTAGGCGCGCCATAAAGTCCGCAGATTTTTTTGCCGACGTCGCAGCGCGACGTAAAGAAAGTGGACGTCGCTAGTGCAAAAACGGGAAGTCGCAGCGGCCCGTGCGAGAAAAAGAGAAGAACGAGAAAAAGAGAAGAGAAAAATTGTATAATATTATCTGTCTGTCGAGAAAATAACGTGGATTCGCCGCGCTTTAGAAGCGCCTCTCATCGGTTTGCGACATGCGGCTGCGGCTGGCCCGACAGGTTTATATAACAAATAGTTTTTTTGTGCGATTCTTTTTACAGAGATTTTCACTGTTATGTTATGTAAATTTTGACACGATATATCAACCGTGAAATTCAATAGTTTTATTCAAATATCCGGCGAGGAACGAGGGAATATCTGTTTACATTTTAGTTCTAAAAAAATTTCGCCCAATGTTTGTTTAGGCAACATTCCGTTTGAGAGTTATTCAACGTACAGTTTTTCATCTTTTTTTTCATTTTTTCTTTAATTTTGGAATTTATTAGACTTTTTTAATTTTTATTTCCTTATACTCAATGAGCTCTGTCTGACGTCATTTTTCGGTCGTATCTTTGCGGTGGGGCAGTAGTAGATACCCAAAAAAAGGTTGTAGGAAGTGCGTACGAGTCTTGGCGAATGGTTGGCGGACAATCGGCGAAGGCTCGGCGGAGACTTGGCGAAGACTTGCAATATGACAACTGAAGCTATCCTAGGATCCGATCAATATTATTATTTCTACTAATTACAACTGTTGCTGACCCGAAAAGTTATAGCGCCCCTTGAACCTTCCAATCCACCCTTTGAGCTTTTTGAACTCCTCTGTTTTCAACGTCACCAACATAAACCCTTCCTATCCACCGTTTGTGCACGGGAATTCCGCGTGTTCACGGGTGCATTCGTTAAAAATTCCCTTTTTGGAAACAACATGTTACCCAAACCCAAAAAAGTGCATTCACCTAATAAAAACACTCCAAAATAAGGTGGTTTTTGATGCTTAAACCCAACAATGGGCATTTGAAATTCTTTTCACCGGCCTCTTGTGGTCGTCCTTTCAAATTGAGCCCAACAATGGGGCAATTATTTTATTTAATATAATGTGTTCGTTTGGTTCGCGCCGTAATATTACGGCGGAAACGGGGTTTTCAGGTGGGAATTATGGTAAGACAGGCTTACAGTTCGACATGCCAAAGATGACAATGAATTTTTAATAGAGTTTTTTCAATGTTTTATTGGCACCACGAATTTTCGGGTCAGCGACGGTTCCGGTCGGCGATACTATGGATTGCGTCGGTGTATGCATGGGGGAGGCTTGGAGAAGGCGCAATTGTTAGAAATAATAAGAGTAATTTGGGTCCAAATTTTTGTTTCATAACCTTTTATATCATAAAATCATACGGTAGAAGTAGACTTAGGGTAAGGAAATCTATTTAGTAAAACCTAAAATTAGAAAAGATGCACATATTGCAAGTCTTCGCCAAGTCACCGCCGAGCCTCCGCCGACGCGTCGAGCTAAAACATGGCTTTATCCTCCCTCACCGCTCTCCGCGTTTTGCGTACTCTCTCCGCCGAAAATACCGTTGAAGATCTAGGCTCTCCCTGGAAAGCGGGAGCTAAAACTTTCAGGGATTGATAAGTGATCTTATGCCAGAAGCGTGCGCAAAATTTAAAGAAAATCTGAGCGTCGCATCTGGTTTACTTCAAGTTACTACTCTGGCCGGGCTGATCCCTTCGGTAGCGAATTCCGGGTCGTGATTTTCCCAAAAAAATCAATGAATTACTCATTCGGGATCATAGGATAAGGTTCTTTTTGTTTTCTGTATTTTGCTCCTAGAAGTTACTTACTGTTAGTCCTTTTCTTTTGTCATTTGCCAACTTTTTTGTCGCCCATTGTCTCAACGCCTTTAAAGATTCGATACATTTTTCTTTTTCTCACTTATCTGTTTCGTTGCAAAGTACATAACACAAGATCCTTTTGTCGGTTTTTTGTCACAAGTCACGACCATTTGCAAAATATTTTAGAGTATTACACAGTATTACGGAATTTTTCCTGATTAAAAACTGCAACAAAAATTTGAATGTTGACGCGTCGCTAAAGTGGAAAGCAATTTGATTTTGCCGCGAGCGACACAATTCATTTTCTTGGCGGCAATGTTTTCGATTCGGCAGGGTCCTAATTAATTTCCCGACAGACTGACACATTTTGATCTCACTTTTACGGCTGGGAAGACGAAATGTCACATTTTTTTCGTGTTCCCACGCTCTGAAAACAAAATTTTTTGTCTTACCACGCTCTGAAAAAAATAAAAATAACTTTAGAACTATTCATGATGCACTATTTCACAATCTAATGGGTTATTTTGAACTATTCCAAATTAGGTTATGCGACCATGGAGAGCAAAAATTCCGTGACATTTCGTCTTCCAAGTCATAAAACTTGGAATGTAAATAAAACAAGAAATTTTTAGTTATAGAGAGGTTTTGTTGTATGGGAGTTTTTTCTACAAAGGTTCTACTATATCAGTCTGTCTGGAAAATAATGTGGATTCGTCGCGAAATTGCCCATCATCACTTAACGACGGCTAGCTGGCGATTTGTGTGCGACTGGCGAAGAAGCAAGGGATTTTGCTGCAACAAATCCATATTATTTTCCCAACAGACTGATAGTTTTTTTTGATGCCTTTCAATTGAAATTACAGTTTTTTATTTGACATATTGCTAACGTAAGTTTTTCCATCGAAACTTTCGGTTAAGAAATCAAACATTAGGAAACGTGTAATTCACGGGAAAACTGAGCCAATTATTCCAGCCGAATGCGCAAATCGAAGGGAATGCGTTTTTTGTAAAAGTTGTCTGCTACGTTTCGACTGACTTTTGATTTGTATTGATTAACGCCTCAGGCTGGAAGATCACACATTTTTTGCTTCCATAGTTAGTCTTGCAGTATTTTTGAGCGATTTTATCTCGAATTTTGCCATTGCTTTGGGATGATACTTTGGAAGTCCCTCCGTATTTTACCTCACACTTCCGAGTACTATATTATCAATGGAAAAATTGTATTGATTCTCGGAAATATAAATTTCTTTGAAACCGGGAAAAGGCCAGGGCCTGAAAATCAAAAAAATTAGCCAAGGCCTGGGCCGGAAATTTTTGAAAATCCCAAAGCAGACTATGCCTATGGCGGGTCCACACTT